CTATAAAAGTACTTGAATCCGTCGGGTGCCTACAGCTATCCTTTAGTTTTAAATAAGTAATTAACATTAATAATAAAATAGTAGGCACCTACTTCTTATTTTCAATGCCAGGGAAGAAAAATAAATAGATAATTAAATAATAGTATAATAAGAAATATCCATAAAACATGAAAGTGTAAGTGAATAACCGGTAAATCCATTTTTAACATAATTATTTTTAAAAAATTTGGCCATATATTTCTAGATGTAAAACAAAATAGGTATACAGCCAAATTGTTTTCTAGAGTGTCTTAATTTGTTTGTATTCAGTTTCTATCAAAAACTTAATTTTCTATTTTCCAACAATCGCATTGACTGAAGATATCGTATTTCAATTTAGAACAACAGTAGATAGGTATAGGTCATATGTGTTCGATACTAATGTTATGAATTTTAAAATTTTAAGAAAAGCATCCTCTTTTCAAATAGAAATGTATAAATAAGGATTACTATATTTGAAAAACTAGTGTCGACATGTTCAGTTCGTGGACTTATGGCGTACACGGAATGACGGAATAAGAGTAAAATGTTGGAATAATGTTGTAAGATTAGAGGCGTAAACGATACGAATAAATGATTGAAAAAAATTAAATATATGTCAAATAAATATTTGAATTTTTTAGATTGTAGCCAGTTCATGATAAAACAAACATAAAATTCCCCAGAATAATAACAACTGAGTACTAACGATGCAGAGAACCAACTGCGTTGTATACACGCCACACGGTACACGGAACTTTAATAATTGTGTGGTTAAGGTTAAAATATCATACTCTATGAGTTAAAGCATCCATGACAAAATTATTATATTATAAAAGAAGAACGTAGTATTTCCGAAGGCCTTGAATATAATAAATATATAGCAATTTTTTTTTCGTAAATTTTCTAAACCAAATAATTGCTGTTATCTATAAGAGCGATCATTATTTATGAATTATTATTATTATACACAATAGTATTTTGTAATAATTATTTTGTTAGAAAATGAACAATTATTACGAAATTCTTAAAAATAATAGAAGTACATAATAATTCATTGTTTAAGATTCGATTTTTTTATTATATTATAAGAGTTTATAGGTACCTAGAGAGTGTTTAACTCGTATTTATAATTCAAATAGATTTTTAGATTTTGAGTGTAGCGAAGAATGTATTGATTTTACTAAGATATTAATTATTTATTTTTTTTATACTGTGTACAAAAATTCTACCAGAAATCTTGCTCAGATATAAACGCGTGGCGCCATTTCTGGAAATTAATCTTGTCCAGATGGTACTTTTAGGATTTTTTGAATTTTCTAGTGGTTTTCATAATATCTGGAAAAAACCAGGATAAAACGTAAGAAAAACGGGAAATTCACGAAAATTAGCTTTTATTATTTTTCAATTTTGTCATTTGTTGTAATTCAGTTAATGATATTTGCAGAGACTTTAAATTTGTACAGAAAACTAATATTTGCTTTTCTAGACGTGGAAAAATTTTCTAAAAATTTAAGTTAATTTAGAGCTATTTATAGATATTTTAATTTTGCAAGTTTTGTACGTAATTTTCATTCGGTAAGTACTTTGTGGTTAAAAAAATAAAATTTGAGTTTAATTCAGTATTTTTTTTTTTTTTTTTTTATGTAAAGGTATTTTAATATCAAATTTTGTCGAAAATCGTCGAGTAAAAAATTATGTGGAACAAATCTAATATTTCAATTTTTTTTTTTTTTTTTTTTTTTTTGAACATGTGTATATTGCCGATTTAAGAACGGTGATGAATTGAACGGACTGACTTAGTTTTGAAATTAAATCTTTTTGAAGTTCTGATATTATGCGGACATTATATGTTATGTTAAATAACTAAATATTGTCTATTCTATGGTATGTTTGGTGTAGCTGAATAGTTATACATACCTAGTTTCATCATAGGGTTCGAGAGTTCAAACTCCGTGTTTCGAAAAATAGTTTTTTCAATTATTTTATGACCTACCTAAACAGGGAAAAACAAATGTATTTTAGGTGTACTTAAAGACCCAGCTATTGCTCACTCGGACTATTTTAATCGACAAATACCTCTCGATTCGTTGTGCAAATTCGTCTACCAGAAATCTTACTCCGATGTATCAAGTGTAGCTTATTCTCTGTAAGGAATTTTATCTCCATAGTAGTTTAATCAACGGGAAAAACGGGAAAATCAGTACAATATTAAACAAATATTATTAAAGACAATATTTAATACCTATTTAATTATTTAACATAATATGGCATTATATTGTTGACAAAGCATCACTATCAACCGAACTACGCTCAGAATCATTTTTTCGTTATCAATGGTTTATCGTTGCCTACTAATATGCATTAAATTTCTCTTCTACTACCTTCCCAACTTCTCACCAATTACAGAGGCTACACCCGTACCCATTATTCTAGAACAACTTTTTTTCTCCTTCATTCCTCACTCAAAACGCAGTTCATTAGTGTTATTATTAGTTTTGTTTTGTAATTCAGTTAAAAATATTCATAGAGACTTGAACTACTGAAATAAAACTTGTAATTGTCTTTTATAGACGTGATCAAATTTTAAAACCATTTAAACGATTTTTGAGCTATTTATATAGGCATTTTAATTTTGCAAGTTTTTTACATAGTTTTTATTTGATACATACAATTGTTTGACCAAACAGAAATGTTTGAAACTTTGAGAGGAGGTACATTATAAGTCGTACTTAGGGGACAAAAAAAAAAATTGAGTGTTATGTAGTACATTTATTTTTCATAAGAGTTTTACAATCAAATTTTGACGAAAATCATAGATATTACAACCTTTCAAAACAGGTATAACTGAACGTTGGTTACAGATATAAATTGAAAACTTTATGTATATAGCCTTCCCAACTACCCACCTACAACAGTGATCACACCCGTCCCCGGTATCAGAATTTTTTTTATTTCGTAGGTAGTAATAGAACTTACTATGTCCATGTGAATATGGAATACTGTGAATACTGTTTGACAGAATATAAATGTTTAACATTTTATTAGAAGGTTTGTTATAACTTATCAGTTTTACTTAGTGATCAAAAATAAAAAGTAAGTATTGGTATAATTAATATGTAATTTTTTATAATGGTTTTATGATCAAATTCTGATGAAAATCGTATATACTACGTCCTTTAAATTAATATGTAAGCAAACATCGCTCAGAATCGTTTTTTATTAGAAATGGTTTATTGTTGCTTACAGATATAAATTTAATATTTATATGTATCCTACCTCCCTAACTTTTTTTTTTTCCCGTAAAAACTCAGTATTAAATGGGCAAGTTGCTTGATTTAATATTATATCTATACACTATACAGATTTTCCGATGAAGATATACTCATTACGACACCTCAGACAATTTTAATTTCTAATCGGAATTAATATTATCACTTTTTCGTCTAATTATTCGTTTTTTGTCATAGTAATAATTTACTGTTGCGTACAGATTCAAATCAAATAACTGTGTATTCTATACATTTCTTCTTTTATTTGATTTAAATGATTATTTTTCTTCTTTTTATTTTGAGCGCACATAAAAATAAATGATACCGGGGAGGAGATAAGAAGTACCATAGAGGTTGGTTGTTGAAACTAATAAACGTTACGTCAGTCTTTTAACATGGATATCCGCCAACGTCGTAGCCTCTTGTTGAATTTAATGGCATTTTTATGTACGTACTTTTGTCGTACACGTTGTGGGCGGTCGACGAACACAATACGATGTTATGTTTATAAAATCACAAGCCTTGTACACGATATTAGGAGCGTGTGGATATAATATAATGTATACATAGTATACATGTATAGACATAGAGGTATTGTTATGTACGAGTATAGGGTGTCATCGAGTTCCCGGATATGCGGGCAAAAATATTATTATGTGGCGATTGGCGCCAATTTAAACAGTAATAAACGACAAAGACGTAATGTACATGCTTTATTACATATAATATACAGCTAGAACCAAATTCGGTGGATGCAGTTACTATACTATTACGACTGGGATGCGAAACAGCGATATTAGTTTTTGTTTTTAATAACTGTAACTTTAGGTTTGGTCAACATTTTAGACAAAAAAGCAACAACGAGGTGCTTTTAGAAGTGTTCCCTTATTTTTTTTTTAATATCGTTTCCTGTGTTTCAACCTAATCGTCACAATTTTATTTCCAAGTTTCGTGGTTTCGCCACGTCGCCCGTTCGTTGGACTGAGACAATAAATGTGAATATTAATGTCCTGTGCAATTTCATCATCACTGATAACCACGGACTAACATTTTGTCCATTCTGACAACAATGTTTGGACGAAAAATTACATAATATGGCGTCGTCCATATCATTTGATTAAAGGTGGACATCAAGACGGAACCTGGAAAAGCGCAAAAATATCCTAATAACGTATACATATTATGTTAAAAAAGCTGTCCTAGGAAAATGGAGACGGGTGCAGCCACTATGACAGGTGAAAAGTTGGGAAGATATTAGAGGAGAAATTGAATTTATATCTGTTCGCAACGAATAACCATTACTAAAAAAAAAAACGATTCTGAACGGAGTTCGGTTGATAGTATTGCTTTATGAATAATATATATATAATATTATGATAAAATAATTACATAGGCATTATATATTTTCTTTAATAATATTTGTTTAATATTGTACCTATTTTCCCTTATTTCTTACGTTTTTTCAGGTTTTCTTATAGCCTCTCTTATAGCTAATGAGCCGCAAGAAACGTCTTTGCACACACTCAAGTGATTCAATATAACCAATTTGTGTGGGGTTCCATAAAATTGAACAATACTCTAAGAGAGGTCTGACTAGTGACACATACAAAGTTTTAAGACATAATTTACCATTAAATTCCTTAGTGCATCTGATTAAAAAGCCAAGGTTTTTTAAAGCTTTGATGCACGATTTTTCAATATGAGAGGAAAATGAAAGATTTGATTGAAAATGAACTCCGAGAAGGTATTCATTTTAACCAATTTATCATCGAGTATATAATAGTCGTAATTTATTTTGGTGTGAGAACGGATGTAGGACATTTTTAAACATATAGAAGTATTTAATTTCAGACCGTTATCAAGACACCAAACATATAACTTATCAAGGTCTTTTGGAATAAGAGAACAATCATCGATTGAAGAAACATTAGCGAAAAATTTGAAGTCGTCCACGAACAGTAAGTGATCACAATAACTAAAATAAAAGTCAATATCCATAATAAAGATGGTAAACAATAAGGGAAATATATGGCCACCTTGAGGAACGCTTGAAGAAGCAGGAAAGGGATCTGACAAAAAAACCATTAATCTTAACGTGTTGGATTCTATCTGATAACTATTAAACCAGAATAACAAAGGATCGGAAATACCGTACAAATGTAGCTTCGCTAATAGTATAGAGTGATTTACAGAATCGAATGCTTTACTGAAATCAGTATATATTACATCAGTTTGATAAGTGGATTTCACGGATTTTAATATAGTATTATAAAAATAAATATAATAGATAAACAAATTGTTTTGTAATCGTGGATTTTGTTCAACGTTTGCCTTAATTGATAAACATACGAGTGAAACTGAATCGAAAATACACAATTTCATTTTATTGTTATTTAAAGTACGGGCTGGTGTCCAAATATTTAGACAATTATTTAGTAAAATATTTAGTACATGTATTTGAAACTTATGAAACCTTTAAATTTTTAATTTCCGTCAATCCGTTGACGAGATTTGGCGGAGAGTAGTGGTACAATCTTAAAACGCCGCGCGTTCTGCCACCACACGATTAATTTTGCTACATCTCTCTCCCCCGACCAAAAATTTAAAAATGGAATACTCGTCAACGGATTAACGAAAATTAAAATTTATTACACAAAAATTAAAAATAAATTAAACACCAAAATTTATTTTAACTACCACTTCATCTAATTGGTTAATGTGGCTAACGAAAATTATTTTTTTCTAGAACTCCGCACATGTATTATTAATATTAACCAAATATAGGCATGTTCTACAGTGTTATCCTTATGATAATAATTCTGTCGATGTTAATTTTTTTTTAGATTCTGAGTGGAGCAAGGAATGTATTGGTTTTACAATGTTTATTTTATTATTTTTTTTTATGTGAACACTTTTTCTACCAGAAAACTTACTCTGATAATCAAGTATAGCACCTTTTCTTAAAGGAAATGTTCTCTGGGTGGTATTTTAAACAGGTAAATTTTTGAAATTCTCATTAATATTCGAGATAATAAGGTGGTGTTAAGCAGCTGATGTTCACCATGTGATCAAGTTTTATAATTAAAATATTTTTTTAACTTTTTCTTGTGTGTAAATATACGTATATGTGAATAACCTTTTAGAATAAAAAGATTTTTGAAAACTTCGGCGGAACATCTGGTAGATGATAACGAAACAGATAATGAAAATTAAGTATTGTGATTTATACGTACAAATATTTTGTGAGGGAAAAAATAATTATGTATGAATGTTATGTGTATTTCAAATTTTGTAATTTATTTATTTTCATCTAAATAGTGTTAATGTTTAAATTTTTAATATAGTATATGGAATAATGTATTTAATTATGAAACAATATGTTATCCTGAAATAATAATTTGATATTAAATTAAATATGTACCTAACCTATCTACCTGAAAAAAAAATATTTCTTCCATACATGTTATAACATGATATTTTAATAATAGTCATACGAGTATGAACGGTGTTTTAAATTTTAATAAAACAAAGCACTTTTTATATTTTATAAACTGAAACATTTGAAAATCACTACCGACAACTGATAATGACATTGTTATCTTGTGAATGGACTGGGCTTTATGTCGCATGATTATTTGTCGGGTGACTTTTTGACGATATTTATGTATTTTCAAATGTGTACCTAAATAATATTCTGTTGGTAGTGTTGTATAATGGGTTTTTGTTGGATGGCTCTTTGTTTAAGGATTAATATATACAGGACTGGAAACGAGATCGTTATCGACGTTTTATTACACGTTTTTATTTTACACATATTGTAATCACTCATGACATGATAAAGACTCCGGTAAGCACGGTTAATGTTGTTTTACACCCGGTTTACATATATCTGATTAGATAAAAATGATAACAAAAAAATATTATGTAAAAATGTAAATAAATGTACACAAAAAACTATACATAAAACTTACAATTTTTAATTTTTTAATTTTTTTTTTTTTGATATTGATAAGTTGTAATGATGAAAAGAAAACTAAAATTAGAAACGTATAAATAAAATTTAGAAGTTTATAGAAGAAAAGTATTATTATCGTATATTTCTACTCTTGAGCTAAAGACCAAAAACTCAGGTAAAATATTTTTTTTTTTTATTTTACCTAGGATGTTAGGCTATTTTTAAAAAACAAAAAAACACGTGGACATTATAAAGTCTGACATATGAAATGCAGTTGATAAACTCTGCATTATACCAAAATTTTATCAGAATAAATGTCATTACATTTGAGGAATTAGTGTGTGAGGTAGGACATAAATTAGAACATGTGTCTAGTCGCCCAGATATATTGTCAGTTGGGAAGATTTTAACAGCCACTTTGAGATACAATATGAACATTTTATTTATTAATGAAAACTATAAACAATTTACTTAATTTATTCTAAATTGCAGTTTCTATCAAAAAATATAATAAAAAATATTTATTTAAAATTTATAAACAATATTTTATTTTATTTTTATTTTTTTTAGATACCTTGCATCTGAAGATTCAATGGTTTCAATTATGTATTCTTTTCGAAATGGAAAGTCGACCATTTCCAAATTATTATTTGAATGTTGTACAGCTTTATGGAAAATATTAAACAGTAAAGTATATTTTATATGATATTTAATATAATTCCTGTATTGTTTACTACTTAGCTCTATCTATATTAAAATATTTCTTTTATAGTTATTGTCCATACCAATAAATGGAAAGATCTGGCCGATGAGTTTTAAGATAAGTGGCAAATACCAAATTTTTGTGGATGTATTAATGAAAAACATATAGTACACAAGGTATAAAATATAATTTGTATAAATTATTATGTTAAATATGTAAGTACGTAAAATTTATATTTATATTAAAATACAAACTTTAAATAATGTATAAATATATTTTATAGCCTTAAGTTTAATATGAAGTTAATATGAAGTTTAATATGAGTTAAATATGAAGCTATGTCTTTTATTTTTAATTCTAATCTAATACATTAGTTTGTATATTAATTTATAATTATTTTACTTATTTTTATAGGCATTTAGTAACAAGGGTTCAACCAGCTATAACTATAAAAGAACTCATAGTATTGTCCTTATGGCTATGTGTGATGCTAGTTATAATTTTACATTGGTTGATGTTGGTGCACCAGGAAGATGTAGTGATGATGGAGTATTTTAAATTTGAATATGAGCCAAGGATTTGTTCAAAATGTTCTTTACTTTTCTCCTCCTAAAGAAATTGATAGTATAAATGGTCCTATCCCTTATTATGCCATTGTTGATAAAGCATTATTAGTAAACCTTATGAGACGATTTCCTAGCAGAAGGAAAACAAATTTACCTTTAGACGAATCTGTCTTTAATTATAGATTAATATATAAGTGTACTCTACCACACACAGTAGCAGTCAAATGATTTTGTCATGAGGAGAGATGTAGCTAATTTGTTTTATAAAAATATGCCATAAATGTTCCTAATAATATACTTGTATATAAAGTAATATATAAATATATATAATAATATTATTATTATTGAAAAAAAGTTTATCCATCCTCTTCACCTTTTCATTGGACCATCACTGGCATCTTGTCTTATATATTATATAAAATATTTTTGAACTTGACTTTCAAGAGTTAGACATAAAATTGAAAATACATTTAGAATTATGGCATTAAAATAGTGTATATTCAGGAAGCTTATAATAACTTATAAAGATATGTTTAACACTGATATGGTATAACAAAAGCTGCTATTAGTTTACATAATTTTATTCAAATATCAGAAAAACCGAGATTATACATCAATAATTCAAATCAAATCAATAATAAGAATAAGATTGTATTTTATAGGTATTCATTATTATTATAGTGCTTCAGATATTAATAATATACAAAACCATGACTGGAGGCAAAATGAAATAGTTGCATTACCTCCTATTGACCATATAGGACCTAACATGCATTCTAGATATGAAAAAATAACTAGAAATCAACTCAAAGATTATTTTTCTAGTGAAGGGGCAGTTCCATTTCATTATAATAGAATTTTGAGATGAATATAAAATTAAGTTCTATGTTTCAACAATGTGTATAACTTTATTATTATAATAAAATGAAAAAAAAAAATATATATAAGAAAAACAACAGAATATAGTAACTTTGTTTAGATGATCAGTCTTAGAAATATTTAGTACAAATTATAATGTAATAGAAAACTTACATTATTAGAAAAAAACCTTTAACTTTTAATTAAACGATTGCCAGGTATATCTTTACATGCACAATAAAACAAATTAATATACAATAAATTATTATTATGTTCAATCATCAATGTATTGAATCAATTTTGATATAAATTAATTTTGAAACATGACCTTCCTTTTTATAGGAATTTATTTCATGAGGGTTACAACATATTTAGCAAAACTAGTGTCTTGAGGATCTTCATTTTCAGCTTAGGTTGCTCATATGCTTGAAGTGGTATTTGTCTAGATGCTTGGATTTCTTGAAGAATGGCTTCCTGAAAGGATAATTCATCTTTCTTCCTTTTTAAAACAGACATGAGATAACAAAGTAGTTTGTTATATAGTTATTGTAAATATTAATTAAATATTAAATTACTTTTAGATGATATAACTTCTGAATCTAGTATATCAAAAGTATCCAAATTAAAAGTAAGTGAAAAGTTGCTGGTAGTTTTAAGGAATAATAAACTTTTTTAAATAAACAATTTATAATAAAAATATGCATTGTTAGGTACAAAGGACAGGTGTATTTACATTTGGTTACTGTGGTACACTACATTTGGTACTTTGCTTTATAATATATGTATTTATAATACAGACAGGCTATATCATTAATTTAAAATGATGATACAAAATGCTCCCCAAATTGGAGGTTGTCGATTAAAAGAGGTTTCAGTGTATTAATATTACTGAAATATTTACTTTTTTATTTTTTGTGGTGACATCATCTAAAAACTGCAAAGATTACATGTGCACCCAACTTCTTTTTTCACTACTACTCCCACTTTTAGGTTTCTTATTTTTCCTTGAATACTTCTATCTTAAATATTGCCATTTTTTTCAAAATATTAATTGAATATACCCCTGTTAATATATTTTATTAAATATTAAATTAATTAAAAATATATTTATGGTTTAAACATATACATTTTAGATAGTTAAACAATCATACCATTTAACTCGACATATATTTCATTCCATAACAATATTTGTATGGGTTCGAACCGAGCTGATAATGGAAGCGTATGGTCCCACAAAGGATGACGTTCACAAATTAAATTAGTCAACTTTGTCATTGTTTCTGAATCATCATCATCATCAATAGGTTCAGGTTCTCTGTTTCAAGTTTCTAAGCACTCAAATGATTCATGAACAGGTTCTACTTCCTCGATTTCACTTAAAATGTCATTTGCAAAAGATTCAAATAAATTTGTTGAAATGAGTGTTTGTTTAGCTAAAATTAACTATAATTATATATTTAAAATAATTATCTGTAATAATAGTAAAAACAATTTAATAACAAAATAGTTTAAAACTATCGCCATCTTCTTGGGTTTATATGTTGGAATGTCTGTAGGAGTATATTACCAAATGAGCAAACATGATTTTTATCATTAACTTTGATTATTGTTTTGCAAACATTGCATAGCATTCCCTAAAATCATATATATGGTACATAGTTATTAAATAGATATATTAACTTAATATAACTTAGCCCGGGTTTATAGAAAAAATTAACTTGGAATTTGATCGGCTTTCGAAAGAAAAGATTAATGAATATTATTATATTTTAAATTTTTAAATCTGTGATTACTACTATCACCCAGAATAGACTTCGAACGGAAACAGTTGAACTAGATCCAACTTCATGGTATCTTTTGTGATAAACACGGGTAAACATTTTGGTGAACTAAAAGAATACCGCACTAACCATAACCAACCGTCCAATCAGAGGACAGAAACCAATGGAAACCACCTTAACGATGTTATTTTAAAAATTATTTAAATATTATGTACTTCAAACATTTTTATTTCTATAAATTTATATAAATCGTAGTCTAAACAACGTGGTCGTATTTTACAAAGAATAATAATTTATAATTAGGTGAAAATATAGTCAAATATAGTTGTATCTATTATCATTTGATTAGCTTGTGAGCGTTTACCTACCTGTTGGCTAAATATTTGTGTGCACGAATTGATGACGTCACGCTCAGATTCTATAACGTCGTGGTTGAAGTCTGAGCGTTATCAAACGCCAAACCGAACGGTGCGGTGGAGCTGATAAGCGCTTATAAGTGTTTAAGTGAGCTACACGAATGTACCCTTAGTAATTATTGTATTTTTTTTAATTTCTTCACGATTTTAAATGATTTATACGATTTTATGATTTATGTTATTTTAAGTGATAAGTTTTTTAAAATTATTGTGCATGTAAAAATCTATTTTAGTTTGAAAATTAATATTTTGTACTAAATTGTTAATTGTTAACAAAAATGTCCAAGACAATGGATACTTTTTTTTCGCCACCTCCAACTAACTTATCAATTTCGCGGCCTACAATCAATAATAGATTCTCTCCAAAAAACTACAAATTTCAAGGTCCTAAGCCTTTAAATATGCAACGATCTAGTTTGGATGGACCACCAAGATATTCAGCAAATGAAAATATACACGTAATAGGTAATGATAATACAAAAAATGTCTCAAAAAAAAGTGTTTTTCGTAAAACAGTGGACTATAATTCATCGTTGATTCGAATGCTCCAAAGTAGAATTTGGCAACGAGATTTCCGAGATAGACCTTTTTTACAACCAATCGAATTATATACACCCCATCTTTTACCTCCTCAGTGTTACATAAATAATTGTGCAAGCTCAATTACTACTACGTTGGTTAAAACTGTTACTAATAGATTACGATCTCCTGTGATTTGTTCAGAATGGACACCAGAAGGTAGACGTTTAATAACTGGTACATACAATGGTGAATTAACTGTGTGGAATGGGCTGACGTACAATTTCGAAACCATTATACAGGCCCATAATTCGGCTGTTCTTTCAATGACATGGTCTCATAATGGTAATTGGATGATTACTGGAGATAATAAAGGTTTTGTAAAATATTGGCAATCAAATATAAATAGTGTTAATATGTTTCAAGCACACAAAGAAGCTGTTATATCTACAAGTTTTAGCCCACCTGATAATAAATTTGCAACATGTTCATATGATGGAACTATACGTATTTGGGACTTTTTTACAAATAGAGAAGAAAAAATACTTCAAATTGGGGCCCGTGTGAAATGCATTGACTGGCATCCGCAAAAGGGTCTTTTGATATCTGGCAGTAAGGATTATAAACAATCAATTAAACTTTGGGATCCGAAAACCGGTCAATCATTAGTTACTTTAAATGCTCATAAAAGTACAGTCATGGATGTTAAGTGGAATGCCAATGGTAATTGGTTGGTATCTGCATCTTCAGATAGCTTATTAAAATTATTTGATATTAGAAATCTTTCTCGTACAGTTCAAACATTCAAAGGTCACAAGAATAAAGTTAATACTATTGCCTGGCACCCATTTCATGAAAATTTATTTTGTAGTGGAGGTGATTTTAATGCGAGTATATTATTTTGGAATGTCGATGTTGATAAATGTGTGGGATCTATTGAGAATGCACACGGAAATATTATTTCGTCATTGGCTTGGCATCCAATAGGTATAGTATTATGTTCTTCTTCATATGATACCAATTGTAAATTTTGGACACGAAACAGACCTGGAAAAAAAGAAGTAAAATCAGTTTCTAGAAAAACAGAAAATACAACATCTGATGCACAATTACCTATACCAGGATTGGGTTTTGAAGGTATTGATAAAAAAGATTTTCATAAATCATTGGTTGACAGTACCACTTCTGATATTGCTTCTACTAATGGAGTTTTCAAGGATAAAAAAATTTTCAAATCTAAACAAATTCCTAAAAATTTTCAAAATTTGTGGTATGAATACAAAGCTAACGATCAAATAATAGAAATTAATTCAAAAAAAAATATTGGTCCTGATAGTAATTTGGTGAATAAGAGTTCAATGGACTTAATACCTGATTACATACCAGCAAGAAATTTAAAACCAGAATTTCCTTTTGTTTATGGGCAAATGATAAAAATAGATCGAAATCAACCATTAGAAAATGGAATAAGAAAAGACCAAGAGTCATTAATGCATTCTCTTAATTCAGATGTAATACCAAAAGTACGGCAACATCGTCCGTTTGAAAGCAACAATAATACAATTTCCGCATATGCTGACCAACACTTCCAAAATGATCAAATTGTACGCAGAAATGCATTTAACAATGATGTAAATGCAAATATTTTTACAAGACAGGACGTTGATCTCAGAATCAATTACAATTTTAACCAAAATAACGTATACTCCAATAATACAAAGTATTTCTAATGATAATCTCACCAGACAAGCTGCAACTTGGACAACAAATACAAATCAATCAACTAGAACATATTACAATGAAACCCATCGGCATATTAACAATTATCAAAACAATAGGCCATTCCTATAATATAAAAATAATCAAATATATGGTCCCCTCATTTAAAGGACATCAACGTTTATAGATCATCCAGTTACATATCATATTTACAAAGACTACCTCAAAATTATAATAATATGTATACATATTCTGTTAAATAATAATTATTGTTTATATTTTATATTTTATATTTTATATAAAACAACTTTCTACATTTTAATAATTTAATTTTGTTCATTTTTAATTTAAAAATAAAAAAAAATTATTTCTGTATGTTTCTGTATTTATTTCTAGCAAACTCAATTTTTCTTAATTTTTAGGCCAAGTGTATTGTGTGTTTGTTGTTCAAGACTTTGAGCTTAACAAGAATAAAATACAAATGATAATTTTTGTGTTCATAATAGTGTATTAAAAAAAGACTGACAATTTAAAACTAGGAATTAAATACTGGTAAATATATTTTATTTTCATTAACACCTACTACACTAAGATAAATTAAATTATTTAGAACTAAATGTATAAATAAGAATTATAATTAAGTAATACATCTACTTAATTTTAAAATAAGTTTTTTTAAAATACTTTATCAATTGGTTTTACATTCTTATGAAAAAGTAAAAATTATTGAATTAATGTTAAAATTCATTGTGAATATTATTTATGTTAAAATATATTGTCATATGAATTGTATACCAAATGATTGTAACTTGCAAAGTATAAAAATACAATTATTTTAGGTATGATTCTGAAATTATAATTTATTTATTAATTAAAATTCCAACTATTTCTGTTGACTATTTCTTTATAACTATTATGTACATTCTTGAAATATTGTTTTTGAAGAAAAAAATGTACTCCCTTTGTCTAAAACTATGAAGAAAGGTATACAAAATTTGTCATAACTGAGTTTAGTTACCAGGTTAATATGCATATTTATATAACTATTAAAATATATCTAGTATTTTCAATAATTTAATCTTTTAGGTGTATTAATATTTTTGACTCTACAGTATTGTTAGAGATTACAAAAAATAATATATATATATATATATTATATATTTAGATACCTGTATTAATCTAATGATATTTATATGTTATTTTATTTAAAAAATGAAATTATTAACATTGTTATTGACATGACAACTATTATCACATATACTATGACTTACTGATTTAAACCCTTATTTTGATATACCTATAATGTTTGTTTTCAAATTTTCTTTTAAAGATAACTTATGATAATGTTTTTATTTATTATTAATAATACCATTAAAAAAAAAAAAAACATCTATTTAAAATCAATGTTTTATATCAAATAATATTACTAAGTTAGCAGGTACTACTAAGAAATACACATAATGGTTTTGTTATACAAATAATATGTATTTTCTGTCTATTTATAAATACTATTATTACCAGATGAGACTTGATGCAGTCATCACATTCAAACACAAAAAAAAAAACTAAACAATTAAAAATGATTATTTTAGTGTTAATTATAATTAGGTACTACAGAAAAAACATTGACAACTATTAAATTATGAAAATTAAGAGCAGGTATTTTTTCAATGATACCTACTATACTTAGTTAAATAAAATAATGAATTATAATAATATAATTAAATTATATTATTTAGGAACAATTTATATGTAATTATTGTACCTATGTATTTGAAATATATTTTTTTCAAATAAATAATTGGTTTTAACATTATTCATTATTGTGAAATTATGAAAATTATTGATGTTAAAATGTACAGTAAATATCAGTTACATTAAAATATAATTATAGGTATAAACATTGTTAACCATATGCTTTTAATTTAAAACATGCTTATTTCAGAGGAATATTATTACTTATTATTTTAATAATTTAATGATGGATGGTTTATAAATAGTTTGGACTCTTGATTTTGCAAAAATCTACAAACATATATTTTTATATATTTTTTTATTAAAAAAACAATTAATACATATGGCCATAAAAAAAGAAAATGCAATTTTAAAATACTGATACAAATGTCTCATTTCATAATGTACTAGGTTTCAAAATTAAAACTAAATATTAGAAAACTTATAATGTATTTATGGTTTAGTTTTGAATTTATTTTCCATAATTTCACAATATAGATAGATCAAGAGATCTGTAAGATTGTAAGTAAGCCTTTGGAGATGTATGTAGTACCACTCTAAGAAAATTATACATTTTCTTAATTTCTTATGATATATTAATTATGTGAAAAATTCTAAACATTTAATTTGATTTAATAAAAAATATAAATTTAATGATTTTTAGGCAATATTTAATTTTTTATAGGTAAATGTTTACAGTATCTTTTTTTATACATTTTTATTTTTACTTTTTTACTTGTGATTATGGTTTGCTTGATTTCTTTAATAGTTAAATTAATTATTTTTACTTGTATCGGCTCGATGCTATTGTAATGTGTAATACGATACACTTTCGGTTGTATTCTTCCTGTGTTAGTATAAAACCTGTAGAATTATCTGAACGATTAAAATCTTTTTTTAACTGAACTGCCGAACTTGTCGTGTTGTTTGTTTTTTAATTTTTACTCCATCCACCCGACGGGACCATTGAACATGTTCTTGCTGCTCTTCTGGTCCATACAACAACATTTGTAACCAGTTCGAGGCATCTAAGATGTGTAGTTGAACCAAAAAGGTGATGTCGCCGCCATAGAAAGGGTGGGGTTCGATTAATAATTAAGTAGCTAGGTATTACAAAGAGTTCTCCAGCGTCAGTACGTGGATACGAAAGCAACCAAAACATACAGGTGCAAGCGCAAGTGCAGTTGCCTAGTCATAGAGCGTTAAGAGTAGAGAGTTAAGCCCCTGATGACAATTCAGCAGTAGCCAAATATGTAAGAAATAACATCAGTTAAGTTGCCTATGTTTAAGGTGCTAAAATAAATAATCTGTGTGAACAATATCAACATCGACACTCCGTGATCCTTCGAGGAAAGGTTTTGGTCCTTCGAATAGGATATTAAATAGAAAACCATGACATTAGTGGACAATTTGTAGAAATATTTTATTAAGTGGTAATCTTGTATTCGAGGTATCTCAGGATGACAGGGTTCATTAGGTCATCCTACGAGGATGCTAGAGCGAGAATTGAACGTGCATTTAAGAGTTTGACAACATTTGTGGAATACATTCGAGGAATGTATTGGTTTTACACTGATGTTTATTTTTTTTTTTTTTTTGTGGCGAACTTTTCTACCAGAAATTTAGCTTCAATTTACGATAAAGCACTTAATCTGTAAGAAAATCTGACTAGGCGGTACTTATAGGCGGTAGGGAAGTCATTTTTTTTTATTTTCCCTGCTGTTTTCGTAATAAATAGAAAAACATGGAGAAAATATAAGAAAAATGTAAAAAAGTACAATATTATAAACAAATGTTAATAAAGAAAATATATAATACATATTATATAATTATTTTACGAATGTCATAAGATTTTTGTATTGTTCAAAATATATAGCTCGATATAAAAGGTACAAAAACCTTTAGTTTTTTGCTTTTTTAAAAAACTTTAACTTTTTTAATAGTTCATAATTTAAAAAACGTCTATGGAATTCACTCCAAAATATTGTTCTGTATACATATATTTTATAACAGATACTTTCATTCTAAAATCAAAATTAAGCTAATAAGCATAGTCTACGTAAGCATTGTTTTTGTATGTTACCTGGTAGTTGGACTGAGCCAGTAGATACGAGTATAATGTCATCTTAACAAATCCACACTATTAACCACTCACAATCGTTTTTCGTTAGCAATTATTAATCGTTACGTACAGATGTACATTTCTCCTTTACCTTTCCAACTTATATACAACAGTAGCCCACCCATGTTCCAAGTATATCCGTCTTTTTTTGTATTTGAGCGTGTATATTGGCGTACTTACGGTGGGTACCCTCCCCCCTTCATTGGCCGTATTTATTTTAGATTGGGAGTATTTAGAGGAATCTATTGTTTTTACTTTTTTTTTTTCTGTCTGTACCCAATTTATTATGAGGCGTTTAGGTTCTTCGTATGTTCGCAAGTTGGCGGCTATTTTTTGGTTGCCCTACAATGGTGAGAGACCAGTGGCGTAGCCAGGAGCGGGATAAGCACCCCCCCCGCCATTAATTTTTTTCACGTGTTTTAACCTAATAAATGTATTCGTATTTTTGTATACTTCGTTAATTCTATTGTAAAACGTATATTATTTGTCATACTAATGAAGATTAGAGATATCACTAATCTCCATGATCATACTATCAGAAGATACATAATAACGGATAAAGTAAATTATTATTTATCTTTATCATAAGCACGTTATCATTGGTAAATTAGTTGAACAAAAAACTTCTAAAACTCGTCCAGAGACTAATTAATAGATTATTGTAGTATTATATTATAATTTATTTATCACGATTTTTAACAACCGTGGATTTTGGTTTGCACCACAATTTCTGGTTTTGTTTTATGAATATTCTAACAAGTAACGACTGATTACAATATTAATTACGATATTTGATACATTCGTGGGTTTATATTCATAAATGTGACTGTTTTCTGGAAAATAATAATTTAGTCGAAAGACGTTTTGAATCGATTACCAGTAAAACAAGTAAAATATGTCTGTTGTAAATTAACAGTAAAATATTTTAGGACTTTTATATCGTAGTATATTGTGTGTACCTATCAATTGATTAATTTTGTTTTCTATTTACATCACTAAACCTGGTTCTTAAATGTCTCAATAAGAATATACTTAAACATTGAGCAAAAACCATAAAAAAAAAAAACTGTTATTTGTAAGGAACGATAAACCAATGCTAACGAAAAAACAATTCTGATCGGAGTTCAGATGATAATGTTGCTTTGTCAACAATATACGGGTATTATGTCATATTATAGTAAAATAATTACTTATGCATTACCTACATATTTTCTTTAATGCTATTTGTTTAATATTGTACATATTTTGCCGTTTTTCTTGGGTTTTTCAATATATTGCGAAAATTCCTGGGAAAATCATAAAATGATCTCCTAAAAAGTAACCTCCTCAGTCAGATTTATTTTTAGAAAAATTGTTATTACTGTAAATTGGAGCAAAATTGCTGGTAGAAAAGGTGTCCACAGAAAAAATAAATAAATAATCATCACTGTAAAACTATTATATTCCTCGCTTCACTCAGAATCTAAAACTGTAAAAAGCTAATAGTATAATTCATACTTCAACCGCCCCCCCCCCCCCGGCAATTGCATAATCCTGGTTACGTGGGAACTGGGGATAACGTTTGATTTGGCCCGTTTTCGGCCCACTGACGATGTTAGTAAAAGAGCTCTCCAATATTGTTTATCCACCTCGATGCTAGTGTCAATAATCGCGGAAACACTGAACAAATACGTACTATGAAAAAAAGGAGATAACAGATTATCGCGGCAGAAAGAAATAAACAACCGGACCGTGTCCCCTCCTTTACGTGTCTCGCCGTACCTTTACCACTCCACGTTATTGTAATCGGGTTGATAGTATAACACTGAAGAGACGTTCATTACACCGTTTGACATTTGAAAGTAATTTACAACTCCGCGGTCTGCTTGACGACGTCCAACTCTCAACGCTCTCCTTGAAACCATACTACGACAACAAATATGTGAGTATATACCTGTCTTTAATTTTAATACAATTCGTTTCCGTGAATTAAAAAATCGTACATCGAAAATCAATTTAACTATTAAAGTTATAGAGACGCGTGGTTTAAATTTGTACGAATCGCACAGAGTTTTACCGCGTGCAAGAGAGCCGTATGGCCGATACAACACGTGCGATATTTCATGGTACGATTTTTTGAATTAATTTTCCCCACGAATTTATATTTTCGTCGTGATTTCGTTCGAGCGATACAATTATTGCGTCGTTGGTTCATGTATTTTTCCATTGGGATTGTGTTGAAATCCCGGTGTACAATAACGGAAGACTGTTATAAATTATGTATGGCATAAATGGTGTCTTTCAGTGTGGCTGTTGGTTTAACACGCATAACAGGTATTACGATTTAGACTTTTATCCCTAAAGTAGCAAAGGGCCATTGGCGCACGCACTAGAGTGCCAGGGTCCTCATGGCTCCTCCTTAGCCTCCTGTATCTAAAGTTAGCACCCTCAGATTTTGAGCTGAATGAAATGAATATAATACACGGATAGTACTCGGATACGGAATAAGTAATTACCATTATACTATTGTGGTATATTATACATAATAAATGAATTATTGTATTAAATAGTATTTATGTCATATTATTATGTAAAGTTTATGTTTGTTGTATTTTTGAGGAGGTACCTTGTTGGTCCCTTGTCGGTTATTTATCATGCAATGGAAGATTTAATGTGCAAGCGATATACAATTGTATTTCGAAATGTCGGATAGGTTGAGGGCGAACCCTCCCCCCCCCCGTTCCACCGCCGTGATACTCTATCGTAAATAATTTTAGCGCTCCAACATTTCGGACCGAATGTGCGCCCATGCAAATGGCTCTTGCAATTTGTCCGTTATAAATGTAATAATATTATTTAACCCTCTGTGGACTGACCGCCGCCGCCGCCGTCCGAAAGCTCGCGAGAAACGGCGTAACTATAATAATACTGGTCGTCGGATTTTACATCTTGTTTTGTTTTTTTTTTTTTCTTTTCCTTTCCAGTTTTCAAATAATTGTTTCGTGTATGAAATGTTATTCTGATCGGACGATATTGTTTTTGTTCGAAAGTATTATAATATTGCGCGCGCCCCTATTGTAGAGTCGTACGATAAATTACTTATCGCGATCGGACAAACATCTTTATTTATAACCGTACACATTGAATCGCGCGAAATATAATTTCCGCGCGCTCGTGTTCGGTTTGGATATTAATTGTTCCAACTGGAAAAACCCTACCGGTTCCCCCCTCCCCCCGACGTGTTTGTTAATCTACGGTACTGCGTAAATTAAAAATAACCAGAATACCAAAACATGTCTGGCAATATTACCGTCCTTATCTGCGCTCGGCGGCACAGAGCCGCGGACGCCGGTGCGCGGCGGTTCTACAGCGAACTTCGCGTATTCTATTTTTAACCTTATACAAGGTGATCCATTTCAAGTAGGTGGACTAGTTAAATTCCCAAACGGCTCCGGTATTCGGTGTACACTGCGCGTATGTTTCCTCGTAACAATCTCTCGTATTTCTGTGCTCAAAACGTACAGGTGCGACGCAGACAACATTCGTGTCATAGCTCACTTTTTACGACAACAAGTACTGTCGAATCTATTCGAATTATTATTGGAGTTTGGAGTATACGTTCCAAACATCGTGGCGGGTACACACGGAGCATCTTGAGTGTAACGTCACGAAAATCGGTTCACGTGGCTGTTTTCGGTGTCGCGCGACATCATTTCGGATCGGCCCGGGGAGCGGTCCAGATCAAATGAATGCCGGGCGGGCTGCGCCGCGCTGCAAAAGATATGCCCCGCGTGGACATGATTTCGCGTCCGGCATAAATGCCGTTGAATGTATCCATCGTAAAATATATTACGTTAATATTATTATTATTTTAATTTAAATAGTATACGTTTTTATGTGACGTAAAAAACTGTCACGAGATATCTACGTGCTGATTCGTTTTGACTTCGATTTCTGTGCAAGCATAGAGCGGTAAATTGCCATCGTATATTTTTCGGCCGCGACCAGCGCTCGTGTTAACAGAGATGTTATTAACAAATAATTTAAGAAATTCTCACTCGCCGAAATGACCATGCTGTTAGACCACAATCATCGGTCCGGCTAGGCACAATAAATTTTCGAAATCGGCACTCGACATGCGCAAAAATTATGGAAAAAACCCCGTATTTCATAATTTAATTGATCGTCTTTCATTACCACTCGCAAGTTTTCGGCTGTTGAAACTTGGACGAACTCACAATTTTTTTTTCTGGAACGCGAATCTTTATGTCACTTATAAGTTTATAATAACGCGAGTGCGCAAATTGCATCGTCCTTAGTAGACATTTCGGAATTGCCGCGAAAAGCCGCTGGTCGTGTGGACACGATCATGCCCCCACGATCGTATGCAAAATAATACCCGCCTTTCTATGCCTATATGGATTGTTGTTATACGAATTTTATCAATTTTGTTCATACAATTTAACCGGGTATGCGATATGGATATGGCACAGTTGTATGTATTTGTGAACTTGTTTTGTAAAAACAACCGGAGCCGGGAATTTTTCTTTTTGTGAAACGGGAGCCGAATAAGCTTCGTCCGACATTTTGAATGAAAAATAAATAATCCTACAATTGAAAGTATGTAAACTTCTTTGTAATGAGAGTATGATAGTGTACAACCTTACCCTTCACCCCTCACCCCCCCCTCCATAAAATATTTATTATAAATGCACCAGTCGGATGTTTGTAAATAATCGATTATTCAAATAATTGAATAACCATCAATTATTTTAAACTTACAAAATCCTCAAAAAAAAAAAAAAAAAAAATTAAACAAAGAAAATAAAAAAAGAATAATTATTCGGTATTTATTTCATTAAAATATCCATTAATCTTTAATTTTTGTACCCAGTTAGTATTAGTTGATAAAACAATTATTTGCGTTGCGTGATCGGAAGTTAATGACGCCCGATAATCGGTTATTAGTAATAATTTATTACATTGATTATTTACTTGTATTATATAATTTTCGAATATTTTCAATTATTTTTTTTTTTCGATTAATCGATATAATTTGCAACCCTATTTATAACAACGCTAAATAAATTTAATAAACAAAAAATCGAATTATTATTAATTTATTTTTTATAGTAAATTTTTAGATTTTGTATTATTGCTTTTTTTATAATATTCTCGTACGAATATTACATTAGGTTAGTTATGTATTTAATGACTCAATGATTTCCCTTCTCCCTTTCCCCAATAAAACATGTTGCAACAATATTGCATTACAAACATTTTTCTACTTCTTCATACTATGAAAATATAATATGTATAATATAATATTATAATAAAATAAATAAATAAGTTATTGTTATATCTTGTGTAGAATGGCGAACCTCAGTTTTTCGAGATGTCGTGTTTACAAATGCATTGTTATTGAAGACGGCCAAGAATATTTTCGTTTGCGTATGATTAGTAACAACCGCATTCGCACCAACACATTATATTATAATAGTATGTGCAATGATCACTTTAACTTTGCCCACCAATTTTACGGTGGCCCTGGCGGCAACCAATCACGCCGTGTCAGACGTAAGTATCTACTAGTACAATTTTTTTTTAAATAAACTGAATGATTTCATTATCATTATAATGTATTATTTATTTCTGTTTTTTTGAATTATTGTGTAATTGGTTAAGCTTTATTTTAAGACAATTTTTCATTTTTACCCCTACTCCGTGTACTTTAAATAAATATATGCTTTTTTTTTCAAATAGGAATCATCCTATTGTGTCCTTTGAACACACATTCAAATAGAGAATATTTTTCATTCTTAAATCATCTTTCAAAGTCCATTATAAATTGTACTTAAAGATCTAAAAACCAAATTTGAGTTTAATGCATTAGTTTTTTTTTAAATTTATACATATATATATATATAAGTGTTTAAGATCAAATTTTGTCAAAAATCGTAAATATCATAGTCTTTCAAAACATATATAACCAAATTTTGCTCCGAAATATTTTTCGTCTTCAATGGTTTATCGTTGATTACAGGTGTAAATTAAATAAATGTATGTATCCCACCTTCCCCACTACTCGTATACAACAGTGACTACACTTGTCCCCAGTATCAGCTCTTTTTTATTTTTTTTTTATACTGTGACAAAAATGTCTACCAGAAATCTTGCTTCGATATGTAAGTCTAGCTCAAGTGAGAAAATTTTGTCTAGAAGGTACTTTAGGGAAATTTTTTATTAATTTCCCAAGCAGTTTTCATATTATCAGGATAAATCTGGGATGAAACATAAGAAAAACTGGAAAATTGAGATTTATTAGACTGTTTTAAAATTATAGGTTTTTGAAGCTCTGATATTATGTAGATATTATTTTATGTGTGTTGTAACTATGGTAAATAACTCAATATTGTCAATTTTATAGTATGCCTATCCTAGTCTAGTGATGGTACATACATATTGTTATTACAGAGATCACAACATTTTTTTTTTTTTTTGTTAAATCAAATCAGGTAGGTTTGAGAAAAAAAATACACCTAGAGCTTTAAACTGTTGTAATATGACATATATATATATATATATAAACAGAGTGATTCCCTAGGCTGTAAACGTGCTCATCTTATTGAATGAGTAATCATTCAAATCCTTCATAAGTAAAATCAAATAAGTAACACTCCATCTGTTTATGATATTTTAATATAAACCTTCATTTGAAAAATCAAAGTTGGTATCGCCACAGGATACTCCTTAAACGTCATAAAAAATCTAAGTATTCAAAAATATCATTTTTAATTACACTTTAAAATTCCAAAAATCAGAATTTGAGTATATGCAAAATATAATCAAAAAAATGGGATGAGAACGCCTAGGGTATCTCACTGTAAATATGTTATTAAAAAAGCAATACTATTTAACTGAGCTCTGCTCTGAATCGTTTTTCGTTGGCAAGGATTAATCTTTGCTTGATATTCCCCTCTATATCCTACCTTCCTACCTTCCCATTTATTACAGGTGTCATGTGTTAGTTTTTTTTTTTTTTTTTTTTTTTTTTTTTTTTTTTTTTTTTTGGTAAAACAAAAATATTAAGTAGATAGTAGATATGTCTGTTTAGTAGAATTATTTTTTATTTTAGTTTAATAAAAAAAAATGTTCTCTATTTTTGTTTTTCTGTATTAGGTTGTTATATTTGTCGAAAAAGAGGCCATAGAGCCAAAAATTGCACCTCCAATATTCCTTATAGATCAGAGAATTCTCCATTACCAAGGATAAGTGCAATTATGCCAAGTACAACGGTGGTGGTGCCGAGTACAACAATGGCGGTGCAGAGTGTAACAATGGCGGTGCCGAGTACAACAATGGCGGTGCGGAGTACAACAGTAGTAGAGCCGAGTACAACAATGATGGTGCAAAGTACAACGATGGTGGTGCCGAGGACAACAGTTGTCATGCAGAGTACACCAGTTGCGGCGGCTAGAGTAATGGAAAGATCATCTAAGACCACAGCAGCAATAAGAGAAACACCATTAAGAGCAACACCATTGACTATGGGAACAACATCTGTGACAGCTGTAAGATCAAAATGTGTGAAACAGGAACTAAAAACGTATTGGTCACTGCCCCCATCACGGATGGCACCATATGTGATGCCATCAAAGATAACGGCACTAACTGGGTCTTCAGTAACAGCATGGATGTCACCTTTGATATTAGGGCCAAGGGCACCAGCTTGGATGTCACCTTCAATGGGTGTATCAAGCGCTCCAGCATGGATTTCACCCTCAATAATTTCACCAAGGACACCAACATGGATGTCACCCTCAATGATTGCGCCAAGGGCACCAGCTTGGTTGTCTCCTTCCATTGGTGTATCAAACGCTTCAGTATGGATGCCATCCTCAATGGTTGCGCCAAGGGCACCAGCTTGGATGCCATCCTCAATGGTTGGATCAAGGAAAACAGAATGTATGGCAAGGTTGACCGAGGAGCCAAGAACAACAACTGCAGTAGAGAGGAATTAGGTGTTAACAATGCAAGAAAAAATAAAGAAAATTTAATTCAAAAGTTCTTAATAGTGAATTATAAATATGTAAAAAAAATTAACTATCTAATATATTTCAGATTTAATTTAATTTTTGTATGTTAAATACAAATATTTAGAAAGAGGAGATCTCTTAATCATTTTAATGTAGAATTCTACTTAATGGTAAAATTAATAATATTAATATTGTTTTGCGATATCATTTTATATTATGTTTTGTCATTCGCTTAAAGTTAATTGTGAATTATAAATATGTATACATAATTCAACTAATGTTTTTCAGGTTTAATTTAATTTGTATGTTAAATACAAATACTTATAAAAGAGGAGAACTCATTTTGTTATAGAACTACTCACTGTTAAGTTTAATAATATTAATATTGTTACACAATATCTTTTTATGTAATGTGTTGTCATAAATAATTTTTATACTTCATATTTTCTATATTGAATTTAAAGAAAGTTATTTAATAAATTAATATAAATAATGTATATATATATATTTTTTTTTTCACTTTACTATAAAACTTTGTTTTCATTGAGATATTGTTTTAAGATATTTAAAATTAAAATGTTGCAGCTAATGACATATCCAATATTTTCTGGAAATTTGTAGTAAATTTATTCAAAATTTATTACATCTAGTATTGTAAAATGCTTGAGAATAATTATTTGTATAATATTCTCCAGGCATGAACATAAAGCTTGTGCATTTTTTTTATTTCTTATGTATATTTATTATTTATATAAAAATGTAATCTGTTTGTAAATATACAATATAAATAACTATAACCTATATCCAGGTTGTTACGCTATATGGGGAACCTGGAAATAAAAGGGAATTTAAAATTTTTCATGAAATTTTGGGAAAATAAGAAAAAAATATTAGAAATATTTGTATAGTACCAAATCATATTTATAGATATATAGATAACAGTATTTACTACCTAATTTACTAACTGCTAACACAAGTAAAGATTAGTTATAAAAAAAAAATGTTACTGTCATAGGTGGGAAATTGGGAATATAGGATACATAAAGTTATTTCATTTTTTCTGTAAACAATGATTAACCATTGTTTTAACAAATTTTATTTATTATTCTGTTTATTTATAATTAATTTTAATTAATAGGAGTTTGTCGATTGGCAGTTTACATAAAATAAAAAATAGTGTTGGTGTCCATGAACTACACCTTAGTAAAATATAAATTGTTTAGCCCAATTCACCACTGAGGTTGAACCTCTTTGGTAAAAATAAATTATCTAAATTAATTAAATATAATAACTATGATTAATTGTTTACATATGTAAGTGTTGATTACCTAAAAAGTTGACTATAATGGAATCAAATAATATGACAACAAAATCTTTTATAAATCAATTTCATACTCACAAAAACCTTAAGCAATTATAAATGTATTTCTTAATGGCTTTTGAAGTATTATTATTTATGATGAAAATATAATGAATAATGAAAAGTAGTAAATATAATAATCATTTATAATTTGGCTTATTAGCCATATATTAATATAAGTTGTTTATTTTTTTCTGTGGACAACTTTTTTTACAGTTTAATTTAAATAGTGGCATATTGTTTAGTAAACCTATTGATCAAATCCTATTTTAATAGAATATCTACTTGATTTTAAAGCTTTATATGCTTGAACAAATATATTATTTTCCTTGCATATATGCATTTTTTGCATTTAAATAGAAAAAATTGAGTTTACACATTTTGATTATTAAGTTATTTACTTGTACATCCCATTTTAAGTGTTGATCATCATTACATGTATCATTGTTATTTAGATTATAATTTTGCATATGGATTTTTAAGATGTTTATTTTAGGCTGAGTTCTTTTGTCTTGTAAAAAAAACTATTTTAGTATTATTTGAAGTTATATGGCACTATGAACTTAGTTTTATTAAGTATAATCTCAAGTTATGTTTTAAAAACTGCTAATTTATCTTGCACGTCTGATTTTGCACTTTGAGTGGTTATTTTCCAGATATTATGGGACATAATTAAAGCTGTATTATCTGCATAAGAAAATAATTTACCTTGTAGTTTCCTAGTGTAAATACATGTATATATAATATTCAGAATAGGAGACAGTACAGTGCCACTTATTAATTTCTAGTTCATCACTTACAGTATTTAAGATTTTAGCTTGTTGTTTACTATGCTATAAATATGATTTAAGTAGATTAAATGATTTATTGGCAATACCTATTGATTTAAAAATATTAATAACGATTAATATATAATGATTTATATTATTTATATTTAATGATTGTTAAGTATGAGAGATATTTTCAAAAGCTTTATTTAAGTCCATACACATGTACAAGGTTTTATTTTTTCCTTCAATATGTGTGTATATACATTATACATATTTCTAGATAGTTATGCTAGAGGATCTTCTATCCAAATATTCTCTCTAAAACCATATTGCATGAAGGAAGTTTTGATATTTTAGAAGACAATGTTTTATGACTTTTGAATATTTTCCAGAAAACATTTAGTAAAGATCTATAATTTGAAATATCTGATTTATTACTTCCTTTGTGAATAGAAGTTCTAGAGCTATTTTAAAGGATTCAAGTACATTGTTTTCTACTAAAATAGCGTTAAAAATTTGTACTAGAGTATCAGCTTTTTATTTATTTTTTAATTAAATTTATTGAAATGTCTAGTTTAGTTATCTTCTTTAGATATAGTTTCTAGTTATAGCTGGATTTAATTGAGGATTTATTTTCATTAATTTATATATATCATTATATATATTGTATATAGTGTATATATAATATATATTATTAGTATATATTAATAAAGTATGTATAAAAATGTTTGCTATTATAAAAAAGGATTAGTACTTGACTAATATATTGAGTTATTTATATTAATTTTATAAATTTTAGAGTTATATTGAGGTTGAGTTGTTATTTCCTTAATAGTTTTTTTGGATTTCTACTATTTTTTTGAACAATTTCACCATAAAATTCGAATTTTCGTTTTTTAATTATGTCTGTTAGTATTTCGATATTGTTTGTATTTATCGATTAGAACTGTGTTAAGTGGTTTCTGTCTGCTTATAATATGTAATTCACTCGTATTCTTTTTTTAAATGAAAAAATAATACTTGGTGTTATCCAGTGTTCATGTTGATTGCTTTTTGTATGTCTATTAGAGTTTTAATTTATTTAGTAATATTTTTGCAAGTAATGCTATTTTTCCTTTACACTTAATTGTTTTTATTTTATTTAAGTCTATTTGATTTATGTTTCTGTTATGTTGTGTGAAATGATTATTTAGTTATAAAAAAGGTGTATAGTTATCTATGATTTGGGAATCTATAACTGCAGTGTGCAGTGATATTTTATTAAAATATTATGGTCTATACATATGATTGAAATGGGTCGGGTGAGTTAACAAAATCATATTTAATTAACAAATCTATGTAAAAAGCTGTATAATTAATTGTCCCTATCTAATATATTAATGTTTATATCTCCCATTATAATAATTAGTGGTATGATTTTGTGTAATTTTATTATATTTCTATTAAGCAATCTGTATTTTTATAAAATACCAAGATTTAGGTTTTGATTCGCATCTAGAATGTTGTACTCTGTGTTAATTTGTTTTAGGCAATTTTTTATAAAAACTATAACACCATTACTTTTAGGAACATTTTTGTTCTTTTTTGGGGTTATTAACCCTTAAGTTTTCAAACACAGCCCAGAGGTTTTTACTGTAAACCCTAATTATGAACTGTTAAAAAAGTAAAATAATTGATAACACTTATAGAAATTATTAATATAGTTAATAGACATGACAAAAACAACTGATTATAATATTTTTTTATTTAAGTAATATATAACTACATTTCGAGTATACTTAAATTTCAACTAGGTATATGTAATATTTGTTCTATGAGGTATACAATCATCCGCTACATGATTATATAATTTATATAATGTAATATTATTTTACTTTTGATACCCTAAAATAAATTACTATAAGTAAATGTCTATTAAATAAATAACACATTTCATAATTAGGTATAATATTTATATTTAGTAGGTATACATTATCAATAAATTTTAATTAACACTAATTTCAATAAAAGTTAGTTGGATGCAAAATAAAAGTGAACCTCATTAGCCATGAACATCATAATTTGCTAAATATGATGAATTGTATGATACAGTTACAATTTTTTTTTTTTTTTATATATTTATACAAATACCTACTGTTAAACACTGATAATAACCATGATTATATCTCAATTTTTTAAATTTTTATTACAAGTCATTTTTTGGAAAATTGTTAAAACCACAACCAAAACATGTAGCTAAAAGGGAATACTAAACATTACACATTTCTTGTAATAATTTAACACACATAGTAGGTATTCAGTATTTATAGATATAATGTTTATTTATCAATGAATTTGTTAATTTACAACTACATAAAAAAAATAGTATTTAATAATAAATTGTAAATAATAATTCCAGCCTTTACTTTTTATATTGGTTCTCTAATTTTTCAATTTTAATTAACTGGTAAAAAAATTACTGGTAAAAATAGTGTCTATTTTTAATTTCCTGCTGTGAAAGATGAATGTGACATTGGTGCGGCAGAAGATATAGTTTGTTATGTTATGGATGGACCGAAACACTCAAGAAGAAATAGATATATATTTCCAAACTTAAATCTAGATATTGATCTCCTTAATTAAGTTTCACCTTAAGATTGTGTTCAAGTTTGTTAAAACTCAAAAAGTTTATTAAATAAGTGTAATTATAATATAAGTAATATAATTGATCAAAAAAGTTAATCAATAAGGTATATCAACTCATAAGACTGTTTTAAATTAAGCGTTGTTTTGTTATGAATATGAAAGTTGTGAAATTCTTAATAGTTACAAAAAAAATGTATCAATAAAGTGTAAACAAAAGACTGTTTGCAAACTAAGCATTGTTTTGTTATTTTATGAATAAAATTTTGTTATATTACATACATAAAATATATTCTTACTTTACCTCTCTGATGGGTTTAAATGGTATTTTAATGAAAATGTAATGCATGATCCACTTCATCACACACCAATAGTGGACCACTTTTTGGTGATATATAAAACAAAAACAAAATCACCCATGAAGTTAGTGATTGATCTAAAAGTTGTATCATGCCATATATCTTTATTATATATTTAAAGTTTCAGTCATTTTGGATAAATAATCTATATGGAATCATTAAATACGTTTAAAAAGTGGGTCCACTTCGCTCCGACTTACACTTATAATAGGTACCTAGTACCAAAATCCACAACTGTATTTATATACATATATTATTATATTAGATAAAATATTCATTGCTGCATGTAATAAAATTAAAAGTAAACGCGACAATAACCAGTCTATATGATATAATATTGTTGCATGCATTGGTATTCTGTACTCAGACCAAATAATAATATTGTAGGTAAGACCGGTAAAAAATGTTCCGCCGTCGGATACACACTATATAATATTATTAGAACTGTTTTTTTTTTTTTTAAATTCCATTATATGTTGTAATTTTCGTTGTTCGCATTCACGGCACCACGAAATAGACGTAGGTGTAGGTACTTATAAAATACATATTGGTACACACAGGTAACATAATGAGACAATAACGAATACTTAGGTGACAATAAGGTGACACGTGTTAGCACAGTTGTTGCGCCCCTCCCCCCCATGACCGAAGGGGTGGATGGAGAGGCACGCGTATTGTTTACATAATATAACGTATAATAACGTACGTTGGTGTTTTCAATTATTTAAACAAGTGTAGATCCGTGTAATTAAAATACGTATTTTATTTTATTTTGGTTTTTCTACTATTTGCATCTCGACGAGTCCAAACGGAATAATATCATCGCTACTGTCTGTAACGTGCCTATACAATATTATTCAACTCGAATCACTCGTATAGGTTCATATTATACCTTTATCCTAGTGTAGTGTGTCGTCAGTATAACGCCGTCCAGACGATTCCGATGATGTTCTGTGACTTGACAGTCACTATAGGTCACTTCACAGTAACTTCAATAATTATTCACAGAAACTTCAAATTCGTTCTTGCTGTATAATCTGCCCACGGGAAAGAGAAAAAGACAATTTTATTTGTGTGTTTTTCATCACGATTAATAATAATGAGTGAACCGTCGCCCAGAGGAAACGAATGCGACAGATCAGTCATACAAGTAAGTGATTTTTCATTATTACAATATTATTATTATTATTATTATGTATAAACGTAAGTAAAGGTAATACATAATAGTAATAAGCACTTTTGAATAGTTTTTGCTATCGATAATTTTCGATTGTATAAATGAACTATTGAGTATTTCATTCGCATATTATTTTGTTCCTGTAAACTTATAATCGGAAAAACTATCGAATGTTTCGAAAAACAATTCGTTTTATAGAAACTTAAGTTAGACGGTAATTATTAAGTAAAGTTACAAATTTACAAAAATACGAGTTACCCACCTACTTTTTTTTTTCGGTTGATAACATAATATTACTTGTAATTTTTTTAGTAATTGATTAATTTTTATAAGATTAGTTAACAGTGTTATGCCTAGTATTTTTTTTTTATTATGCGGGTGACCACTATACGAGAGTAAAATATGTGCTCATAATTAACTAAAAAATAATTTCTAAGGTACCTGTACCTATAACTTGTTAGGTATCTATATCTACTTTTGTTGTGCTGTAATGTTATCTGAAGTCCGAACAAAAGTTATTAAAAACGGGAAATTATTTTTGGTATAGGTATACATATCGAAATTAATGGAAAGCAATTTTGTCAACCAACAAAAATATTATTAAACTCGTACTGCCGAATGAAGCTTAGCAAGTTACCAGACCCGATACTTACGAGCTGTAGGTAGCGTGTCATACGTGTATGCGACATATTTAACGGGACTATGGCTGAGGGGTTCCTTTATTATACAATGTTTCAAAAAAACAATTAAATTAATACAATCAGTATTACCATACATTAAATAATGAATAAAAAGTTTGTTCACTACTTTACGATTATGGTAACCAGTACACTCTTCGCTCACAGTTACTATATATTATACTATACTATACCGTGTATAATAGGTATAGAGATGTCCCATCTATGTATATATTATCTATGGGATTTACAGACTATGAATGGCTATCATTTTGATCATTGATGATGGCTATCACGAACTAAGATATTTTAGTTAGTGTTAGCTACTTATAAGTTATCACGTATCAGATACGAGATATCAATAAATTTTGTAAGATTTATATGTTTACCAAAAAAATTTAAATCGAGCAATTTTATAAAAATAGGTAAGCTTAACAAGCCGTCCCATACGTTTCCCTTTAAAAAATAAGTAGGGATACACTAAAATATCCAACAAACTAGTTCTGGTACTTAATCCTCGGGGTTCCCCCTCCCTTAAATCAAGCACTACCTATATGTATATATATATATACCTAACCTAACCTAACCTAATCTAACCTTATATATATATATATATATATATATATATATATATATAATATACATATACATACGTATGTATAGGACATAGGTGCTATAATGTACAATATATGTCAGTGTTTTTCAACCATTTTACTGTCACAACCCCCTAAATGAATATTTAATTTTTTTTAAAGTCACTTTGTTTTTTCAATCTGAGAAAACACGTTTTTAATTTTAAAACGTTACACATGTTTTTCGCATTAAGCTCAATATGAAACTTTGAAATATAATAAACATGATAAAATTATGATTGACACGCGCAATAACAATCGCGTTGATAGATAACAGAAAAATCGTTTATCGCTTAATATCTAAATTGACTATTATGATTTTTTCCCAATAATACCCTATATATAACCATATTGGGTACTCGTAAAAAAAACATTATATTATTTATTATTAAAAGATAAGGAGACCCTTTTCTTCTTTTGCTCGCTGGCTCGTCCGGTTATAAATTGTCAAACTGTCTTGCTGCACCAGGAGAACGTCACGCGGATTGTGTACGTGAACAATAAGTCACAGGTGAACGTCGGCTCACCGTCGGTGACAGTGCCGTCGAACGCGATCACGCACTATGATCAAAGCTCGTCGGACTCGTCGTCGATTTGCACATTGAACAACGTGGTGTTGCCACCGATCAGCTACGATTATCACCACCACCAGACGTTGATCGGGTCCAGCGTGCCGGTACAGCCGCCGCCGCCGCCGCCGCCGCCGCCGCCACCACCGCCGCCGCCGTCGATGTCGTCGGTACAGGTGTACAGCGGTACCGATGAACATCATCACCAATATACGACCACGGTGCGGGGCACCGGTTGCTTCATACAGACGGAGATGAAGCCCAACGCGAGGGTCCGATCGTACGAATCCGAGAGAGGTACACATTTTCGTTACAATAAATAACTACGCACAGAGCGGTGAAATTATCTGACATTGGCTTAATAGCTTTATAATAGTTCATATAATGCTGCAATGTATTGAAAATAAATTATGACTACCGATTCAAAATCATTGTTTTCGCGTATCTAATAAGTTTGATATTTGTCAATTATAAAAAAAAAAAAAAAAAAAATCACTCCCAGTTTTGCGCTAAAATAAAATAAAAAATCACTAAAATTGAATTTTATTAAAATAATAACCTTTATTAACTCTATTCAAATTAATTATAATACTATAATGCAATGCATTTTGAACTCATTTAAGAAAAAAATACCGAATATCTACTACACTATCCTTGCCCTATAACAGTTAAAGGTATTATACATTTTATACTTGACTAATATAATTAAGAAATTATATAATTTTTAATTTAAAGTTTTCTTTTTGCATTTTAATTGTATTTAGACATTTTTTTTTAGAAACTATTGCAGTAGTTATACCTTTTTTATTTTATTATAATTAATTTTTAATTAACTAATATTACTTTTGGCTTTGAATTAATAATTCTATAACTCTACATTCTATATAATTTCTCAATGTATTATGCATAGTTTTATGTACAGAGCGATTCGTTACAGTCAATTTTTCCACGAATTACTTAATTTTTTAATAAACGACTTATTTAAAAATATTTTATAATCATATATTCTAAAATGTTACATTGTCCTTATTTTTTGTGGTGAATCCGGCTACTTATTTTTTGTTTTATAATTACAATCTGTATTGAAAATATTCCATAAATATATTAATAAATTTCGGTGTGAAAATCAAAAGCAAGTAACTGATTCATCCTCAAAAATAAGAGTAACAAAAATAAGAACAACGTAACATTTTAGAATATATGATTATAAAAAGTTTTTAAACAAGTCATTTATTGAGAAAATAAAATATAACATGAATTTTAGAAGACCCTGTTTATGTATAGGTATAATCCTTTAGAAAATGATGAACAAAATCAACGTAGGTACCTTCTTAATAATACATTATCGTACCCTTCGTAAATACCATTCGAAAGTTCTAACCTTTTTTTTCACAAGATTTTAGATTCGAAGCGTAGCAAGGAATGTATTGGTTTACCTTGATGTTTTTTTAAAATTTTTTTTATACTGTATACAAAATTACTACTAGAAGTCTTGTTCCGATGTATCAAGTATAGCATCTTTTTTGATAGGAAATTTTACTTACTTGGTACTTTAAGCCGGTTACTTTTTGATTTTCCAAGGATGGTGCGTGCCGTAATGTCGCAATAATAATAATCTTCAACTTCGTCTTATCTATAATGACTTTGGCGGCGGTAGACAATTGCCCATCGCCTCGCACAGTGCCGGAATAACCTATAAGCAAATTGAGCACTTAAGGCCCTCGAAAAAAATTCGGCCTGTACATTTTTTTTTTTTTGCTGAGAAAATTTAAAATCTATAGATTTGCAAACGAAGTTGATGGTCAAACTAGATCCGGCATCAGCCGAATATTTTTCGGACAACATCTGCCGAATTATTCGATAATTTATCAGGAACAAAATTCAGCCGACAGAAATGGTCGGACTACATCCGGATTTCGGTTGAATTCATCAAAATTATATAGGTAGTACACATCCATGTATTCACACCCATCTATGTAACAAAATGTTTTGTTTTCATCGGGCATTGGCCATGTACGACCGAATTTATCGGATGACCAGTACAATTTAATTTCATACTTATATTTTTTTTCGTCCATATTCGGCAATATTCGGCCGTACGTTAATTCGACCGATACCGGGTCTAATCTGACCGTAGTTTAATTAAGTTTGATTATAATATGATCGGTATATACCTATATTTCACGATTATGGCCGAACTCCGTGGTAGAATTCATAAAATCTCTAGACCTGGATGATGTTATTCCAACTTTTTCAAATGAAAAATCTAGAAAAAAATAATTATGCATAGATAAAGAGTATAGACAAGTGAACAGTTGCAACGATGACAGTGACTAATTTCATAATGAATATACATATATTTTAGTATTTACCTATAATTTAAAAATATATTTGACACGATAATAAATTAAATATTATTTATATTCATAAACAAAATTATAATTTTTTTTTTTTGTTTAAATTTACAATTTAAAAGCACAGTTGAGATATAGGACAGGTATACCTTTTTTTTTCTCTTTATGGCCAATTAGGCCCGTTTGACTAATTTGCTTAAAGCCCGGGAAACACTTGATCCGGTACTGGCCCCACAGGTAAGTGTAGTAGTTGTCGGAGCGCTCGGACCGAGCACTATAGGTACACGATTGCTCCGTTCGTTTTGGAACATATATTGTATCCATGCTGTTTTTTGTTAATACATCACTTTTCCACAAAACGAAACACTTTAATTTATTTATAACGAACCGAGAACAAACGTAGAGATAAACGGACAAATATTTACAGCGTAACGATTTCATGATTTTGCATTTTCGTAACTTATGTATTCTACCAAAAATATTACTCTAATATAAAAACGACAAGATACCTTTCTTGTTTGTGTACAGTTGGTCCTTGAGTAGCTTGATTAGCTTAATATATTTTTTAAATATATAATTCACGAATATTTTAAAATCAAAAAGATTGAACAATATTTTTACATAACAAACTCAGAAATATATCGACTTAAAATATCATTAATAAATAACTGGATGAAAAACTGTTTTCTGATGATAAGATCTGGACGAAAACCTATTCAGTGACTATACAGAATAAACCACCTTGTTATAGTAATTCATTGAGGTATTTAGCGCAGAATAGGGACATGTCTTGGATTTGTCCTTTTTCAGCACTAAATACTAACACTAACACTAATTTGCGTTATAAATTTGGTATGCCTAAAATAAATACAATTATAATTCAGTATTTTCACAAAATTTTCAAAAATAATATCATAATTTTGGCCGTGTTCTAAATTGAAAATTGAAAATAGGCTTCCTAAGAAATTTAGAAAATCTGTCAACCAACGCATACATACTTTATAAATTTACAATGGACATCGGGAAGAATTTCTAATTTCTAGTTTAAAAACTAGCTTCCGCTCCTATAATACAAATACGTTCAAAATTATAAATTTATAAGCATACAGATAATATGGGAAACGACCCACTGTCTTCTAAGATAGTAAATCATATATATGGTCATTACACACGTGCAGTTTAATGATTATTGCTTTATTAGAAGTTCGTTTTTACTGTTGAATATTTTATAATATTTGTTTTTACTTTAATACGGTCAATAGGATGGGATGAAGCACCTTTAGCCCCTCCCCCTTGGGTACGCTACTACAAGGTACTTACTAACGAGATTTTCCACCGACGACTTACGTATAGGTATAGCTTAACAAAAAAATTACCAATCCGCCTTTTTCGTAGATTACAAAAAATCTGCATGCGATCGAGAACGTACGAGAATGCGAGACATGAACAAGGCATTCGACTTGCTGAGAAACCGCTTGCCCAAGAGTAAACCGCCTGGCAAGAAGCTATCTAAAATCGAATCATTGAGGTCAGTATAAATTAGTATCTGCCAATTGTATACTATAATGTAACCAAAGCCCAGTGCTCAGTGGCATAACGTGGTATAATGTTGAAGCAAACATAAAAAAATATACTTATCTATACCTCTATCTATGTTTACTATCACTAAAGACGCTCGCAATTTATTTTACTATTTTACCTCACAAGTTACAAAAATAAGCTACTAAATAAACACTATCGAGAAATATGCAATAGTTTGAAGTCGAGAAGTAGAGAATAGTGACTCCGTACACTCTAAACATTTTTTGGAAAATCATGAGTATACTCTCAGATAGATTTTTAAATTCTGAGTGTAGCGAAGAATGTATTTATTTTAAAATGATGATTATTTATTTTTATTTTTTTTTTTTTTTTTTCATATATACTGTAACAACAATTTCTACCAGAAATCTTGCTTTGATATGTAAGTGTAGCACCTTTTCTGAAATATTGTCTAGATGGTACTTTATAGGGAAATCATTTTTTGGTTGTCTTTTGCTGTAATTCAGTTAAAAATATTTGTTGGGACTTGAAATTTGAACAGAAAACTATAAACTTATATTTTTGCCTTTTCTAGACGTAGTCAAATTTTCAAAATATTTTTATCCATGTTTAAGCTAATTATAGACATTTTTACCTTTGCGAGTTTTGTACGTAGTTTTTATTCGATAGATATTCTGTAGATAAAATTGTAACACTAAACAGAAAAAAAGCTTGACAATTTAATATCATGTTCATTAAAATTTGTATTTTGTTCTCGAAAAACAAATGTAAGCTTAATGTAGTATTTTTTTTATAAAGAAATATTTTAATATCAAATTTCGACGAAAATCATTTATGGAATTAATTATTTGGAACAAATCTAGTTACTGGTCTATGCAAATTATTCATTTTTTTTTTGTATTTTGTTTAGAACATATTATACGTATATTGCCGATTTGAGAACGATGGTAAAGTGAAAATTGAGCAGACTGACTTAGTTTTGAAATTATAGCTTTTTGAAGTTCTGATATTATGCGGACATGATATGTGTTATGTTTAATAACTAAATATTGTTAATTATATAATATGTCTGTCGTAGTCTAGTGGTGGCACATACCTGTTGTCATTCCAGAGATTTCAAGTTCAAACCCGAGTTCCGAAAAATGTTTTTTGCAAAACCACGTCGGGTAGGTAACAAGTAAAAAATGCGCCTAAAGCTCCGAGCCGTCGTAATATGGGACATACAATAAGTACATATGTATTATTGAAAAGGCAATACTATTAACCGAGCTCCACTCAGAGTCGTTTTTCGTTATCAATGATTAATCTTTGATTACAGATTTACAAAAAATTCTCCTTTATATCCCACCTTCAAACTTTTCATCTACACCAGTGGTCCATCTATCGAGCGGATGTCCATCTCTTTTTGTTTAATTTGTCATGCTATAATATTATTATAATTTCTCGTTCAATGTTCATATTGTTTATGCAACTTAAAACGTCAATACAAAATAGTAATACAAATTGTATTTATTTCAGTAAATATAACTAAAAAATTTAATATTTTCTTATGATATGCTTTTATTTAGATTCTGAGTGAAGCGAGGAAAGTTTTACTATGATGTGTGTAAATAACTTTTCTACCAGAAATTGTACTTCATTCAAAAACTTTATTGAGAATTTTTTTGTTGTATTTTTTATCTTATTAGTTAATTGAAAAAACACAATGTATTTTAATTTCATCATCTTTTTGTAATGAATTGAGTCTGTTTGAATTGTCGGTAGCATTTTTAATAATAGTGCTATTATAAACTAAACATCATTGTTCATTTAACAAATACATTTTATTGACTGCTGTATTTGTCGAAGGGGTGGTGAATGACATTCCAATTCTCCCTCCCCCTGGAGTATACTTATAATAAACGTTCAACATATTTGGTAAACCACTCACCCACCCATTCTAGTCATTAGCCACGGGTAACCATACTAATACTCTCGAAACTTACAGTAGGTTTTATGGCAGGTAACGTGTAACTATTTTGAATACCTACTTGGATAAATGACGTATTATGTATGCCTATCTAATATCACGATCGTGTTGTTTGCACACCGCAGGATGGCCATCCGGTACATAAGGCATTTACAAGCGATCTTAGAATTTGGACCAGAATACGAGACGAAACTGTACTCTGTGCCGTGCACTCAATACCTGCCGCCGCCGACGTACTACGGTTACCAGCCACCGTACGGCCAATGTTGGACTACCGGTGATTACGCGCCAAACATTAACAATCAATATTGACCGCGACATATCTGCAATACCTGTATCATTGGTCCCATGGGACGAAAATCTTAGGTCAATTTTTGGCTTTTTATTTTTAATAATCTTATCTCATGTGAGTGCCTCTTTATTTTTCGGTCTAAATAGCGTAAGTATATATGTATAATAATAAATGACGTGCCCGGGGATTTTCAATGGGAAGGAACGCAGCAAATAAAAATCGTAAAATCGCCTTCTTTATCCAATTCGATAATGGGAATTGGTAATTTAAAAGCCGGGTCCTAAAAAAAAAAAAAAAAACCAATTTCTAATCAATACATCAAGCATTTCCTCATAACTTGGCTGAAATATATACATTTCTAATAGTAATAACAACTTAAATTTGTTTGTACTTTTAAGCTAATGTAGGGGTATGACCCCTAATCTCCCCCTCCTGCATACGCCACTGTCCACGATGTATATTCTAAAACGTGTGATATCTAAACCGACAATTAAAGTATCCTAAGTCATTTAGCGATTATGTTCACTTAGTATTTACTTAATAACAGAAAAGAGACTTGATTCGGGAAGGCTAAATCCCCCAAGCCCTCCCTTATTTGTGCCTATAGTCATTATGATTTTTATTTGGCAAAAGGCAAAAGTCAGATACAGAGTGTCTGACGTACAGTGTTATCCGTATGCTAATAATTCTGTCGATATTTATTTTTTTTTTTTTCAATTAGGAATCGTGTGAGGGGGACACATATATAAAGACAAATTTAATTTTTATTTTCATTCATTAATTATTGAAAAATATATCTTTATATTTTATCACTTTTCAAAATTTTCAAAATAGCTGTTTTGTAAAATATATTATTCTTAACATTTTAATGTAACATACATTAATATCAGATCGATTCTTAGTAATAGCCATTTTTATTTATAGAAAATTGGTGTGAAAACAATTAATTTTCAATAGAATAACACAATACGCGATATGGAATCGCAATCAGCACGGTAATCCCTTATAGTCGATTGAATATTAATTTTTTTCACGCCTATTTTCTATACATTAAAGCCACTTTAACTAAATAACTGTTAGGTAATCGGATATGAATGTATGATACATTACAATGTTTAGGAGAACGTATTTTATAAAATGGTTATTTTGAAAATGTTAAAAAGTGGAAGAACGTTAATAAAAAAGTTAATTTTCTCAGTGTTTAAGAGATGAAAATAAAAATTTAATTTTTCTCTACTACATACGGGAGTTCCCTTCACACACAAAAAAAAAAATATAAATATTGACAAAGTTGTTAGCATAAGAATAACACTGTAGGGTACTCTGTATTCAGTACATATAGCAATTTAGTCATTTAGTAGCGATTTTCAAAATTTAATTTACTCGCATAGTTGAATACTTTTTGGTAGCTAAGTAGTTGACTACCTACCTACTCTTTTTTTAGTTTAGCCCTCCTTTCCCTGGGACCAAGGATACATTATAACATTCCAACTAATTATTGGCGATATTACGAACACTAATTATACGGATTCCGCGTGTGTCTATATTTTTATAAACTGTAAACATTTACAATTACCAATAATTCTACACAAATAGTTTAATCATTAGCTTCGATTTGTATACTAGGTGTCTAATATAAGGGGGCCGCGCACGATATCAATACATAATATTACGGTTTATTTTGCTTAAAAGCCTTACATTTACCTATGTAAGTATAGTCGAAAGCCATAACAAATTATTGTTCAAACAAAATGATAAAAATTGATCGTACTCAAACTCTTATTGTAGTTTTTAGAAACATAATTTTCAAACTCGTTGTCCGATGAGCCATTTAAAAAGTTTTTCTTTTATACTAGAAAAAAAAAAATTATCGAAATTACACTGTTTTTTTGCGGCGTGCGATTTTGTATGTTTTGAACAAAGAAACGGGTCACGCGCAGGCCCCGAAAATCGAACCGAATTTTAAAGAAAAAAGAAACATCAATATTCAAAATAAAATATATGCAAAATATTGTATAACATTACTCCGTAACACAATAATTGTATAAGTTGATGGCGAAATTCGATATGTAGATTACACATTATACAAAATTTTCAGCTAGAACTATTTGGATGCCTACCTACCCGAAATAGTTTTAGCTGGGAGTACTTGAGCACCTCTGTTCGTTTGATTGTTGGCATATTTCAGTTCGTAACATCACTGTTGTGTGGGTTTGTACCTATTATGTATACTATTTAATTATAATGTGTGATTAATTTTTTTTTCCTATTTTACTATTTGTCGAATAATATATAATATTATTGTATAAATAGAATTAGTAGAATTTTTTAACGTTGAATATATTTTATTCCTGTATTATAAACGGAAAGCAATTGTATTAAGTATAATTTTCAATTGTAATTGATTTGCCTGTCGATTGTAACATTTTTTTTTTTTTTTTTGGGAGATTTTAATAATTTTGTTTTTCTTATATCATTATACGATTTATATTTTAATACGAGTTGTATAAATATTAAATATATGGGTTTTAAACGGTTTCGAAATTTCAAAACATAAGTGAGTTAAATTTGTAACCTATTATAATAATTCATTGTTACTAATTTGTATAATCTATATTCAGTGGAAATTTTGCTGGGATGCTATGAGTGGATTAGGTGGAAACCTAACCTACACCTCACATCTATCTAGGTACTTGTAAATCATATAATAGATTCTTAATCTTTTCTGGATAATTTGTTTGATCACGGTATTGTAAATAAACACGAGCCCCGTCTCCATTGCGTTTACAACATTTATAAATAAAATTTTACAATTTTAAAGAAAATCATAAAATGTGTGTAATGTAGTATAGATTTTTTTTATAAAGGTTTTGAAATCAAAGTTTGACGGAAATAGTAAATATTACGGCCTTACAAATCATATACCAACAAACTTTGCTCAGAATCGTTTTCGTTGGCAATAATTAATCGTTGACATCCTAACTTCCCAACTTCCCACCTACAACAGTGGCGCACCCATCAGCAATTTTTTTTTTTTTATCATGACCCTTCTGCACCCTTTTGGTATATACCTAACGTGACCATAATTGTTTTTCTTCAAAGCGGGACACCTGTACATTTTAATAAAAAAAACCATATAATTTTGCGTTAAATAACAATTTTTTTTAGAAAAAAATCATTAATTATTTATATAAAAAATGGCAATAGAAAAACGCAGCTAATATATTAATCATAATAATAAACAATAAATCATAATAATGTAATAATAGAGTACATTATTCGGCCGGTTTTCTATGTTTGTCGGATCCACGAATCTGTTTTAAAATTGCGTGTTTGGTTTTTATGTACGAATGGAACTCTTGACAAGAATTTGTTTGTGTTAGCCTTTGTTATGAGAATGACTTTTAATATAGAGACTCCCAACTGAGTTTTTTCACTGCTCCGTATATTATTCATAAGAGAGAACACACTTTCAATTGGAGCGTTACTGCCGGGCAGATACAATATGTATTCTACAAAATTGTAGAAAAATTGACGCGTGAGAGATCATTAGCATTGAGGTTAGATAAGAGATTGATCAGATTGATTAGCGATTAGCATTGAGATTAGCATCTCAATATCACCAGCACCACCATGTGCGACGCTAAAATCTGCACGACGCTTTTCACACGTGACGTCAGATGGATCGTTTCTTCGTTTCGCAAAACGGATACTCGGTTTGTAATTTACCGTTAAATGAGCACTTGCGTTTGGACATGTTAAAAACTAAATAATCGCGTACGGTCGTAAAGGACACGTCGTCGACAAAACTCCGGGGTGCGGCGCGCGACAAGGCGACGGAACGACTATGATGGTTACGGTACGTGTAGGCATATAGTCCGTTTATTGCAAGATTCCCGCAGTCGAGGCGGTGGCAGCGGCAACAACAATTAGCTACAATCAGGACAATCGGGTACTTATTTCTGTATCGTTTTTATCTATACGAACTGCGTGGACCGCGGGTTTTAGCCTTTTTACAGTGTTGCATATATGTGCGTATGTATACGTATATAAATGTGTGATTGTGATATTTTCGCGATCACTAAAAAAACGTACCGCGAGTCGAGTTTTCTTAAAGCGGTACACTTTTAGGTACTTCGGGGACAGCGGGACAATTGGCTCGAAATCGGGACGCGTGGTCACGTTTAATATACTTACGTAATACGTATGGTAATATATATATATATATATATGTATATACCCGTTACCCGTGTATGCATACAATGTTCATATACTTTTACTGGATTTCGCCAGTGCAATAATATGACCGTCGATTATTTCGGTCGTCGAAAAAATCATAAATGTTCTTCTAATCTAATCGTCAAACGACGTCAAACCCGTCGGATTTATTTGAAAACCGGGTGTCTGGGAAGTGGGAACAAACCGCGTTGACTACGGAAAAATTACGCTTTTTTTTTTTTTTTCTTTTCTATTAAAGTCCGATAACTTATATCGATAAAACCGACAGTTTACATAGTCGTGTACTGTAAAACGGTACACCGTGTAAACTGCGACGATTACAAATTTGACATTATTCAATTCTGCGACAAAACCGACAAGACACCCGCGCATCATACAAACTGCGGCTATTATTTATTCGACAATAGGTACGTGCCCAGTTATTACATAGGTACTTTATGATGCGTACACCGGCACGGCGACACTTATTACGATAAACGATAACCTACGTCCCGCAAACTACACGACCGTTCGCGCCGCGGTCTTGGATTATGTGCGCGACGTTGCGTACGAATTGGTAAAGCAAACCCACAAATGTCCACCAATCACGCTTGGTGAAACAACAATCGCATCGGCTAATATCAAATAATAAAATATTAATAATGATCAAAGGTTAGGTAATCGAATGATACATTGTGTTCGTAAACATTATTTGGCCCGACCTTAATTGGAAATTTGGAACATTAGTACGGACTATAGAACATATTTTCAACAAACCTGGAACCACTAGTTTAAACATCATTATTTAGTGTAGCGAGACGTTGCGCTTCAATGTCATTGCAGGACAAGTCATCCGTACTAAAATGCAATGAACATATTGTGCGAAAATTCTCATAAATTACGCGAGGACGTATATTTTCAAACCGTTCTCATCCTAGTGTTGTCAACTAGTTTTGGGCACATTTCCCAAAATGTTCTATGATTTGGAAATCGGTGAGAGGTAACACTTAAATAGAATAAACATAAAAACAATTTTAAATCATAATACATTTTTCATTGGAAAATATCTAACAATAAAAACAAACTAAGGCTGGGAATGATATGGGATAAAAAAAAAAACTAAAATAGTAAATACCAATATAAATAATATGTAAAATCTGTTGGGTATACAATATTAATAATTTATAAAGTAGGTACTCATCAATAAATGCTATACCAACGTTTACTTTATTTTTACAGTAGGTGTCTATTTAGGTGTATATTACCGACCACTAATTTTGATGATGTAAATTGATAAATATTTTAATTTTCAGTAGGTACCTACCTGCATATTATATACTAAATTTATGATATACATACGAGTGTAAAACAAACGCGAGAAGTTCACAATGAAAAATGTGAAAATATGTAATACCTACCAATATACTATACCTATGTAACTACATCTTATTAAATTTTAAATCGCATGAAACAAATTTATCACTCGCCCTAACTAATTTATCATGTTTTATTAAAAACTATGTATTTATGAAATTTCATTCCTAATACGAACTAGCTAGATATTAAATGATACATGTAAATAATAAATTACCTTTTGACGTTCAACCAATTATAGAACATTTGTACGCTGCATGTCCCATTGGCCAATTTCCAAAGTTTTAACATTCTTTGACTAAAATTAAACCGAAGCATAATCAATATCTAAATAGGTAGGTACTCTAAATATTATGTATTTATAAGTTACAAATAACACTGTTTGACATTTGTTAAACAAAGTTTGAAATAACATGAGGTCGGAATTCACAAGAAGCTGAGAAGTAAAGCAAAACTATTAACATTAAAAACATTGACCTGACGATGGCTGTTTAATGAACTAATTCCACTGTCCTTAACCAGCCTGTATAAAGTTGTCACAACCTGATCACTTTGCAGTTGTACGATGATCTAGAAGTTAATTTTAGACCACATGTATAGGATCGCTGATATGTGCTTGCTAATTGGTATATACGTTATTTATTTTAGTTCATACACGTTGTGTGAAAACATTTAGAACACTGCAGTTGGTTGCTATAAAAGCTATATCAAATAAGAATCCCTTACAGTTGTTCTACTATTAAAATAATAAAATTAACTCATAATTAAGTAATATAATTACAGTATAAATAAGAAGCCTTCACAGTTGTTAACTATAAAAGCTATATTAAATATCCCATGTGTAATATATTATTGTTACAATATTTACTACAATACACTATAAGCACACTACGTGATTAGATTCATTTTGGGTAACATTTGAAACAAATCCAAATTGTAATGTATTATATTATAATAATTACTTTTCAAAAGTAATTTCTATTACATATTCATTACTTGAAACAATTCTAACAAACAAAGTAAGGCTTTACTTTCATAACCCAACACTGGTAAGTATATTACATGAGATGTAATTTATAAATCAATGGATTTGTTCAAGTCATCAAGTTGAGTTAAGTTGACTTAAATTCTGGATTCTTTTATTTTGAGTATTAAATCTTTGTTTGCCAATAGAATTTCATTATAATATTACAATAAAATCAAAAGCTTCCTCAAAAACAATAAAAAATGTCATATAGATATATTTCATTAATCCTTGGTGGATAATATTTAATCCTATATAAAATATAAGTAAGTTTTATCTTAAAATGTGTTTAATTTGATTGTGTTTATGGCAATTGTGTACCAGTAATTTTAAATAAAACAATTAAATAAATATTTTAACACTTTTAAATTGTAAACATTTATAACTTTTAAACATTATGACCTAACTTAACCTTATGCTAAGTATGTCAACATTTTTGTAATTATTGAGTATATAGGCAACTATTAAAACTTAAAAACATATTAAACATTAAAAAACATACATTTTTAAATATCATAATATTAATAGTATAGATAGTATTATCTATACTCATGGTATTAGCTTATCCTATAAAATAAAAATATGAATATTTTATCCAATGATAAAATAAATTAACATTTTAATTTATCATATGTTTTCACACATTTGTACAAAGATTTTCTTAAAATGTTAAAAATAATCATAATTTTTATTCATAATAAAACCGATTTTGTATGTAATAAAAGTTAAATATTAAGAATTGCATTATATTACAATAATAAAATATGTTATTATTTTATGGCAACAGTTTAAATAATATTTATGTTATAATTAATTCAACTTGATAATTTTATAAATAAATGTGTTCAAAATGTAATTTATTATGACATTTACATAAAACATTATTTCAATGTTGTAACTAATGATCAATACTATAAATTTATGTTTTGTGTATAATCATAATCTATAGTGGGTATGACAGATTGAACAAATTTCAAAAAGATAATCAAATACATATGTACTCCTAAATCTTTGCCTCCTTCTGTCACCGTTTGAATCAGTTTTTTCATAATATCTGCGTGCCTGTAAATATTGAACACCGTTAATTATTATAAAAACTTTTTTTATACATTTTTAAATTTAGTTTAATAATATGTTTCTATTATTGAAAGTATACATACTTGCAAGGATGTATAGAAGCCATTTGAGGACCTGGGATATGAGGATGAATTTCCATGGTAACTGTTTTCTTTGCATAGTCTTGACTCACATCTTCATACATTTCTTCAACATTCAATGGTATTTGGTTCTAAAATTTGAAAAAAAAAATTATTTTAATTTATCATTTAAATATTAAAAATCTATAACTGAATATTTTAAAAGTCTCAAATTTGTTATATATATATATATAAGTTATCAGTTTCTAAAACTCACTTCACTATAACCATAGAGCCACAATCTTGGAGTTTGATAAAATTTGTCATAAGTAATATGTAAATCATAAGTACGAGTTTTTATTACATTATCCGAAATAGATGAAACTGACAATTTTTTTTCTCTTTTTTGTTCTGAATAAACAGCTATCTAAAAAATAAATTAACCATTAAGTCAATAAAAAATTATGGCTTCAAGATTTTCTTTTAACTATATAAAATATATATAAAGCATGTATAATTCTTAAAATTATTAATTTTATTCAATTAAATAATTCTAATACAAGTGAATTTCAAAAGTTAAATTACCATCACTATAAAATTGCAACCCTCTGTAGTTAAAAATATTAAAAGGCATAACAAGGTCTATTAGAATTATATAAAATGTGAATTGAAGGGCAATTTTAAAAAAAAATCAATTATACACAATATTTAAACACTGACCTTACACATATTTTAAATTCAAAAACACACTGTAGATGTATTAAATACTTGACCTAGGTCATGTATGTATTAAATAGAAGATACCTGATATGATACTGGATAATATTACTTATAAATCACGAATAAGAATAAATGTCAATAAAAAATAATAACAATAATTTATCTGTAAAAAAATTAGTTAATATGTCAATAAATAATAATAATAATAAAAATACAATGTCTACAAATAAATTAGTTAATATATCAATATAATAATATTTGAATGTCTATACAAGTAAATAAATAATACTTTAATAATATGTGTTTCTATAAATAAATAAAGTTTATTGTCTAAAAATTGTCAAGTGCTGAAACCTGATCTAATATATTCACAGGACCTAGGCTATGTATTTAAAACATGCATGACCTAGGTTGGCTATTTAATAATATATATACAAAGAGTAGAAATGTTCAGGGTACTCGGTCATCGATTCCTAACTGAGTACTTGATATCAAATTCTGTATCTGCTGACTTACTCATTACCCAGCAGTGTTATTTAATATTTACTCAACTCAATTTTTTTCTAGATTTTGTATTACTTAGTTATTACTAGCTAGCTGTGACTAGATGGCTTAGCCACTAGCCCTAAGTAAATACTTAATTATTTGCATTTTTATCAAGAAAACCATAGAAAGCATATCTCTAGACTTAAAAAGAAGAAACATTCTTTCTTCAATGTCTCCCCACTTTAACCACTACAAATAGGTAAACATAGGTGTATCATTTATCAAAAAAATTGCATTTTAAATATTAAAATTTTAAAAATATAATTAATTTAAAGATGTTCCGAGTAACCAATATCATATTTTGTACTGGACAACTACTTAGTACCCAATTTGTTAATTATTAATGTTTATGGAACACCCCTATACACAGCATAAAAAAAAAACATAAATTTACCGAATCATTATCTTCAAGAAAACCATTTTCTACAAATGAATCCATATCCACAGCTTCACCTTCATCATCATCATCATTATCAGTGTCATAATCTACACAATACATTTGAGAATATCACCATTATTAATATTAACATTACTATACTCTGTCACACGAAAGAAAAGTACTGTTTTAATGAAAACTATTCAGAGACGTGCATTCCCTCTAAATTGCTCTTCATTTAGACCTCACCTCTACCTAATACAGCAAAGGGATTCGATAATGGTGATACCTTTCTTTCATGAAACAGACTATACATTGTGTCCCACCTTATTCGACAGATTTTTCTAGCGCTGTTAATATTAAATTTTTTTCATTTATTTTTTTTGAAGGGGACATCAATTTTAAGAAAATTTTTTTTTCATCCCCTAAACACACACACACAAAAAGTAACTTTAATTATTCACACTAGGAAATTTTCAAAATAGCAAAAAATATTATTCAAACAATTTTGATGTATCACACATTCATATCCAATGAATAATTTCTTAGTTATAACCGTTTTAATTAGACGTAAAAACAATTAATATTCAATAAAATAACATGTTATATGATTAGGAATTACAATCAGCATGGTAATTCTTTATCTTCTATTGACTATTAATTGTTTTCACACATATTTTCTAGAAAAAAAAATGGCTATAATTAAAAAACTATTAATCGGATATGAATGTAGGATAAGTTAAACATTTTTTTACCATATGGCTATTTTGACATTTTTTTAAAATAAAAAGTTTTTTGTTTTTTTGTTTTAGGGATGAAAATAAAAATTAATTTTTCTTCAAATCTATGTCCACTAAAAGACAAATCGATAGAAAAAAAAAATGTAATATTAACAGCATTGGAAAAATCTGTTGAACATGGTAAGGCACACTGTATGCATTATATTTTTTGTGGATATATTTTTGATAGCATATATTTACCATTTTTTTGATTTTCGTTTTTGGAATTGTTGTCCTACAAACACAAAAATATTAATATATTAGAACACCAGTATAACATTTTATATTTGTCAGTGATTATAATAGATCATTGAAGATCATAAATACAACTACTGAAGAAACAACAGAGTTCAATTATATTTAAAATTGAACTTCAGGAAACCAAAAAAAAAAATATTATGAAAATAGATTATGAATGAAAGATATTTTAAATTTTCAACCAAACAATGTAGTAAATTTAAATCTTCAAATAACATTAATAGGTTTAGATTATGCAATTATTTATAGTTAATTGATTTGTCTAAAATAAATTAAATACATTTTAAAACTAGTATTTAGATATTAGTCAACATAATTTATAAACCATTGATAACCTATCTGAAATAAATTTGATTGTCATATGATAAGATAGTTAATATTTCATTGACAATCATTTTAAAAAGGGTTATGTATTGTAATAATTTAATAATAAAAGAGTTTACATACTTCAAATGATACTTCAGACATTTCCCCACATAAAGGTGAGAGTGAAGAATCTAAATGATGAGTCTCAACCCATCCTTCATCTCCGTCTTCGTCTTCAACAATATTTTCTTGAACTTCACAATTTTCAATCTGGGCAAAATAAATTAACCAAATTTAAAAAGTATAAAATTATTTCAGAACGACTAGAATTGTTTGTTGGTAAGTTGGTGTATTACTTGTTTACATCTGCGTAAACATGGGACCTTTTTTGTAATTAAGTACTGTTTGTTTTTTGGCAAATAAGATTTAGTTTTGGATTCATCACCGCGTGCCCATTCCCATGTCGGACACGTATGCACTAAATGGTCACCGGCAATAACAAATTCTTGTGGTGTAACTACACCGGTTTCTTTAAACTTTGATTCCTACAAAAAAATCCATACGTTATTCAATTTTTTTAACACATAGAAGACAATTTTATTTTTATTCAAAATTCTTCGTCTACACTTTTATCTCATGTCAACTGGTTCAACTGTACCCTCATTCTTGACTACAAATATTTTTTCTTCCATTCCACATTTTCTAAAATTTTCCCCAATAACCTCAATCATATTTTTTTTTTTAATTATCTCTTCCCTACTTCCATCAAAACTTAGATATCTTAACTATTTCATCATTTCTAGCTTTCTCTTAACATGTTATATCACCGCAATATATTCTCTATAAACATGAAATACTAGGTAATACAATTATAAATTGCATACTATTATCATCCATACTTAAATAATATATTAAGTATATCGTACACGTAAATAGGAAATTATTTAAAAAGTAGATATATATTACCTTTAAGATTGGAGTCAAAAATCCAGCGAAACCTAATGCGGTGCCTTTTACGGAGTTAATAACGTTTTGCATGGTTTTTTATTTTCTAAACACTTTTAAAATGCGATAGAACGATGGAATTCATGTGCAATAAAGTCACTATTATTTTCACGCCGACAACCAAAAAGTTTTAATATTGCGATAATAAAATAAAAATTGTATAATAAAGAAAAAAGATTAGAAAACCGCACAAAAGAAAAGAAACGTATTAGTTAATAATAAATTAATGTCATAAACACCTGTCAATGATACTATACAAAATTATTTTAATCGTTAATTCGTTGTTATTGTAGCAAGTTGTAGAATGTGGCCGATGTTATTGTGAAATTTTGATAATAACGATAAGAAAACGCATTTGAAACATGTTTTTTCGATAGAAAGGAAATGAAAAACAATGACCCTGACCGAATGTCGATGTGACGTCGATACGACCACGGACTAAGATATATAATGGACTGGTCACGACATGGTGGACGGGTGACGGGGGTCGGACTACAAGTTTTCTCGCTTATCAACAACACTGTAGATGGTCTTAGCGCTCCCAGTGATTATATTTGGAATCACATTTGTATTAATTATATTATTTCTAACCGAAAAAGAATTAATTTTCTTACGATATCATAAAATGTGAGCGCATTTATTATTAAAATAATTTTTAATTAATACGTAAATTGTAATAATGAATACGTGTAAGTGTAGTGTGATTGAATGGGCTAGTGTAAATAAAAATCCAACGATTTCTTTATTCTAGCCACCAAAAGCTAATCCAAAGCTTGGAAATTAGCAGTTAATAATGCCAACTTAGTCAACAGATAGCATAACTAATCGTTGGTCTGCATTGTTGTGAGCCCCTCACTTGTCTCTTGTACTTGTACATCAATTTATGGCCACTGATAAACTGCTCGTGACCAGTCCATTATTAATATTAATTTATTTTTTCAGATTTCATGTCTAAAACCTATAATATAAATATATAATTGCATAGACCCTAAATGATTCCCAGTTCATCACTTTCCCTGTATCTATTAAACACACTTAATGAAGGAGCAAGAGCGAAATCGTAATTAAACAAAATATAATATAAATAATGATATTTAATTGTTAAATTGTTAAAATATAGAACACATTTAATGAAATGACTCATTTGGTTCAATCAAATCAGATGAAATTAAATCTACCTATTTGACGAAGTACAAAACGGTACCGAATTTGTACAATACCTATGTAAGTTTTATCAAACCACTTTACGCAGAACTTGATAACACAATATTAAATAATGCGACAAACATACAAATTTTAACAGCTCCAAGGGAACAGTATGTCCCATCGATTTAATATCGTCTGGTGTATAATTTTGAATTTTATCATGTCTAAATATCTAGCAGTCTCACTTTCACCACTTTACCTCATATGAAGTTTAATGATAATGTTTTTTAATTAAATATTGTATAACATTAAATTTACTGGACATTCAAGTAGTACAGTCAAGAATCAAATTTATTAATGTTACTTTGAAGTTTTCTTCAAATGTATTCAAAGATTTATGTGGTTCCAAGGGAGGGGGGGTTGTAACCTGATAACTTCTAGCACCGCCACCGGTAAATACCTCCGTGTGTTCCTAAATCAGTTTGCTAATTCAGCGGATTGCTCAGCAGATTGATAGAATTTAAGAACACTTTTTGTTATTGAGTTGAAACATATTGGTTAATACCAATAAGCCATAATCACCAATATTTTATTCTTATCATTTTGCATTATTTTCATCGAGATCTAAGTATAAAACATTTTATTACAAGTTACAATGAAATATAATATAGGTTTGCATACTAGGCTTAAATGATATACAATTATACAAATCCAACAGTATCTAAATGTTTTATTAAAGTATTTCCAGCACACAAAAACCGTATTTCCATTGTATTATACAATATGTCTAATGTTGGAATTTGAATTTGGAAACATGTTAGCACATTAAACAACAAATTTTAACACACGTAGACAACATATTTTTTTTTGTTTGTCAAATATAGGTTAGTAAATCAGTTTTAATTTTGGCGCGGTCAGTGTTTATCAAATCCATCTACAAAATATCAGATTTCTGATAAAGCATTCCTATTGATAACTTCCCCTCCAACGGATTGGTCAACAGCTGAGTTTGGTACAGTTAAATCTAGCGGCTGACCAATTATACTAAATTTAGGAAGATACGGATTCCATCCCTGCATTCAAATCTCAAGACTCAAGCGTATTGTATCTTTAACCTCTTTTCTATTCGCTGCATTGTTGCAGTGGACGTCTTATCAATAATCTCAATCGAAAATGTTATCTATCGTTACGACGTGTTGCAAACAGAAATTCTGATTCTAGTACGGAGACCTACGTGACACCGAAACAAGGCCGAAGTACCGGATTAAGGCTAGTGAAAGAAAATGAACGACAGTAGTAGGGGGAAGCAGTGGGAATATGATCCGAAAGTCTCGTGATGCCATCGCACCATAATATGGTTATTACCATTGTCCGTCCACGACTGATATCCAAACTGATAACAAAAACTAGTCGCCTGGTATACAATAATTAATATTAAATTATTACAGCAGTATTGTTGTGTTATTTTACTTTTACATTCACATTTCACAGAATACTAGAAAGTTGAAAAGCGCTGTACACGAAAGACACGACTCCAAAAGCTGTACCCTAGTTTCACCGTCGCTGGTAAGTAAATTTATTTTGGATTTTTTTAGATGCGTGAATCAGTGTTGAATTAGTTACAGGGGGAACACCAGAAAAAATTTCGGGAGTGATTTTGTAAAAAAAATATGTATCACATTTGACATTTATATTTTCATAAATTAAATAATTTTTTAAATTTAAATACAAATTAAAGAGTAATTTACGTTTTGGGAGCAGTTTGAATCCCAAAACTGTCCTATGCGTTCCCTAATGAGCCAGTAAGTTCCATCCCGCATTCTTTGCCATTTCAGATGAAAATGGGTGCAATGGAGTATAACTATACCAATTGCTTTCCAATATTAGTTTACATTAACACCACCGACAAACGGTTTTCCATCTCCACACGTCAAAGTGTTTGTGTTATTATTTTTATTCATACTGTTTGTACCTAGTATAAATCATTTTACTTTTAGGAATGTCACCATCTTTGTTCTTCGTGTTATATAATGTAATACATCACGGATTTCAAGTTGTTAAATAATGATAAATCAATGAATTAAGATTTTTTAAAGTTTTATTAGTTTTTTTGTAACTAAATTATGTACATACATATGGAATGTGTAACAGTAGGATCAGTTTAGTATTTTCCGTTACCTTATATATTAAAGACCTTAAAATTTTATATTCAAAAAAAAAAAAAAATCCTATTTAATTAATTAGACATAAACAAATTAAAAAGTATATTAAAATGTTGTACCTATCATAATTTTTTTAAATATATAAGTAGTAAGTACCTACTTAAATGTAATAAAAATTACATAGAAAATACTTGTTAATTTTAATATAAATTTAAAAAAAATAGTGATTTCTAGTTCTTAAACTCTTCAATTTATCTATTTATTTTTAAATATACATTTTAGTGGATGAAGAGAATTAGTTTTTTTTAATAGGGTAAGCTAAAACGAACAGGACTGTATAGAAAATTAGTAAAACAATTAATAAAAAAAAAAACAGACATACTTCGCATAATGGGTGGGCCACTATTGTAGATGAGACATTGGGAAGGTAAAGGGAGTAATTTAATGTATATCTGTACTCAAGGATTAATCATTGCTAACGAAAAATGATTCTGAGCAGTTTGGTTATACATGTTTTGAATATTTATAATTTGAAAATAATACATTTTATAAATTTTGGCCAAATTTCAATGGCACACCATTAAAATATTTATCTTAAAAAAAAAATCATATTTCAATATAATAGTATAAGAAATTTGAAGAAATAATTTTATACATTTAATAGTTATAAATAAATATAATATTTATGGTTATTGTTGTACTTTCATTGCAATGTAAATATGTATTTGTCGATTCCAGACACATTTAATAACTACATTAAAAATGTGACTCATTTCATACTTTCAAGTTTTTCTTCTACTTATGTTGTGAAAGTTTATTTTTCATAATGGAGTTTTATAAAAAAAAAAAACAAAAAAATGATTTGATAGATGAATTTTGTGCAGCTTGTGTTTCATTTAAAATTATATACTATAATCAAAACTTTATCTTTAAAAAAATAAAAAAAATAATATTTAATGATAATTTAGGAATATTTATTTTATAAAATAAAAGTTTACAAATAACTGCATAAAATGTGTATAATTATTGCTGACTTGTTTTATTATTAGTAAAAATTTTTTATTTATTTATATTTAACAATTTTTGACACTTGACTTGAAAAAGATTTGCCACCTCTGATATAAAGGAAAGAAGTATGTTTGATTGTGTATGAGCAGAAGTATATACTGGCTCTCTCGAGGCTCTCAACCTTTTTCAACTCATGACATCCTAAAGTATTTTTTAAAAATCCGATGATACCCTATATTATTATAGTAGTATATTGTGTATTTATATTTTATAACTTCTGTTTTCTTAGCCAGGTATAACTAAAAATATTATAGGGTTGGAAAGGAAGGGACTAAAATAGTACACTTTGCATATGCTTTAAAAATGTATTTTTGATATGTAAATTTATAATTAATATGTTATTTTATAATTTTTTTAGTATATTAAAAGTTCTATTTTAAACTACCTACTTACAGGTGTGAAGGGAAGGGCTTCAGTACCCTTAGTTGCCTCAGTACCCTCTTGTACCAGTCCCCATTTACACAAAATATTATTATATTTTATAAAAATTAGATTAAATAGTACAAATAAGAAAGGACCTAAGTGAGACCCTTAAGAAACACCAGAACTGATACATAACTAGAAATTTATGTTAATTAACCAATTAAAAAACTTACCATGGACTCCAAAATATGATAATTTATGTAAAAGGATGTTGTGATTTACTTTATCAAACACTTTTTGAAAGTTAGTGTAAATAGTGTACAATTGGACACATCCATTTAGGACCAAAAAAATCTTCATCTGATGAAGTAAAATATTAGTAGAAATGGACATGTTAGTTTTTACATATGAAGGGGACATAATTAAAGTTTGAAACATTTTTAGAAATCGGTCTATTAATATTAAGTTTTATGATCTATGCACTGGTGTTACAAAATATTTTTTTTAAATATTGGGAAAATAACCCAAACTCAATAATTTATTGAAAATCAAATGAAGGGGTCACGCAAGTACTGAATTACAAGATTTAAAAAAAATCTAGGTAGTATACAATCAGATCCAGTTCCAGCATGTGTATTTATTATAGAATTTAAATAATAGACAATTTCATTGAGATCAATATTTCAGGAGCTTAAAATCAAATCATTAGTAGATCCATCAGTTAGTTAAGGGACTTCACCATTGAAAATAGGAAGATCCGCCAGTATATTAACACTAGAAAAATAATTTGCAAATAATTGCGCTTTTTCATAAAAATCAGCAGAAGATATATTATTATAATTAATACAATCAGGAATAATGTTATTATACTTCTGTAAAGAATTAAGATAATTCCAAACAGGTTTAATATTAATATTTGTTTGTATATTTTTTTCAATATTAGAAACATTTTGAGCATGGTATATAGTAATAAAATGTTTGCATTCTGAGATTAGGAAGTTTAAAATAGTTAGTTTTAGAAGCAAAAAGTTTTAAACTTTTCGTGGGCGCATTTATTTTTTATTATTCATTCTCTGAGTTCAACATTGGCCCAAACAGGGAAATAATTATTATATATTTGAGTTTTGAGAAAGAGTGATAGATAATTGCATAAAATGTTTCTGTAAGTGCTTCAATTGATGAATTATTATTAACATTAAGATCAAAATCTTGAAAATAAGAAATGCCATTAAAATTACAGTTTTTTAAATTATATACCAGTGAAAACTCAAAGTGTTCATTAACCAAAGCGTTATTAAATTTTATAAGAAAACTAGCTATCCCACTCAGTTAAACAAATTATGGCATGGGTATTAGAACAGTTATTCTTGAATATAATAACTAGAGTTTCTCTTATGTATTTGATGATTAGATCATTATCATTATTTATTCTACAAGATTAATTTATCACAGAGTTTCTTCTTATAATTCCTCTGATAAAGAGTGCTATTCGAATTGATACAAATAGTAAAAGGTAAAAGTTGTAATGATAGTAATTATTTTTTTTTAATATTTCAAACACATCAACTGATAAGTTAAATACAGTCTTAATTGGATAAAGATTATTTTGAACATGAATATCAAGACGAATAATCGTTGGCGGTTTAATATTATTACCACTAATAATTGAATCAATAATATTACTCATTAAATTAGAGTCATGTGGGACTCTGTGGGCTAAGGTGTCTGAATTGGACTCTGAATCATTATAAAGTATTAAATTAGATGATTTGATACTGTGTTAACATTTAAGGATTTACTTAACTTTGGTTATAACTTATATAATTAGTATTATATACCAACCTAATACATTTTAAAATATTGTTTTGTCTATACTTTAATATAAATTTGTAATTTTTTTGTTTTAGTTTGCATTGTGTATTAAATCGCTGTTTGAAAAATGTCTACTAATGATGCCAAAAAGAAGAAGAAACCAACTGCTCCAGCTAAAACTAAAAAAGGACCTGGTAAAAATGCTATTGCAGCTTTAAAAGAAGTTTTACAACAACAAAAAGAAGAAGAAGAAAAACTTCGTAGAGAAGAAGAAGAAGAGGAAAAGCGTTTAGAAGAACTTGAAAGGCAGAAAGAAGAAAAAGAAAGGTTAGAACAAGAAAAAAAAGAACAGAAAAGACTAAAAGAAAGAGAAAAAAGAGAAAAGTTAAAAGCTGAAGGAAAACTTCTAACTCCTAAACAAAAAGCAGATAGAGCTCGTGCACAACTACTTTTAGATACATTTAAAGCTCAAAGTGAAGCATTACAAGCCCAGAGAAATATAGAATTATCTGAAAAGTCTAATGAAACTAATGAAAGTACTGAGAACAATGCAGATATTATAAAAAAAGTAGAAAATATTAAAATCGAAAACGGTGAACAAACAAATGTAGAAGAAGAGTCCAATCTACGAGCTGCTGTTGTATGTGTTTTGGGTCATGTAGACACTGGTAAAACAAAAATATTGGATAAACTTCGTAGAACCAATGTTCAAGATGGTGAAGCTGGAGGTATTACCCAACAAATTGGTGCCACAAATGTTCCACTTCATGCTATAAAAGAACAAACTAAAGTTGTGAATGGTTATACAAGTCGAAAGTTTTTGGTCCCAGGTTTATTAATTATTGACACTCCTGGTCACGAGTCCTTTAGCAACCTTCGTAATAGAGGTTCATCATTATGTGATATTGCCATTTTAGTTGTTGATATTATGCATGGTTTAGAGCCACAAACAATAGAATCTATTAATATTTTAAAAACTAAAAAAACGCCTTTTATTGTTGCTTTAAATAAAATTGATCGATTGTATGACTGGCAGACTAATCCACGCAAAGATGTTAGAGATATTTTGACTTCTCAACACATCAATACTCAAAATGAATTTAAAACAAGATCCCAAAGTGTTATTTTACAATTTGCTGAACAGGGTTTAAATGCAGCTTTATTCTATGAGAATCCTGATCCAAAATCATATGTATCTTTAGTACCTACATCAGCAATTACAGGTGAAGGAATGGGAAATTTATTAGATCTTATTGTAGAAAACTGTCAAACGCATTTATACAAACGACTCATATTCAATAGTGAATTACAAGCTACTGTATTAGAAGTTAAAGCTATTACTGGTTTAGGAACCACTATTGATACTATTTTAGTAAATGGTTACCTCAGAGAAGGAGATACGATTGTTGTAGCGGGCACAGATGGGCCTGTAGTCACTCAAATAAGATCATTATTAATGCCACAACCTTTAAAAGAACTTAGAGTAAAAAATGCCTATGTTGAGTATAAAGAAATAAAAGCAGCTCAAGGAGTTAAGATCGCTGCTAAAGATTTAGAAAAAGCCATCGCTGGATTAAATATTTATGTGGCACATAAAGCAGAAGAAATCGATAATCTTAAAGATGTAGTTGCAAGAGAATTAAAGTCTGCATTAAGCACCATAAAGTTACAAGATAGAGGTGTTTATGTTCAAGCTTCAACATTGGGTTCACTAGAAGCTTTATTAGATTTTTTGAGAACCAGTAACATACCATACAGCAATATTAGAATTGGTCCTGTTGTTAAAAAAGATGTTATGAAAGCTTCAATAATGTTGGAGCATTCTCCTATATATGCTACTATATTAGCTTTTGATGTTAAAATTGAAAAAGATGCACAAGAATTAGCAGATACATTGAATGTTAAAATATTTCAAGCTGATATTATATATCATTTATTTGATAAGTTTACAGCTTATCAAGATGATTTGAAGAAGAAAAACCGAGACCAATATAAATCAGTTGCAGTATTTCCATGTAAACTGAAAATATTACCACAATTTATTTTCAATTCACGAGATCCAATTGTCATGGGAGTAATAGTGGAAGCTGGAATTGTAAAAGAAGGTACGCCAATATGTGTTCCTACTAAAGAATTTGTAGATTTAGGTATTGTGACTAGCATAGAAAGCAATCATAAAGCTGTAGAGAGTGCTAGAAAAGGCCAAGAAATTTGTATAAAAATAGAACCTTTGCCAAGCGAAGCACCAAAAATGTATGGAAGACATTTTGATGAAAAGGATATTTTAGTGAGCAAAATAACCAGACAGTCAATTGATGTATGTAAAGATTACTTTAGAGATGATTTATTGAAGACTGATTGGCAGTTAATGGTTGAGCTCAAGAAACTGTTTGAAATTTTATGATTACAATTTATTATGAATTATGTATTATTTTTGAAAAATAAACAAATTCATTATTCTAAACTGGATGCTATTTCTTATATTACCTGTAAGCTAAATTGCTTTAATATTAAACTAAGAGTTTTATTAAAATTATTATTAGTGTTCCTTAAAATGAATTATTAGATATTACAATCAAAGCAAGGAAACTATCATACATTGAATAAAGAGGCTACATTAATAGCAGAAAATGTTTATTAGTATTAAATTGAATATTCTATCCAGCAGCAAAATATGAATTTGACCTCATTTTAAATTAAAACAAAAATGTAGGTATAATTTTTTTTACTTAATATTTGTTGTCAAATTTCTTTATTTTAAATATTTAGGTACCTAAACTTTTTTTTCTTTAAGCATTGTTTAAAAATTGATAAGGGGGAAAATAATGCCAATTAAAACCTACACATTTATACTATTGTATTAAGTATGCCTACACTAGGTAAGCATTTTGGATTAGTCTCATTGACTAATTTTAAATCATAAATAAACTTAAAAATTACAAATATATTATTATTCATAAAAACTAACTCCACTAGAAACTCCCTTTTTATACAAATATTTTGTTTTTTGGGTTGAGATACAATTTTAATTTTCGTAGGAAATATTTCTGAATACTAAATATACCTATATAAAATAATTTATTTTGAAGTATATTAATAATAGTACTACTAGCTGATTTTTAATACTCACTTTTACTTAATTAAAATCAAAAATATATAAATTTGCTGCATGTATATTAACTAACAAACAATACTACCTATTAATTTTATTTAAGTTCTTTATTTTATAAATATATATATATATATAATTCTAAAGGTAATGCTAGAGCTTTACTTGAGGGAAGGAAAAATAAAAAATAAAAGTGAATTAATAATATTATATATTGGCTAGTTGTAATACATCACAGTATTTAGATACTGGTAAGCAATATTTCCTCAACATGACGCAGGATGTGTAATAAACCAATGTTTTTCTTTGGTAACATTTTTAATTGTCAGGCCTCATATTTGAATAAAATCTTAATCCTAATTTATCATTATTTTAAAACAATTATATTATGATACACCTCTAAGGTACCAGTGCTACTTTGATATATGGCAAACTGATTTAAATTTAGTATGTGGTCTACATAAATTCATAACAAGCATTAGTAAAAGTGACTGATGAGATTTAAAATTTGATATAGAATATATGGACTGTTGGTAATTAATTTAAAATCCAAATGAACAAGTTGTGTTATCGAATTCCATGAAATTAATAAAATATGTATAAGTATTTAAAATAATAATTATAATAATAATAAAAAATACTAATACTAATCAATAGAACTACTTAGATGATTCATCTATTAGTTATACATTTATCACCCACAAAACTGGGCACACCAAATTCCACTGATATATAACATGACTAAAAATAAAAAGTAAAGAAAATAATAACAGTAAAACATCTATTGACCAAATGTAAAAAATATAAAGAAAACCAAATTATACTTGCTGTTTTTTTATCAGAACAATTATATTTCTAATGCACCTATTTAAATTAATTTTAAATAACTTATTTATATATTTACAAGGTAAAAGATATTAAACAGTAATAATGTAGTAGATATTATTAACAACTTACCAACATATTTAATTTGAAATTTTCCAAGAAGAAAATTATATTTATTTTGTAATTTAGTAGCATGATTAACATATTTAATTTATACATTAAAATATAATAATGTAATAAATACAATATATTTCAGTCATGGTTAGTAGGTACCTAGTCCGTTTTAAAATGTTAACTGTATGACCTAATAAGAGTGATTATTTATTATTTATAAATTTATATATGAGGGTTTTAATATGTAGACCAACAAATGACTATAAAATCTTTTTTGATATATATTTAATTACATATGTTTTCCTTTACTTTTGACATAGTCCCATACTATACCTACACGAATACATTTATCTCACAAATCAACAAGGATATTCTTTTGACAAAAATTCTCTGGGCTTGTCTCTGAACCACTTTTTCACAATATGTTATCTGACTTCTAAATTATTTTGAAAAATATTTCCATACAAACGATTTTTGAGGTCGGCACCCAAACGGCTCCCATTCATTGCCTAACAGCTCATGTGGAAAAAGGTTGCACGAGTAGGTAAATTCCCAAATAACTCCGATAATCGGTAATACATGTACATTTCTCGTATTTCTGCGCTCAAAACGTTCCAACACTATGCAGAAGACATTTGTGTCATATCTTACTTTTTATGATAACAAGAAGTTCTAATGAATCTTAAAATTATTAGATTTTGTATTTTACGTTTCAAACATTATATGCCTAAATAGATTGTTGTTAGACAAATTTTATGAAACTTAACCAGTTATGCGATATGGATATGGCACACAATCGTGTCAGCTTGTGCAGTTTATTCGTAGGTACTTCATTCTGTTCATAATATTCGCCGCCGCTGTGTGCGTTTGTTGATTACTATATTTATTTATTACGTTTTAAATCCAAGATGTCAAATGAAATGTTTAAACAAATGATGAGACAATTTTTCGTTAAATTAATTGACCTAAGTCTGTATGAAGTGGAAAGGAATTTAAGCTGTATCATCTTCGTAAAACCAATATTTTATTTGCTCCACTCAGAATCTAAAAAAAAAAAAAACAAGCAAATGCAGTGATGGATAAATAATGTTATAATAACAAAAAACAGTATATTATAATATATTATATTTCAGTTTCTTTTTCTTACTTGTTTCGCTGCAAATTTTTTTATCACATCTGAAGACATAGGTGATCTTAAATATTTTTTTTACGAACAGTTGGAGGCCAAATTACACAGGAACTGTGTATAAGTTGGGTAATGCTCCTAAAGCAACATCAACATATGGAAAAAAGACATAATTCGCACGATGACTGCAGTCACTGTTGTTGGTGAGAAGTTGAGAATATAGGATACAGTGGAGAAATTAATTTGCATCAGTAAGCAACAATAAACCATTGCTTACTAAAAAGGATTCTAAGCGGAGTTCAACTGATAGTGATGCTCTATCACAAAGGTCAACAATATGTATGTCATATTATGATAAAATAATTAAATAAGTATTATTATGTATTGCCCTAACTAATATTTGTTTAATATTGCACCGATTTTCCCTTTTTTCCCGGGTTTTCACATTTGTTGAGAAAATTCGTAGGAAAATCAAAAAATGATCTCTTTATAATACCTTCCCAGTCAGATTTCCTTTCAGAAGTTTGAGGAGTTGGTGGAGAGCGGTGGTGCATTATTAACACGCCGCGCGCCGTATCGCCTCACAAATGATATTCCACTACTCCCATCCAAACCAAACTTAAAAGTGGAATATCTCATCATTGGATTGACGGGAATCAAAAACTTAAACACAAACATTTATTTGAACTAATACTTCATCTATTTATGTGATTTTTAGTATAGGTTGCCACTTGGCAATCAAAAGTAGATAGTGGTTTTCCCACAAAAATAGCATAAATAAAAAAAAAATGTGGAACAGCTTATTTCTGAAATGTTCTTGAGAAATAATTTCCGAGTTAATGAGTGTCTTATGGTAGATTGATCACCCTGTATATCAAATATATGGATTGTTCATATAATTAATAATTTTTCCGAAAACTATTTTGTAATCGCCGTGAAAAATTAGAGTCCCCCTGATATATACCGGTGGAGTCTATTGCCCTTCCCGAACCACCCCTTAAATACTGCCCTGCTGAACACATATACCTAACAATTTCATCAAATATTCGTGTAGTCGCTTTCGTGTTTCATTTCCCTTTATTAAACGACCCTTGTATACATAAAGTACAAACAATATCATAGACATAGACACTATCTATAGTTTATCTGCTAGACACGTCGCGGCCACGAGTCTTTTCAAAAACAAATGTGCACCGTTTTAAGAATGATACAATATAGGTTCGTAATTATATTGTATCGACGCACGACTGTACCTGTTCATCATGCGATTATGTATGTATTTTATTGTTTTATAATACTGTATATTATTATGTAAGTTTGTTGAAAGACAACGGAAATCCTCGAGTACCTACTTGTTTCGCTAAACAACAGTAATGCAAAGATACAACAATCTAATCTAAAATCCTTTTTTTCAAACTACAAGTGCGTTTCACGAAACCAGCGACTCCGCAGTGACGCTTCCGGTGATGGAATTTCGGTGTTCCGCGGTTTCTCAAACTTGCACACGATACGCGGCAATTTGGAATACTGCACGGTTTTTTGAAAAATATAAATAAAAATAATTATTTTATTTATTTTATAGTATATATGGTAGTTGTAAAATGTTTGGCAGTGGAAGGTGAAATTCATATCAACAGGGCCAGCTGTTCGATGGTTGATTACCGCGGCTTTTTAGTCACACGTTTAGGAAACCCTCACGAAAATCTGCCATCGGAAGCGCCACTACGGAGTCGCTAGTTTCTTGTAGTAATTTTTACCATTTATTAATTTTCTAACAAGTGTTTAGTATACAATAGTTTTTGATAAGTCAGCTGTGTGATATCCGTATTGCAGGTGTCGGTGGAGGTGCTGCATAGTTACCATAGAGTATTACTCACAATAGCATGAATGGATAATATTTCTATTTGTAAAATCGGTAAACAATTTGTATTTGATCAGTATTTTCATTCGTTTGTCGACCGTCGTTTATACGTTTATAAAGGTTTAGCATATTTATAATTCGTAATGAAGTGTTAATTTCAAAATCGAATTAGTTTTTCTGTTAATAATGATAAAAAGAATTAAAAATGTTAAACTAAAACGTATCTCGAAATTTGTATTGTGTATTATAGGATTGATATTTTTTTGTGAATACGCTATATATTACATTGTTTTAATTCAAGTAAGAAAACAGTACCTAGTTACACTTTTCATCATTAAAAATTCAAAACCTTGGTACTTATTAAGTTTTTGTTAGTCCCGTTATTAGACTGCAAATTATGATGTGGATATAATTCCGAATACAGTGGCAGACCTAGGGGGGCACGTGGCCCCTTGTCAATGGACTAGCATTTATTTATATATTGCATATATAGTTTGTAATTAACTTACTAAAAATATAAATAATGTGCCCCTTTTAAAAAATATCTGGATACGCCACTGCAAACATATAATATTCGTTTCTAAATCTTGTAAAATAATAGTACTTAAGTATAAATTCTCTGAGAAAATTTTTATTTTGTTTAATCAATATTTGTCATTAATTTCAATACAATATTTGAACCATCATAAAATCAATGTTTCATGTTCTATGGGGATTCATGTTTTTATTGAGATGCTCACAACAACTTACAATTTTCCGTTTAGCTTAAAATATTAAATATTTTTAATGAATTCGGTTTTTAATACATAGTTATTGTGTAGCAAAAAGACATCAGGCTGGTTGGTATACCTATATTTAGACACTACTTATGTGCCATTTGGAAAATGAAGTCTTTGATTTACAGTTTATTATACAAAAAACAATAGAGACATAAAAATAATTTTGAATATCTACCTTGGTATGCATGAGAATCTATTACTAAATAGCTTGTAGACACTCCCTGTCTGGCGTAATATCTATTTTATCTGTTTTAAATGTCATAGGTATTATAGTAATACTTTTATCGCTTTTCAGAAGTAGGCTATTGATATTAATATTATAAGCTGTCAAGCTCTAGAAATTAATAAGCTATTGTAACACACGTTGTTAATTAAACAATGATAAAAATACCTATGCAAAAATTGATTTCATATTGAGGTAAAAATATTATATTGTGTTAGAGAAAATTTATGAAGTTTTTAATTAAAACTTAATTTCAACTTTAATTCAAAAACTTGAAAACTGGTTCACAGTCAGAAAAAATAACATCAGTTCCGGTAAAATATTATGTCAAATAAAATGTTTTTTAAATTATTGTTTTAGTTTTTTTAAAAATTTTTGTAACTAGGTTTATTCTCTATTTGGAAACTTAAGATATTATGCTGCAGAGGGGAAAGGGTTGCTTTTATTTCTGACAAAAAACTATAACTTGAAAATCCAAGAACTACAAAATATTAACAATATAATATAAAAATTGATTTAAGATAAAATAAATAGCTAATTATTAACTTTGGCAAAAATATTTGATATTTTTCATCGCTAGTCCAAAATTAATGAAATTGTTTTGATTTTTTAATTTTAGTGTGATTGGCCTTCAGATAGCAATATGACACCAGAACAGCCGATTAAAGTAATGTTTGTAGCAGACACACATTTACTTGGTACAAGAAAAGGACATTGGCTTGATAAAATGCGACGGTAAATAAATTTCTTTATTTTCTAAAAAAAAAATAACAGTTTTTAAAGATTGAATTTAAAAAGGGGTATAAAATTCTGATTCAAAAAAAAATGTATATATTTTTATTTTTTGGTGCTTAATGTTTACATTTACCTACACATTTCACTTACATGTTAGTTTTCAAATTTCTAAACAAATTTTAATTGGAAAAAAAATGACTAAAAGTTATTATTTCTTTATGAACCAATCAAATTAATCTTTATATTTACTTTTAACAATGTTTCAGGGAATGGGAAATGAGACAATCCTTTCAAACTGCTTTAAATATACATGCACCAGAACTTGTTTTTGTTTTAGGTAAATTTTATTTTGATAGTTTTTAAAAATTTAATTGTATTTGTATAGAATACTAATCAGTTAGTTTTAAAATTTTTATTAGGTGATTTATTCGATGAAGGATTATGGAGTAGTGACTTAGATTTTAATTCATATGTTAAAACATTTAAATATTTATTTTCTGTACCTCATACAACAAAATTATACACTGTTGTTGGTAACCATGATATTGGATTTCACTATAGGTACTCTATTCAATTAAGTAAATGCATTTGATATATTTTGATATTCATAAACTGATTTTATTTTCTAGTATAGTTCCACAACTTGAAAAAAGATTTAATAAAGCGTTCAATACTAGTCCTGTAGAATTAATAAGTAAACGTAATGTACATTTTGTATTAATAAATAGTATGGCTATGGAAATGGATGGATGTTTTTTATGTTATAGTGCTGAATTAAAACTAAAAAAAATTGCCAGTAAGTTGAGGAATAAGAATTGTATGTATTTAATTTATTTAAATAATTTGATTTTTCTCTACTATGTATTAGATCTGTTAAAATGTAGTGAAAAGAGCATTGCATGTTCAAAGGAATCTATGTTAAATGGAACTTATAGTAAACCTATCTTATTACAGGTGAATATAATAAATAATTTAAATTCTAACTAACAAATATTTAAACACCCTTATATTTTTTAAATTCTGAGTGAAGCAAAGAAGCTATGGTTTTACAACAATGTTTATCATTATTTTTTTTTTTGTGCGCAACTTTTCTACCGCAAATCTTGCTCCGATTTTTAAGTGTAGTACAATTTCTCAAAGGAAATCAGTGTGGAATACTTTAAAGAAGTCATTTGTTGATTTTTCCAGAATTGTTATCAAAAAATGGAGAAAAAGGGAAAAATTTAAGAAATATAGGTATTAGTTAAAAAATATCACAGCCTTTTTTAATTTTCCAAAGAATATTTCCATTAAATATGAAAAACATTGGGAAAATTGGTACAATTTAAACAAATAATTTTATAGAAAATATAGAATGCCTATTTAATTATTTTACTATGACATATATATATTATTAACAAAGTATTACTATCAAGAATCACTGCTCAGAATCAGTTTTTGGTTAGCAATGGTTTATCGTTGCTTACAGGTACACATTAAATTATCTATACCAGTGGCTGCACCTGTCTCCATTATCCTAAGACAGCTATTTTTATAAATTAAAATAGTTAGGTTTTATATAAATATTTTTAATTTAATTACTTTCCCATTAGATAATTAACTGTTTTTGAGCAATTTTAGGGTTATTATATTATTAGTTGATTTTTTTAAAAAATAGAATTATTTTAGAATAAAAAATTATAATTGTTATATTTACTTTGCCACTTAGGTAATCAATTTCACTATATTTATTATATGACATAAATGTTTTTCATTACAGCATTTTCCTCTGTACAGAAAAAATGATATTGATTGCAATGTAGTTGATTCAGCGCCAATGAAAGAAAAAAAAAAACCTTTTCGAGAAGGTTGGGATTGTCTCCGGAAAGATGCAACAGACAAGGTACCTTAATACTAAATGTTTATAATATGAATTTATATTTATGTTTGCACTTTATACACTGATAAATGTTAAACAAATTTCCCACTCAAGGAGGAGGAAGTAAGATATTCAGTGTCACCCATAATTACTAAAAAAAAACATGAAAATCTCGATTTGTAGCCCAGTTGGATATGTTGGAGATTGTTTAATAGAAGTCCAAACTTTTGGTATTATTGTTTTTCAAAAAATAATTTGGGAGAAAAATTGCAGTTAATTTTTTTCTTATTTTCTAAATGTTCTAAAAATCATGTTTCTATGATCATGACCGGTACTATCTGATTGAAATACACGCTGCTAAACAAACTGGTTGCAAAAGCCGTATGTCTCTTTTGAAATAGGGCATAGTCTGCTTTTTATTAGTGTATTTTTTCAAAATTTGGGGTCATAAAGAATAAACTAAAAAGATCAGAAGCCAAATTTCATGAAATGCATTCATTTTTAGGTACTTTTTATTTAGATTTTTTTAAATTATGTTATACAATATACCTTTTTGTTTTGACCACTAAATGCACCTTATAATGAACCTCATGGTAAATTTTCATGCATTCCGTTTGGTCAAACAGTTATATCCACATAGTTCCTACCAAATAAATTGTACCAGATATAGAAAAGACAATTATTTTTTCTGTTAGAATTGCAAGTCTATGAATATTTTTTACTGAATCGCTAAAATAAAATGAACTTTGAAATTGAAAATAATAAAACAATTATTTTCATAAATTTCACTTTTTTAACTTTCTTGGTTTTCCTCAATTATTAAAAAACTAATTTAAAAAACCAAAAAATATTGAAATATGCAAAAATATGCACTTAAAAAAGTTTCATTTTTTAAATTTTTATTTCATGAAATACTTTTGTGCTTACTTAGCATGTTTTATAATCAGCCAGAATAAATATGCAAATGCATACAAATTCGCACTCTGATCAGTACATAGTCTATAGTTTTTTAGTAAAAAAATAAAATAAAATAACATGGAAACATAAATACATTGTATGTATTTACATCAGTATTACATAATATAAAATTATATTACAATAATTTTGTTTTAATTACAGTTATTGAAAATGATAAAACCTCGTCTGGTTTTTGGTGGTCATACTCATCATGGATGTCATATAAAGCATACAAATGGAATAGATGAATTTAGTGTATCTTCATTTAGTTGGAGAAATAAATATAATCCCAATTATTTGCTTGTAAGTTTAATGTAAACCACCTATTAACAGTTATATTTTATTTTTTCATTTACAATACTTTGCAAGGAATAATAGCAAATATTTATTTTCAGGCAACATTTACTACGGATAGTTATGCTGTTCAAATTTGTCACATGCCTTTTGAATATACAATTGTAATGATTTACTTAACATCAATTATATTTTTATTTTTTAAAATGTTGAAATGAAAATACAAACTCTATCAGTACTTAGATAATGCCAAGTTTTATAAATAATAAATATCAATATGCACTTTATCTAAAAAAAATCATTAAAATACTAATGTATAAGTTTCACACTATGTTCTTTTCATATAATGGTTGTTCAGCAATTAGTCGGCTAAACCCAAGTCTAGTAAGGTCTATAGAATTATATCCACTTTCAGTAATCATTTCCATCATAGCTCGACCAATAGCAGGTGCTTGTTGTATGCCTAATATATATACATAATATAATTTATATTTCCTTTTTAGTTAATCCTATAAGTTGTTTTAAAAATATAATACAGAATGATCCATACAGTAATTTTCTAAGAGGAAAAGGTGAATTTAATTTTTATTTGTTATTATTTTTATTTTAATTATTATAGTCATTTAAGCATATGTTCTATAACATTTATTTTACCCAAACTCAATATCAATTATGCATTAAATGTATTAAACAATTCTATAATGACAAATATTAATTAATATCACTTAAAATCCTCTGAGAAAATTACTAGATTATGGATAAATGTATCACCATATATACTTACCATGTCCACTAAAACCAGTAGCAAAGAATAAATTAAAATAACTCGGATGAGGTCCTACAATAGCATTTTGATCATACCAATTATAATCATAATATCCAGCCCAACTACTTTTTACCTGTAAAATAATAATTAGTAATGTATTATAAATTATGCATACATATATGTAATATATAATTTTGAATTAAAAAAATGTATACACTATATATTTATTTTTAAATTGTTTAATGTGATAAATTATTTGTTTTAAAGTCTGTACTCAAAACTTTTTCTTAATCAGAACAAATGTTGCAAAATAAATGTTTGACTTACTAAAAAATTATTTTTAGTTATGGACAGAGGAACAATGTTACTTTACATATATCATGACATCTATTATTTTTTATAAATTGTAATATTTTATATGTGAAAAAAAAACATTATATTTATATTAGAATAATTAAAATTTGTTTAACTTTATATACTTTTTAGATCAATAAAATATTGTTACCTTAACTTGTCATTCAATTTTACAGCATAAGTATTTTATAATTATTTTCCTTTTCATATTATTTACAAATAATTAAATAATTTATTAACACAAAACAACAAATTTTTTATTTCTTCCCTATTTATTTATGATAACTCTAATATGAATGATAAAAATGTATTAAAAATCTAGTTTACTTCACTTGTATCATTTTTAGAGATGTTACTAATTTTTAAAGTTGAACTGAACCATAATTTCCTTAAAACTAAAAAAAAATCTGAACTGAACTTTTAAAATATTTATTAAACCAGAAACAATAACATTAAAAAAGTAAAAAGATTAAGTTAGGTCAAAAACCTAGGTTCTTAATCTGCTCGGCTCAGTGATATTTATGATTATGAGACCTACTAATATGAAAAAAAAAGAATTGTTTTTTCATATCAACGCTCTGTTTTACTACTAAAAATTGTATCGATGACAATGCAGAATCAGCATCAAATGATTTTCATACCAAACTATTGGGTATTTGGTTCAGTTAAATTATTTGCAATTTTCTGTTTTATTTTTGAACAGTTCATCACATCACAAATTATTTTTAAAATGAGATTTTAAATTTTAAAACTGTTTACCTTTATTTCTTCAAATGCAGGAACTCTATGAGCAAGATGTGGCCAAATTTCTTTTTCAAAAAAATCATGATCTACATCTAAATTGGACGAATCTGGTTCTTCAGAATCCTTAGGTGATTTACCACATAAATAATGGTTATCAAAGCTATCAGGCCTAAATTTTAACAGTTCAGAAATGTAAATGTTTTATAATTTTACAATTCATAGTTAATTTAGTTATTAATTATATTTTGTAACATGAAATATGTTAGATTTTCTTAAACATAATATCAGTATATATTTTTAAAAGAGCTGGCCAACTTCAACCTAAATAGGTACCTATAATTAGAAATGATATATATTATATTATATTTAAATAACAAACATCTAAATAAATAACAAACATCTAAATAAATAACAAACTATATTCCATTTCTAAATATTTCGTTTTTTAATTAACTAAAAAAAGTATAATTATTTTTTAAGTCGAGGATGATCATGATTGTTATAACAAATATCAACTTAACAAAAATGCACAGAAACTAATCTCAACCAACTAGGATCCAAAAGTTGAATTCTTGTTATAGTAGCATTATAAATTTGAAAAGGTTTATTGATAAAATATGAATAAATTAAATACAATATTAATTTTAAGATTTGGAGCATGGCCAGGAATATATTGGTTTTATAGTGATGTTTATTGTTATTTATTTTTCTTTTCTATAAGAAATCATATTCTGGTGTATCAAAGTAGCACATTTTTTGAAAAAAATTGTATCTACTCGATACTTTAAAGAGGTCATTTTTATAATTTTCCAAGGAGTTTTCTTAATAATTGGGAAAACAGGAAATCTTAATACTTTTAATTTTGTTCTTTTGTTATAATTCAGTTTAAATATTTGTAGAGACTTGAAATTTGGACAGAAGACTTAAGTTTGTCTTTTCTAGATGTGGTAAAATTTTCAAAACTTTTAAGCTGTTTGTAGACATTTGAATTTTGTCAATTTTTACTATATTTTTGTTCAATAGGTACGCTATAGATAAAATTGTTAAACCAAACAGAAATGTTTGAAAATAAAAAAAAAATGAGCAATATTTTGTACCTACTCCATTATTTTGTGAATTGGCTTTGGAGTTATCTTATATTTTATTTAAATAAATAATAAAATCAAATAATATACCTAAAATAAACTCCTGATGGATCAATTACCATTGGTGACAATGCAGGACCTTTGGGAGCATGGCAATAGTAAACAAATCGTTTTCTGGGAAATAAAAGAAAAATTAAAATATTTATTAAAAACTTAAAAGTACACAAACACTTTAAATAAAAATTACCGGGGTTCAACAGGTAGTGGAGTAGCCAAAAAACCCTTTCCAGTTCCAACTTTGGCCATTTGAGCAATATTTCCTGATTCAGCACCAGCCGCTATTATACATATGCCAAAGGTTAATTGTTGTATTTTACCATCTGCTAATTTTACCTAAAAGTTAATTATGATACAGATATTTAATGATATAACTGAAGAAAGTAGAAATAATATAAGCAATTATTATGGAAAATGTAAATTATTTAATATTAGTTAGGTAGGATATTAAATTTTAATGTGTAAACCATGATAAAATTGCTAATGAAGTATGATTCTGAGCGAAGTTCAGATACACATATTTTGAAATACCATTACTTTTTATGATTTTCTTCAAAATTTGATTTTAAAACTCTCATACAAGAAAAACTTACATTACACTCAACATTTTTTTCCTTAAGTACAACTTATAATAAATGTCATATAAAATTTTCATGCATTTTTTTGGTCAAACAATTGTATTTACAAGTACTTTTTAAATAAGATTTTTAACAAAATTAATTATTGTATATCTAAAAATAGCTTAAAATTTGCCAGAATATTTTGAAATCATGTCTACAAAATGCTAATATAAGAAACCTGTCTAAATATTTGTACATTTTATCTAAAATTTTTTTTTGGTATTTCCCAATTATTATGAAAAACCCCTTGAAAAAATGTACCAATTTTACAACCATGAAATCGAAAGATCCAAAATTTACCAAAAAGAGATCATTTGAAAATTTTTGTTCGGAATAAGTTTTTTGATAGAAAAGTTTACAGAAACAAATCAAAAACAAAATAAAAAAATTATAGTAAAAACAATATATTCTTCCACTCAGAATCTAAATTAATTTATTACAAAATATGAAAATCAATATTATTTGTTAACTCAATTTATATACTGAGTGACATTTTTTTTTAATTGTGTTTTTATAGTTTTCTAAATAAATTATGTTACATTAGTACATACTTTTATACTATTTATTCCTTCATATTCTTTATTGGGGTCTTCTTCTGCTGATATACTTGTGTCTATTTTAAATCCAAAATCAAGTACTTCGGCCTCAATATAATATGTCCCAAGTGATATAGCTTTTTTTCTTAATGCATTCAATAAAGACCAAGGATCAAACCTAAAGAAGTTAAATATTAATGACAACAACTTAAAATTATTATAGTTTTATTACCATCCAGAGTTTAATTTTCCAAGGCTTCCTAATTCAATATCATCTACATTTAACCAAGGAAATCTTTTTTTTAGCAAATCTTGTGATAATAATTCAACATTAGCTCCTGATTCTCTAAAACATAAAATTAATTAAATTAAAAATAACCAATATTCATTGTCATAAGTCAAAGAGATCATACTTTTGTACTTCATGATTTTCCAACATAGTATCTGCACCATTTTTCGTAGCCAAAAATAAATAGCCAGATGGATTGAAATTGATTTCTGGAGGATGTTGTCCTGGAATAGATAAATAATCTTTGATATCACGAAGGAATTCAGCACTGAATTTAGATAATTTAATGTTTTCTATGAGTGAGAATTGTTCTCGAATTCCTCCACAAGACAGTACTGTAGATGCTTTTGCATACTGTAAAAAAATAAAAATAATTTTCATAATCAAAAAACTTTGGACTATAAAAATCGAATATAACACTTGATTTATTATACAAAACCAGGCGAGGATCCAAGGGGGGAAGGAGCTTAACCCCCCCCCCCCTTTTGGACATGTTATATATTATATAAATATAATTTATTATGTTCAAACAACAACAATTGTTCGATATCGATGCCTGGTATTTAACCTGGAATGTTATCAAACTTTCTAAAACCCTAATCATCTTTATATGACTCATAGTTAGTCAATTAGAATTTGTGTCTTAACTATTTTTATGATAATATCCATTGACATCAAAGAAGACATAAACAGATTTTCTTGACAAAAGCAAAAGCTAATGACAATTGAAGATTGGTCAACAGACTAATGAATTTATTAATTTTCATATTTTCATATTTTAAAATATATTATAACTAATATACAAATGTATTTACTAGAATTTTATAATTTGCCTTTCTGTAAATACAAATTAGCCCTCCTCCATTACATATTTCTAGATCCGCCCCTGCACATCGGATAATTAATATGGGAAAAAAATAATCTATTTTGGATGTACATGAAGATCCAACAAAGTCACTCAATTGCTACACTCACTCGGACTGTTTATATCAGAACTTTATAATTTTATAACTTCCAAAATATTTATACATAAAAAATTTGTATTGCAGCATTATCTTCAGTGTCAAAAAACATTTAAAAAAAAATTGTTTTCACAATAACTTCTTTAATGATTTACAAAAAAAAATAAAAAACAACTTTGAAATTTGTGAGTTGTGTGGCAAAGTTCATTTTAACCAAAATTGATTATTGAAATATAATAGTGATATTAAAAGTATGTTACAACAAAAACTGAAAATGTGAACAGAAAAAAATAATGCAAGTGACTAAGCATGAGAAACCAATTATTGTGTTAGTGTAACTTTTAAATTGTGATACATTTTTGTCTTATAGGCTTAGGTATTTATCTTAATTATACCAATAATAAATAATAATCATATCATGTTATGCACGTAAATATATTTAAAAAAAAATGTTACATCAAATATCACTGCTATGTAGCTGTTAGATCACACATAACAATAATAGGTACCCAGAATTAAATTGTAGTTAAAAATACAATTTTAAAATGAATGTCTATAGCTATATGTATATTGTCTATAGAAGCATTTAGTCATATGACAGTCAAATGTGTCAAATGATTTTTGTTATCAATCAAATTATTTTAAGTTTTATCTTTCTTAAAACAATGTATCAAACATATTATTATAAAGAGTCTATGTACAAATACACAGAAAACTAATTTACAATTAATAGTTTTTTGTTATATTACAGGTATTAATATTTAATGTATTACAATACCTCTTCAGCAGTCATAACAGTTTTATTTACCGATAAATCTTTTTCAACAACAGCAATTGTCAGTCCGTCTCTACATTTATTTTGAAGCCAATAAGCGATAGATGAACCAATTACACCTCCACCAATTATCATTACGTCTACAGTTTTCGGAAATATTTTATCATCTTGGTATTGACCGAATGGATCATTAAATAGCCTAGCTATTTCTTGAAGGTCCCTCTTGAAAAACCTCTTGCATCTATGCAACGGATTTTCATTTACAGCATCCGGATCATAATAGTTATCTGGTTTTTTTGACGACGGGCTGTGTTTTAATCTAATGCACAGGCAAGATTTAAAATTTTGCCTAACGTAAAAACCGACTTTACGTGTATACATGTTCGTTAGTAATTTATTCAGTACTCGGTCGCGAAATTTGTTTTATTATTAAAAAGTAGGTATATTATACCTACTATATTTATATTATTTATTATACCTATATATATATTATTATTATGTATTGAAGGTGTTATTGGTTCATTTCGTCGAAGTTCTTTATCTTCAAAATATTTACATTACAAAGGTATTTAGGTACCGACTTACTAATTGCTGCTGTTGGTATTTAATTAATACACTATACACGCGAATCACTAGGTACTATTATAAAATATAGTTAGGATTAACGATAACGAATTTCGGTCAATGAATGTAAAGAACAAATACGTAAAATAATGTAATGTTATTGAAAATTAATTAACATGCCCTTATTTGATATCTTAAATTCCAACTTCTTGAAAACCGGCTAGAACATTGTGAATACAAGTTCGTGGTATCATCTTATCATCGAACACAAATTATCACTTTGCTAACCATGCACTAATCACGAACTGCGATCGTGTAATGGCCAATGATCAATAATAATTTAGAACATCGCAAAGGGCATATATTCTTATCCTTCATATTACTTGTAACCAAGGCTCGGAAGCTTTAAGAGGTAAAAAAGGCAAAATGTGCGCGAAAAAATTGTAAAATATGCAAACAACTATTAAAGTTTATTATTCAAAAATATATAATGTTATTATTAATATGCACACAATAAAGATTAAATACGAATCGCAACGTTGCACCGTTGTAATCGTTAAATTAATAGTAGACTGTGAGACGATAAGAAAAAACAATAAAAACTACGTTAAATAATATTGAATTTTATATTCAATATTATTTAAAATACATTTGTGAAGAAAGAAAAAGAACAATTTTCTTTAATAACTGTTAAACACTTTTGTATAAAATGGTTAAAAATATGCAAAAATCAATGGAAATCGATGAAATATACACTTTTTCTTTAAAGTTAAGGAAATATGCAAAATGTGCATTTTAAATATATAATTTTTAAAATATCCATTGTACAGAAAAAATTCCTAGCTTGGTCTGCCATAAATCCAGTGCATACAGAAAAATATGCAACTCCTATAACTTCTGGGTCCTACTTATAACATATTAGTTATAGTAAATAGTAAAATTGTAATTATTTAATAACTCCTACAATTCCTTTTGTTTATGTTTTTATATTTATTATCGATCAGAATTAATCGAATTAAAATTAATTTCTAATATTAAATACCTAAAAGTGTTTTGAGAATGTAGTGTATCCTCTAGGGTCATAATATTATAATTAACACTGAATTTAAAGCGTTACCTGCCGAGCTACCTATAAGACCTTATAAAAAAAAAAACACATACCTACGTACCTAGGTAAAATTTATATATACTTGTAGTCGATTACGATTTATATTGAACACACTGTATAGGTACAACCTATTTAAATTAAAAATATAATTATGTGAAAAAAAAAGAAAAGATAAATATTGTTAAAAATAGGTAACCTACCATATGTATATGATACCAAATGTATACCTAGCTAAACAAAATAGGTATGAAAAAATGACCCAAAACGGGAGGGAGAGTTATAAATATCGAAAATATCAAAAAGCAATTTAATATTTTCAAAACCGAGTTCACCATGGCTATCATTTGTATAGGTACTTGTTACAAATCCAAAGCCATTCGCAAAATATTATAAATTATAAAACTATGTCTACCTGCTACCTATGAATTATGCTGTCGTACACCCCCTCCCCTTGAATTAGATTAGGCCAGGCGTGCGTAACCTTTTTCAACTTGTGGGCGGTATATACTTCGCGGTTTTTTTTATTATGTTCATTTCAGTAAAATGTACAATAGATATAATACTATATTTGTTCACTTATCGAATATATATATATATTAAATAAATATATAAATAAAAAATGTATATAAAGGAATAAAAAATAAATAAATGAATGAATGCGTCGCCTGGAGTGTTAATATAATAGTAATGATACGACCGGTTTCCAATTAAAAATTTTTATTTCAATTTTAGTTAAGATTATAAATACACTTATCAAAAATACTCCAGGCGACGAATTCATACAATCATTTATCTTTTATTTCTACATTTATTTACGAATAGACGAATTAACCATTTTAATAATTATGTTTTTACTTTATTACCTATTTTATTATTTTAAAATATATATTATACAATGAACAATAGATAAAATATTATCTTTGTTCACTTATCGAATTTATGAATCTAATGGTGTTTGTTTACAGTAGGTACTGAATATTTCCACGCTAGTTGCTAGTTTTTTTTTTGGTCATTAGAAATTCTTAAGTGTAATAATTAGACTATTAGAGTTTAGACGGCCTTTTTTTTTTTAGTGAGCCATAATACAAATAAATTGTATAGAATAACTATCTATTTTACTTACATTATAATATTATTATTTTTTTTTTATTGAGTATTTACAATCTATACATAAATTTGGCACAATAAGTAAATGCGATGAACAATTTTTATTTAACAAAAAAATTATTGTTATTCACATTGTCACTATATTCCCCTCCGTACAGTAGCATCTAACATTGATCTATAAATTGGAAAAATTACCCAGTCTAGAGTGGCATAAATAAATTTGATGAATATCGATACGCAGTACCCACACACTTATAATGTACTCAGCTCGCTATCGACCACCCGTGCCTGTGATTCTCGATGATGATATCTACCAATCAACAATAGACAAGTTATTTTCTTTCTTACTGTAAAATATTATGTTATTGTGTAACAGTGGTGGATCCAGGGAGAAGGGGGGGTAGGAATCTTGCCCTCCCAGACTATTAACTATACAAAAGTTTTTACTTTAACAAATAATTAATTGCATATATAATATAATACAAGGTTTTCAAGGAAGAAAAGCAGAGGGGCGATAAATGTACTGATTGTACTATAATGTATTTTTATTTTTTATTCTTTTTTTCTGTCTGTAGACAAATTTTCTACCAGAAATCTTACTCCAATTAATAAATAAGTTACCTACCAATGGTATATCACTTTATGGATGTAAATTAAATTACCCTATAATGTGTCCTACCTTCTCAAATTTTTGTTGCTACCACGGTCAATTTTTTACTTTTTCACCACGGCCGCGGTATTACTTATTATAAAGTCAACAAAGTGACATTGTTGAAAATTTGTTAAGTTCCGTAAAATAAACACAATATATAAATGGTTTGGTGGAGATAAAAATTGGTCTGATTCAAATGTTTACAACTCTGTTGAAAAATTTAATTAACGCTCTCACTTAGGTGGTAAATAACTTATTTGCTTAAATATTTTGATTTTTTTGGAATTCATTCAATAAATAATATGAAGTTACCATAATTTGATAAAGCCTGAGTGGTGTAAAAGATGAAATCCTTGGGAACCTTCCAGGTCCATGCCGCTTTCACCTTACGACCCCACATATTGATAACGATCCTGCGCTTAATTTGTCGGACCTCGGTGTTCCCGCCATAATGAAATATAACGATACATTGTGGCAAACATTGCTGGCACTTTACCTTGTGATTTGTCTGATATATACAGACATTAAACAGGCAATTTTCAGCGATGAAAATATGTCTACGCATACGATATAGAACTAGCTTAATTTTGATTGTAGAGTTAAACCACCAATTATACAATTAAAAGAGGACAATGTATCAAACAGCAATATGGTGCATTTTATTAAATAATTCATTTTTTGAAAAGTTACAGTAGATAATTTAAAAATTTTAAAATAGTCTATTCAGTTTTACACTCGGAATAATGGAAAAAACGTATGGTCTCGCCCTTCGGAATATTTTCCACTATTCATTTGTGTTTACTACTTATATTCTTATAAAGTCTAAAACCAAAATTAAGCGAGTTCTGCGTAAGTATGTTTTGATGTAACAGCCACTTGTCTCTAACAGTCTCCTTTCTTTACAGTTCTTCCCCATTCTTTATTCCAAGCTCTTCCAAGTCATTAACCACCTATACTTCTCTAGGGCGTCATCTGACTCTCTTTGTTTGACTTCCAGTTTGTAACCTGTCTAATTGTCCCGGCTAATTTCTACACGTGTCCAGCCCAGCTTAATCTACTATTTTTTAGAATGCCATTGATATTATTATGATTAATGAAATATTAAAAATAGAAAGGTGCATAACATACAATCAATTTTGTATAAGTACGTATCACAAAATTTAATTGCAGTTTATCATAAAACAAAACAATAATATTAATACAAAAACACATTAAAAAAAGACATACTTTGCACGAAGGGTGGGAAGTTAGGAAAGTAGGATATAGATGAAATTTAAAGTGTATCTGTTTGCAAGAATTACTCTTTGCTAACAAAAAATGATTTTGAGCAAAGTTAGGTTATACATATTGTGAAAGGTTGTAATATTTAAGATTTGAAAATAATACACTTCCTAAAATTACGAATGTAATATGCTATACTGTAACAGTATCTTTCTATTATCAGCTAATTTATTGCATATGGCATGGTATTGGTGTACAACAAAAAAGTAATAACGGAATATAATAAAATAAAATAAAAGTGATAACGGATTAATATAAATATAAATAAATAAGGAAGCTACAAGTAGTATCTATTAAATGCTATAAGCGTGTGGCAAGATTACACAGCCAATCTAGCGCTTCCTTGTCTCCATTGTGAAGACCTGATGTTCCTCCACTGAACTTCGTTTCCGGGCATTTCTCAATAATGTGCCTAATAGTTTGGAGTTGGTCACAGTTACAGAGTGGAGAGTCCACCATACTCCATTTGTGCATCAAATAATTGCATCTTCGAAAACCCATTGAAACCCATTTTCGACATGTGTCACCATTGACAATACTTTTTCACAACAACTTCTATTTTGTCTGAAACCCGCCTGCTCTCAAGATAGGGTGACTTTAATTTTCATTTGTATCCTCGCCAAGAGGACCCTTTCAAATAGTTTATACACAACATAGAGACTGGCCTATAGTTCAGCTAATGAGTGTGTCATCTGAACATACCCATAAATCATATATATGTGGAAGAAAAGCCATTAATAGAAAAAAATAAATACAAATAGTAACATTTATCGTGCTCAGAATTTAATACATTTTAAAAAAAAAGCACACAATATAGTATAAAAACCTTTATGTTCAGAACTTAAATGCCAGTATAAATTGTAATAGTGATCATAAAATAAAATTATGTTTAGTAGTAATTATTAAATTTAAGAGTCAATCTTTTTTTTGTACTAATGAATTATGTTTTGGAACTGGTAAATACCCGGGTTTTTTAACCGGACGTAACTTGGCATTCAGTCTAAGTGCAGTATTGCGTATCATGGTCATAGTTGAAGTTGAAGTAGATGAAGTTTTGGAATTATACTTTCTGTAATAAATTTGTTTAAAAATGGTTAATAAAAAATTATATTTAATCTATTAATTACACTTAATTTTGATTATTAAATAATTTATAGTGATATTTATAATGATAATCAGGGTATAAAAAATGACAATGAAAAAAATTAAGATGGGATATACAGAAAACAACTATCTAAAGTAAGATTGCTAAATACATAAATTTAATTGCATCAGATCGAATTATTATAATTTATAATAACAATTAACAATTGAAAACTAGGTGATACATAATTATATAAAGTTAAAAAGTATTTACTTTTTTGATCTGCCTTTAAAACGTTTAGTTCTTTTAGTTGAAGAACTTGCTTTTCGTTTTCTACACCTTAAACTTTTATTCTCCATCATTCTGTTAACCATATCGTCATAATTTGGTGAATCAATTTGATGCCAATTTTCACTATTGTTTTGTTTATCTTCATCATTGGTATGTTTACTTCTAATATGTACTATTTCTGTTTTTAAACAAAATATATAAAGCAATGTTTTTCAATAATTACATATTCAAATTCATTTTTAATTAAATTGACTATAAAAAAATTAATTTTCCATTTTTAGGAGAAAGAATGTGGTTCATTCACATGTCTATGTTCTTTTTATGGTTCTGTAAGTAAATATATAATAAACATATAGTTAAAAAAAGATTGAAAGATTAAAAATAAGGTTGTCATTGGCAACCATTTTTATTTATTTTTTGTTATTATTAAATTTTAATTATTTTAATCTTTTTTAAACAATTATTTTTGTCATAGAAACACATGTTGTAGTCATTTTACCATAATATATACATTATTGACAAAGTAACATTATCAATTGAATTCTGCTTAGAGTGGTTTTTTCGTTAGCAATGGTTTATTGTTTACCATCTTCAGCCTATCTTCCCAACTTCCCACCTACAACAATGGCTGCACCTACATACAAAGTAGGTCAGTCCTTTTTTATTTATTTAAGAGTATTCAACATTTTAATAATTTTGTTTTTACTTCACTATTTTATTATTGAATATTTTACCTTTTTGATTAAACTGTTAAATATTGATCACACTTGAAATAAAACACACTCTTACTGATACAGTGAAACCTGTATATAATGGATAGTTATGGGATTATTAGGACCACCCGATCTAATATAATAGATGTAATAAAACATAGTCATTAGTATTCAATTGATATTGTATCTGGAAGACCTCAATTGTATTTTGTTAAATTATCATTTTGTGTTGCAAGTAATTAATTAATATTATGTAGCGTGATAAGGAAAAGTAGCACAGATATGTACTTAAAATAGTGACTGTCTTAATTAAAGATTCTTAAGGTATATAAAGAGAACCCGAGGGACACTAATCAACCAGTTATAACCTAAGTGTGAGACAAGTAACTATGTATGTGTCATATCTGTGTAAATAATAAACTAAGTTTAGAACAATTGTTGTTTATTTTCTTAAGTTTAAAATCCAAATCCTTATAAACTCATTCTGAGTCTACTTAAAAATGTATAAAAAATGACCGTTATAGACAGGTAATAGATAGGTACAGGAGGTGACATTGCAAAGAAAAAATTAAAACAAACAGAGAAAAATGTACAATACTATAATAGCGAAGTGGTATGTAATAAACACTGAATAGTCTTTAAGGTTTATACCTGTTTTTCGTTATTTTCATTCTTGCAATTAATTGGATTCTTATTATCAAACACGTGTTCTGCCATAATCAGTATTTGAAATAGACTGGTGCATGATATGTATGTACATGGTACACATTTGATTTTGAACTAAAATAGTTGTTTATTATCGAGGTATTGATGAAAAATATTACTATCCGTATCTATAATAGAGTCTGTTATAGATAGGTCGAAATACATTGGAATGCCTATATTTTGCCGGGATCTTATTATTTTGTCTGTTAACAGAGGTGTCCGTTAAGACAGACTTCACTGTATTCTATAGTTTTTGAAATTCTTTCTCTTTCGATAAGGATTGTGCTATTTTACTCACCATTTAGAAGTATACAAATAATAATTATTAATACCTGACTTTTTTGCAGCTGCTTGTTTTATGATTTCCAATAGTGGGAGGCCAAATTTCTCAAAATTTGATTTAGTAACACCATCAATTTTTAACATATCTTCTTCAGTTTCAGGCATTAATAGTGCCATTGAACGAATTGCCTGAAATAATGCATAAAATGTTTCACTTTATTAGTAATTGATATTTAATTGTATTTAATTACTGGATGATGAAATGCATAAAAAAAAATGGTAGACCATTATATAGACAATAGACCAATATGTACACCATATAATACCATATATATTATACAGTGCAATCCTTATAAGTGGAAACACTCAATAACTATGTGCAGACTAAATATATTTTAATTGTATTTTTTTTTTTGGCCAACGAATAGTCATAATTATACATCTTTTAAATTAGATTATATTGCACATTAGAACAACTTTCTTTTTAATGACATCATTTATTTTTGACCAAAAATTAATTTTTGTATTTTTTAATGAATTTTTGTGGTTGAATTTCTCTTCTAAGTTAAATAACAATTAAGACGTGAAGTTAACATTAACAGCAATTAAAACGCCACCATCAGTAGAAATTAGACTAGTATTCTTATTTCAGTTACTTTGATATGTGTGGAAATTAATAAAGCTGAGTTTAGCTGTGTTGACATTATTGAAGAGGCGTGTTTCAGTAAATACAAAGATATCAAAAGAATGAATTGCCTCTGGAAAAGTAACTTTTAAAGGGGGATCTTTGTTTGCAGATTTACCTAGACAGTGAAATTTTATAGGCGTATAATTAAGATTTAATTCATTCAGAATTGATTTTATTTGATTATCATCAGAGTTTCTATTATTAGAGTTTGATACTACTTCAAGCAAATTAAATAATATAATATTTTTTGCACAGAGTCAAAAGTTTATTAATAATATTTAGTTCAGAATTCATTGAATTACATTTATTTAATGTTTTGAAATTGTCTTCAAGAAGTGTAATTTGATTATTTTATTGGCAATTTTTTCTAAACCATCTTCAAATTTTTTAAAATTCTACTCGGATCATTAACAGAACTAATCAATTTATTTTGATTTAATTTTAATTCATAATATTTAATTTTTATTAAATTTATAATTTTAGTGTTTGATTAATTTTAACAAGTTTTCCATAATGCTTTCTATCGACAAATAAATATAAATGAGTGCACAATATATTTATAACTAAGGCAAGATGAAACACAAAACCTGTAATATGACCACAATTATAATAAACACACAATATAAGATAACAACTGAACCCTATAAACTATACATTAGACTGCTAATCAGCAACTGATTATGATTATTAGTTGGCCAAAAAATAGAATTAAAATATATTAAGTCTGCACATAGTTATTGAATGTTTCCACTTATCATGATGGCACTGTATGAAAGACAATATTGTTACATTTACAGTTAAATTTTCCCAACATAAACATCTATATATTACATAATATATAATATTATATTAAGTTTAATAAAGCAGGAAATAACTGTCAAAAATGCAGTATTTTATACATTTTAGCAAAACGACATTGTGAGCGAACTATGTTAATCTATTTCTTAAAAACTTACTTGCATAGACATAATTGCATTTGTATTGATTTCTAAAGATGCAGCTAAGCCACGACAAACATCCATAAGATCTTCGTAGCACTTTTCTTGTATTTCTTTGAGAATTGGATTTATAGTTTCATCTTTAAGGCTGGAAAAAGATTCATTGGATATGGTATTCTTCTTTAGATTTAAAACAAGTGATAACTAAAAAAAACAAATAAATTTAATAAGAACTTTAAATAGTTATATATATATATATACATTAACTAATCCCATCATAAGTTTCTCAGCATTAGGACCAATTCGAATATATGCATTCATAATATCTGATTTAGAAGCAACCATTTCTTCTCTTAAATAACCTTCAAGTATTAATTTATGTATTAATCGTTCAATATCATGTCTATCCCAATGTATGCCATGACCAAATATCTTAGAATTTTCATGACCTGTAAAATAAATAAAATATTTAACCAAAAATTTCATTTGTCTATGGCACATTACATATTTTAATAACAAATTAATAAAATATACCATGCAATATCACTTTTGGAGTTTTTTTCCCTTTAAATATATCTACAAAATGAGTAAATGTAAAATTATGTTTCCAATCATTATCACCTAATCCACAAATTTCTTGAATAGTATTTAATATGTCAATACTTTCTTTAGTGACATTTATTATATTGATTATATTCTAAAATAAAACAAATATTAAAACTGATGTCAAAATAAAACAGTATATTAAAAAGTTATTTAATTATAAAATGATCTACTTTATTGCGACAATTATCACATGTAGTCTTTTCATTATTAATACACTTATCTCTATCAAATTTCTCATCAAAATAATTAAGTTGTAAAGCACGGCGACAATCAGTTTTGTTTTCACAATATGACACAATTCTACAAAGATTATGAAAGCGGACTTTTTTGGATTCATAAGTTGCTCCTCCTCCAACTAAATATAATTAAAAAATATTATTTATATTTATCAAACACAAAAATTGTTTCTATCTATGTCCATTAATTATAGACTTTGAAACCATTCAATCGATGTACCCCAAACTGGTTTCATTAGAAAGATAATAATGCAAAGTTGATTTTAGACAAACAATGCATTAGGCACATTCAGTCTATTAATAAAGTTGATTTTCGACTTTTCCCATTCAAAAATGTATTATAAATGTAAAAGTTTGTGTAGATGTATAGATGTTTTTTACACGAAAACAACTTAACAGATTTTGATAAACTTTGGTATAGAAATAAATGTGACCTTGGAGAAAACCATAAGCTACTTTTTGTCGAGAAAATAAAACTTGAAGGTGATAAAATATCACACCACTCATATGGGTGGGAAGTTGGGAAGGTAGTATAGATGGGAATTTAATGTATGTCTGTAAGCACCAATAAACCATTGTTAAAGAAAAATGATTTTGATAATTAAAAAAAAAAACAAGTCAATCAATTCAGTAGTTTTCAAGATTACCCCAGACCAACAAAATATTATTTTACATATATATTCTGATTTTTTTATTTAATTTAACTATTTATTAAGTAGGTGTGATTATAATTGTAATAGCAATGTTTTATTGTATATATTTTAAACAAATAAAAATGTTCTGCATACTTTCAATGAGTTTTTGGATACGATGCATATCAGAATAGTTATAATACAACAAACAATAAGCTACATCATCATCACGACCAGCTCTACCAGACTCTTGATAATAGGCCTCAATGGATTGTGGTAATGAATAATGTATAACAAATCGTACATCGGGCTTGTCAATACCCATACCAAAAGCAATTGTAGCACAAACTACCTGAAATAAATATTTTAAAACATAAAACAGTAAATATAAATTTATTTATTTCATTAATGGTGTCTTACATTAGATTTATTAGAAGTCCATTGGATTTGAACTTCATTTCTTTTTTTATCAGATAATCCAGCATGATAGCTCACTGCTTTAATTCCTTCTCTAGCCATTATTTTAGCAGTATTGTCACATTCTTTTTTTGTCATGCAGTAAATTATACCCGATTGACGTGCAAATTTAGATTTTATAAGTTTAGCAATGTCTAATAATGTAGTAGCACCTTTTTTAGGATTCACCTCATAAACCAAATTAGGTCTATTAAAACTGGATATAAACCTTTAAAAACATGATATTATTATTAATTAAGAGGACACTATACCTGCATGTGCTTTCTCAGTCCAGCTAATGGGAAATATAGCAATTAATATGGCTTAATTTTGGTTTTAGAGTAAATGAACTTTTTACTAAAAAAAAAGAGGACAATATTCCACAGGGCAAGATATGTTTTTGTTCTTAAAATTCATTTTTTGAAATGTTACAATCATTTAAAATCAATGAATTAATTTTTATTTCTTAATGAAGTATTGAATCTTATATCAAAAAATAACTAAAATAATAGGAAAAACTCATATGCCTTTACATCTTGCACTCTTTTAATTTTATTGTAGGTGCTTTTACTCTAAAAACAAAAATTAAGCAAGTTCTATGCAGACTGCAAAAGGTAGATTTTATTCGCTAGTTGGAGCAAGACAACACTTATGGCGTTTATCAGTCTCAATATACACAATATAATAATTATTTATTTACATAAACCTGTTTTACTAAATACAATTTCACTAACAATTTTTTTTTTTTTTTTGGTATGTCAAAAGATTATGAAATATAATTATTTGTATACCATTTTGTTTCTTGGATATTAAGCTGATGTAAAATGTCTTTCCGAACACGTTGTGTTGCAGTAGCAGTTAATGCCATTATAGGAACATTTTGATAATTTTGTTTGAACACACCTAATCGTTTATAGTCTGGTCTATTTAACAAAATTTATAATATTGATTATGAATAAATATGTTTGATATATTAAAATAAATTACTGCAATGTGTACTAACCTGAAATCATGACCCCATTGTGACACACAATGAGCTTCATCAATAACTATTCGCGCTAATAAGTTTCTGCAGTACAAATTATTTAAAACTTGCGTTAGTTTATTACTTGCTGCGACTTTTTCAGGTGTGACATACAGCAATTTCAGTTCTTAAACCCAAAATTTATATATTATAATATAATATTACAATGAATATCCATGGAGGAGTTATAATGTTAAAAATATCCTAAATATAATGTTAAAAGTATCCTAAAATAAATAAATTATATTGTTTCAAATGATATATAATTCAGTTCCCAACCTATGGGTCTCAGGCAATGTGGTATTGGGTCGCAGATGTTGGTCAAGAGTATAGGCCAATTAAGGTTGGCAAATTCTATATTATAAATGTCTATATTTCATTCAAAATTTAGTAATAATCAGATAATTAACGCTATAAAAATTGTATTGTTATTTTCTTATCTAGTATTCTATAATATTTTGTCATGCTTAGTATGGAGTATGAGCATATGAAATTAACTTAAATAAACCTACATAGACACTTTAATATAAAACTACTAAATAATAAATTTCTTTTTTTTTTATAAAAAATATTTTTAAAATTTTTTTGTACAGTATATTTTCATAATTACTGATGTATGTGCAGTATATACATTATGTATATATGTATACATACATATATATATACATACATATATATATATATATATATATTGGTCGTACATACATATATAGGTGTTTTTATTTTTACCTGCATATTAGTTTAGTGGGCCTCAAAGTTTTTTTTACATAATTGATGGTCTACACAACTAAGAAGATTGGGAATCACTGATACATATATAGATATACCTTCAGTATGCAAAATTTTATAATTTACCTGGTTCAGCTTCCCAAAGTCTTGACAAAATTGTATTTTCACTGTCTTGTGTAATACCACTTAATAAATGTTCTACTGGTATCTGTTAAAAGTAGTATTTTTATATTAGTAGAAATATATACAATAATTTAAAGAATTAAACTTATCAGGTTGCAATTAAGTACTAATACTTTGTATTTTTGTATTATGGAAATAAATAAGCTTAGAAATTCAATTTGTTATCCGTAAAAATACTTACATCTAGAGATTTCAATTTTTGAGTTTGGTCTATAATCAGCGACTTCAATGGGGAAATCACAACAGTTACACCTTTTGATATAACTGCTGGTAATTGATAACATAAAGATTTTCCACCTCCAGTTGGCATTAATATAAAACAATGGTGTCCAAGCAAAGCAGCATTAATAGCTTCAAATTGATTAGGACGAAAACTCCGGAGTCCAAAAGTTTGTTTAAATACCTAAATATGTATTATGTTAATGTATTAACTATGAAATAATCAAAGAACTTACAGCAAAAAGTTCCCATGAATGATCATAGTCAGTTTTGGTGAACTCAAATTCAGGCAAGTTTATATCCATTAAATGTTTTTTTATCTCATAATTGGTAGTTGTTTGATCAATGTAATGTGGATCATCTTTACATAAATCTATTGATTTAATAAAACATATAAACCACATTAGTTTTAACTAAACATGATACAACTTTGAACTATTTTCATAACCAAGATTTAAAAATATTCTCTGGGTTTTAAAGTAATATTTTATGACTTACTTGTGTTTGTAATTTGAGTACTTGAAGTAGTATTCTGATTATGTAAATTTAAAATAACTGTGGGTTTTTTATTGCAACTAATATCATAATTAGTGTCTAAATTAATACTAGAGTTAATACTTGATGATGTTACAGTGCATGATGGTTTTTGAAATTTAGATTGAGGTTTTAATGATATTAAGTTACTAGAATTAGAGTGTATACAAATCTGATTCTTCTTATGTAATTCATTTTCGTTTTGTAATTTCTCAACACTTCCAGGATTTGATAATTTGCTATTACTGTATTCATCATTATTGTAATTATATACTGTCTTTTGATTAGAAAGTTGTATATAATTGTCATTCACTATTTTTTCTGCAGTTATATTTACATTGTCTTTTTCTTTATCTTTGCTATTTGAAATATATGAACATCGCACTCTTTTTGGAACTTTTTGATGACATTTTAATCGTGCTTTAGCGGCTTTTATATTATTTTTTAATTTATGCATCATTGTTTTAAGAGCAGACCGTGATGATGGGTCTTGAAACCGAGGTACATTAATAACTACACTTTCTGGTAAATCCACAAACATGTTAAATACTTTATTTAATATATTATATTCCAATTTTTCTAGACCATTTACTTCATACTCAAGTTCTGAAAACTCCTGCAGTAAAAATTCAAATTTTAATTGGTCTTGTATACTAATTTGTTTTCTCTGTCTGGAACATAATATAGCAATGAAGACACAATGTAAAAAGAAGAGTATTTACTATACTATAGAACAACTCAGAAAGATAAATCCATTGCAATATCTAGAAAAGTATACATATTTTTATTTTTTTTTTTGAAAATTCGAGAAACAAGTAGCTTTAAAATGTTACAATACTTATTTTGGGGGTAAAACTTCTATTTACTTTTGATTTGCAAATAACAACTTAAATAAAACTTTAAAGTAATATATATCATTGAAGGATTGGTGAAAATGAAAAAAATCAACACCAAAGTACTTATTTACATATTCTAACTACTAAAGGAATTTTTAAAGGTGCTCACAGGCGGCAGGTGCCCTATTGCTGTAGTAGTAGAGAAAAAGTAAACAGCAGCACTACTGCAGTGGTGATAGCAGTTTACTATTTATTTATATTATTTATTTACCTACACCCAGTGACAAAGTAAGTACTTCATGGGCCTTAAGCAAATAAGTCAGACGATCCTAATTGGCCATAATGAGTAAAAAAAAGGTATACACCTATCCTATATCTCTGCCTTATTTCTTAACAACAAATTAAAAGTAATTTTTATTTTTATAATTTCATTTATGAAATATAAATAATATTTCATACATAATTGTATCAAATAGATTTTGAAATTATAAGTAAATACTAAAAAATATGTATATTTATTATAAAATAAGTCATTGCCGTCATTGCAACTGTTCACTATTGTCTATCCTTTTCATCTATGCATAATTCTTTTTCCAAAATTCCAAAATTCTGCAGATTATTTTTTGATAGTGAAGATTGTAATAGGTTTTTAATCATTTTAATCCAGGAAAAATATCTTTCACCAGTACAGTTGGTACACATAAAAGAAAGATATAAGCATAATAATCTTTCAGCATTTGGAAAATTTTTAATTAACTTTTAAGTCACATTTAATTTAGATCGTCTATCATCTTATTCTTATACATATTAAGTGGTCACATTAAATCTCGTAAATTCAGTCATATACAGTCGATGTTGGATGAAAACAAAATATTTTGTTATATAGAAATACATGTGTATATGGGTACTGTATAATTTTGGGTGAATTCAACCGAAATCCTGATGTAAGCGAATCATTTTTGTTGTCCATAAAAGACTAAAAGGTCCAATTTGGCAGATGCTGTCCGATAAATATTCGGCTGATGCTGGGTCTAATCTGACTATCAACTTAAAGTGCAAGTCTACAAATTGTACATTTTTCAATGAAAAAAAATTTACAGGCCGAATTTTTTTAAGACTTAAGCAGTACTTAATTTGCTTATAGGTTAATCTAGCACTGCCTACACGCTTATATCTTATATTTGTCAATAACATTATTATAATCGATTTTTAATTGTTGATGCTCCACCAAGTCAATTTAAGGGTTCGGTTCTTAAGAATACACCGATAAAATATTGTTTAATCAATTAATTGGAAACTATACATTTAAGACCCCAATGTTATGAATGTTTCATCATATCATGTACTTACTATATTATAGATTTTATACTTAGTTTTTTTTTACATTTATTCACATTTTGAATGTGTCTATTTAAAAAAATGATGAAAAAAAATAAAAGACCAGTAATGATAAGGGTCATGCAGTTTTTATAAAAACTGTGACACAATATTTTACCACAGCCACTGTACCACTGTTGTGTATAGTCTCCAATAAGAATGCATGAGTTCTATTAAACTGCTACTGCTACAGCCTCCACTGGCAGTGTGTTATATAAATTGAATTGAAAATCAAAAGTAAGTAACTATGTCAACCCAACAAAAAATAGTAATATAACATTTTTGAGATGTTAGTTTCTTAAATTGACAAAAAAAAAAAAAAAGTCCAAGGATAATGAGGACAGGCGCAGACACTGTTATAGATAACTTAATGTATACTTGTAAGTAATGATAAACCATTGATTATGAAAAATTATTCTAAATGGAGTTCAGATGATAGTGATGCTTTGTCAACAATATATGTAATTTTATAGTAAAATAATTAAATAGGCTTTATATATTTTCTTTAATAATATTTATTTACTGTTGTACCAATTTTCCCATGTTTTTTCAGTGTTTTTCACATTTGCTGAGAAAATCGAAAAATTACCTTCCTAAAGTACCTCCACACACCGATTTCTTTTTAGAAAATGTGCTACACTTAGAAATCCGAGCAAGTTTTCTGGTAGAAAAGTTGGTAACAGATATAATATGAAAAAATAAGCATCTTTGTCAAACCATAAGCTTTTTTGTTTAACTTAGAATCTAAAAAGAGCTGATACTGGGGTTGGTTGCACCACTGCTGTAGGTGGATGTGTATTTGAGAAAGTAGGATACATAAAAATTATTTATTATACCTGCTACCAAAAATAAACCATTTCTAATGAAAAAGTTTAGTAAGACATATTTTGAAATGCTGTAATTTTTAAGATGTTCATCAAAATTTGATCTTAAAATGTTTATGAAAAATAAATTAATGCATTAAACTCAATTATTTTTTTTACTACTAAGTATGACTTAAAATAAACATTTTTCATATTTTCAAGCATTTCAACAATTTAAAATGTCAATAAAAGTATTTTTGACTGAATAACAAAAAAACAAAAACAAATTAAAATAATAAAACTCTTATTCTCATAAAATGTTCTAAAAATTCTATGTTTATTTCGGTTTTCTCAATTATTAGAAAAACTTAAAGGAAACTAAAAATAGACTTTTTAGTTATTTTAATTGAACAAAACTGAAAATAATAATAAATAGGAGAAACCAGAAATAATGTAGGAACCGGAGGAGGGGGTGATGTAGGAAATGTATTATTTTCAAATTGTAAAAACAAATTCCCCATAGAATACTTAAGATGGTCACCAACTAGATTAAAACTATAACAAAAAAGTTCTCTTGTTGTTTTACTATTGGAGCAATATTTGTGGTAGAAAATATAGTGTACTCATTTTAAATAATGAAATTATCATAGTCTTTTTCTGGGTTTCCCAACTATTTTAAAAACGAATTTAAAAATCATAAAATGACTTACTTCTTGAGCAACTACATCCAAAACAAAACATAGTTAAACCAATAGATCCCTCACTATGCATTGAATCTATAATTCTGACATAAATTAATTTTTTCCAAGGTATCACAATAAGTATATCTTCATGGGACCATCTATAGACTGTAGATACAATGAATGATTTTTTTTTTTAAATATTTGTATTTCATATTAGGTTATTTTAAAATTAAGAGAAATTAAAACATGCATATAATGAAAAAATACAAAATATTTAAACAATCCATACAACCCATAGAAAATACTCTTCTTTATACCCTAAACCTAACTAGAGTTTCAATAGGGGAATTTCAGAATGTCTTTTGCTATATTATGTGTGAGATAAACTGAGAAAGCAAATGTTAGTGATAAGGCCTCCTAAAATGTGATTTGCATTATTTTAAGCACAGACACAAATTAGTAAATAAAAATAAATTATTCTTACCTCAGCATCAAGTGCAATATTTTCATCAATACACAAATTCTCATTTTTTTTTGTTAAACTTGGATCTTTAAAAACCAATAGAATATTATTAGTAATTTAAGCCACATATTATATTTAAAAAAAAAACCTTACTTAATATTTCATTATCTTCCAATCTTGGTTTCACATTTTTATTAGAAGTGCAATGAATTATGTTCTCTTTAGTAGATCTTTTCTGAAATAAATAAATGTATCAACTACTATGTGTTTATGAATTAATTTCACATTTAATTAGTTACCTAATTATGTGTCTAGATCAAATTTTCCTTCCAAAAATACACACAAACCATTAAATAATGTAAGATAAATATTGCATAATAAGTAAACCCATTTAGTTTTTTGAAAAAGACACTTCTTGTTTCATATATTGTAAAATAAAGAATTTTAATAATTACTTCTTTTTATAAGAAAGTTTATAAATGGAAAATCTTGCAGTTTATATTAAAATGACTAAGATTAAATGTACATTATATGAGTATTACATTAATAGGTAACATAATATATATAATTACAGTAATATACCAATAAAACTACAGTGATTCCCATCCTTGGGGAGAGGATAAAGATTTTCAAAAACCTCAACCCTCCCTCCTCTTAACAACAAAAAAAATTAACTAACCTTTAAATCATATACTATTTGTATATTGTATATTGTATATGATCTAAGAAATAACCTAACTTAACAAAAAAATAATCATCAGCAAAAAGATTCCTATTAATACTTATAATATTCGCATAAAGGCCAATAAACAAACAAACCTATCTGATGACTGATCATTCATTGTTAATTTTTTCCCCCAACATAGTAAAATAAAAATAATCTAAAAATACAAATTGTATTTATCCAGAAATTTGTGAACATCACCCAGGTTAGGAAACACTGATTTAAAGTGTTTGTTTATCTTGATTGAGCAACTGCTATTCAACTACTATAAAATGTAAACAAAAAATGTACTTACAAAGTTTGAATTTTGAGGTTTTGAAACTTTTTGAGTAGATGCAGTTTGGCTTTTCTTTTTAATAGCACAGTTTTTTGTTTCACTTATTAATTTTGGCTCATATTTTTGGCATGCTGAAAGTAAGTTAATTTGAAAAATGTTAAAATGTTGGTATTTTATTTTATATATATTATAAAAAAATTTAATCTATTTTTTAGAGCTAAATTAATTGAACATGGGCTATGACAAAAAAATCTACTAGGAAGAACAATAGAGGGGAAGAATCCATAAAAGGGAAGAACTAAGGAATACCACCATTCATTACATAGATCAAATAGACAGATATATAAGATGCACAACTTAGAAAAGCGAGAAGAATGAAGGAATGCTGCCAACTAGCCTGTCGGCTTTTAACAAAAAAAAATAATGTCTAGTCTTCATTTTTAGTTAAAACAATGTACAGAAAAATTATAAATTAGTAAAATTAATGATTGTACTCATTCTGTGGATATAAAACAGTTGTTCAATATTATTATTGTTTTCAAAATTTTGTGATTCTATTCAGGGAAAAGAACAATCATATTAATATAATTTTAACTAAATAAATTATGAAAACAAATGTTATTTAGAAAAAAGCAAAGAACAAACATATGTAAAAATATAGTATAACTAATTGTACTAAGTACATACATTTTATATTAAGTGTAGTTTGAAGTATTTCGCAAGACATATCTTCATTTTTTTTTAAATTTTCAAAACAACTTTCAGATGAACTAAAATAAAAATAAATATAGGTAAATATCCATATCTTATGACTTAAATAAATAATGTATAAAATATTTATTTTATTGTATTATAACAGTTGTATTTTGAAGAAATCTATTCTGAGAAAAATTAATTTAATATCAATAAGCAAAGATGAGAAGTTGCAGTAATTTCGTATTTTTATCTGTCTCCAATTTATAGATAGGAAAGCTAAAAATGAGTTCTTACTGAGTTCATATTTTTTTTTGCATATTTTATATATTTTGATAATTTTTTTAAGAATTGCATATTATTGATTTTTTGTGTATATAAATGCATTTTTAGTTAAATCATATTTATTTTTAATAAAATATATTTCATAAAACAATACTTCAACACAAAACCTGTAGTTTTGATAATATAGCAATCAAATTTAAAATGTAAAATATATAATTTTATCATTGCTATATACATAGTATTATTTATTTATTATCAAATAATACTTAAATATAAATATAATAGAATAGAATAATACTTATCAAGACATGGAGAAACTTTATCGTATTTGGTTTTCTGTTATTATTTTTATTTTTTTATAATTATAACAATAGATTATTGTATCTAACTATAATGCGATTATTTTTTCCTTTGCAACAATCAAAAATAAAGTTTAGTTCACTGTATTATACTCTAGGGTATGTTCAATTGAATGTTAAATTGATTTAAAATGCCAAAAGTAAAAGTTGATTAATGAAAAACATAATAGAATTTAGGGAAATTTTTTTTTCTACAGATGGTACTATTTTATATTGTAAAATTTACAAAGTCAAGGTTAATGGTAGTAAAAGATTTACTGTTATACGGAATTTAAAAACAAGCAAACATGAGAGACTAGTAAACGATCAAGAAAATGTTTTTGAAAGATTTGTATAAGGCTATGTTGTATGCCAATATACCATTACACAAAATCAAAAACATTGAATTTCAATCATTCCTTAAAAAATTTACCCTTAATGATATACCAACAAAATTTACTCATATAAAAACATAAGTGAATTATTACAATAAAACAATGAACTATAATAAAATAAGTATCACTGGAAAAAAAATTTGAAAGATGCTCCACTACTCTCTACCTACCCAAATTTTTGAGTTGCATATCTCGTCAACAGGAAATCAACCATTTTTGCACCACAATTTATTTTAAATAATACTCAATATATTTATGGAATTTTTAATGTATGTTTTCATTTGAAAATCAAATGCAGGTAGTGGTTTCATTACCAAAAATTAAAGTAAATTTTAAAATTTAACAACTTATTTCTTAAATGTTCATAAAAAAAAAAATTGAAAAAAATTAAATACTTTTCGAGATATTATGTGTACAATTTTAAATGAATCACCATGTACATATATTTTTTTAAATTTATACACAGTTGAAAATATTCAGATGGTCAGATGGTTTTTTTTAGTGTCTATTATTTACTATTAAAAATGTATTAATTATTAACTACCAGTTCATAAGAATGTAACTTTTTTTCAAATCATTTAAAAATAAAATAATGTTAAATTTTTTTGTGCAAATTTGCATGCATTTTTCTCCAATTTTATTTCCTATAACTTAAGTAACCCTAGTAATTAAGAACATGTATACACACTTATGTTGGTCAATTTTTATTATATCTTCTTGTAGATCTTCTCTAGGTTTGTTATTTTCACTAGCGGAACTGAGACGTTTTAAAACTGTGCTAGGTTTTTTCGGATAAAAATTCATGATTGATACTGTGTAGATACTGAAACAAATACAATTTTAAACTTCTGAATGAATGTAAAATTAAACATTTTTATTTAAATAGTATGTTACCTATGTAATTTATAAATAAAATGTATTATTTAGTTTAACATTAAACTGTTTCATAACTCCTTGTTTAAAAATTCCGTCTTTTCTATTGACCGAATGACATAGGTTTATGCTATGGTAATCATGGTTTTATGACTTTTAAGTTGAATCTTGATGATTGGGTTACGAATGACAATGAGCTAAAATCAAAATTTAAAATTAAAAGAACGTTCCTATATTTAGTGATAATATTGTCATCCTTTATAAAAAGGACAAAGATATATAATAGGTTTTATAGGTAGACATAAAACCTAGATAGACAACTATCTATTTGTGTTATCTATTGGTTTAATTATTTGGATCATTTTTAGAGATAGTTTATCTACAGCTGTGATTTGGTTTATTATCATTACTATTGAGATACCTAGTTTGAAGATTACAAATTGTATAACTCAACTACCAACGATTAATTTGATTAAATTCTATGAAAATTTAATTTATACTGTTAGTACTAGTTCTAGTTGTGTCAGTTAATAGTGATTAACAAATCATAATGAGTATATTGTTACGAAACACATTGAATAGGAATTTAGATTTCAAGTCATTATTGGCTAAATTGTTTGTTGGGCAGAGAAGACAATTATGTGTACAATGCCTTAAATTTAAAAAAATGAAAAGCGGTCAACAAACTCATCACTCGAAATTATTTGCTAATATTTTATATCCTGTTACTACCGGAAGTCACTCTTGGAAGTGGTTGTTAGCCATTTCACTTCTATATGCTGGTGGCTACCAAAAAGAGAGTATGTTTTAGTTTCCAATAGTTGTTTTAATTATTTGTTGATTTTTTAATTTGTTTCTCATTCGAAAACTTATTTCTTGATCGACAATGCTTGAATCTTATTTTAACTAACATTTATCATGCAAGGAAAAGACCAATTTGGGCATAAGAATTAACCGTCAGAAAATAAGTATGTATTTTTCTGATGACATTAGCAATAGTTTCTGAGAATAAGAAAGGTTTACCGAAGTTAATAAAAACAGTAGTGAAACATTTTACAACAAACTGAGAATGAAAATAAATGTGAAAAAAAACAAAAGTACTTGTATGTGAAAAGGAAATCACAAGTACCCATAAAGCTACGAGGAAATCAAAAAATAAATTAAATAGATGAATTTGTGTATCTAGGAAGTACAATAAGCAATGACGGACTTAATAAGAGTGAAATAGTAAAATGTATTTCCCAAGCCAAAATAGCTTTTGACAGTAAATATAACCCTACTTCAAAGAACGTTTGAACTAAAATTAGAAATAACTTATTGTAAACATATGTATGGAGTATAGCCTTATACAGGTACGAGACCTGGACAAAATCAGTGAAAGGTCAAAAAAGACTGGAAGCATTTTAAATGTGGGGTTATAGGAGAATATTTAAAATAAGGTGAATAGATAGAATAAATAATAAGGAAGTCCTTGAAAGAATGTCAGAAGGGAAGCTACTATTGAAATGTATAATAAAAGACAATAAATGGATAGGGCATATAATTAATGAATGAATAAATACTAAAATTAATTGTAAAAGGAAGTATGGTAGGTAAAAATCATAAAAAAGACGAAGATTAGAGTATATTCATCAATTAATAAGTGTCCAAAGATTCGATTCATATATATAAATGAAAAAAAGAGTAGAAAGTGGCTTCAAGTTGAAACCATAAATAGAGAGAGGAGAGTGATATACAAAGTTGACCTATAACCCTATAACATCTCTATATCTATTTTTAAATCTAAACTGATTACAGAGTATACATATAAAAATTATATGAAATGTTTTTCAGTATTTTGACTTTTTTTTCTGACATTCTTCAATTACATTGGTTAAATAATTAGAAATTTAATTTTCTCGGGTGACCTTAATTAGAATATTTTTACTTGTAGCTAATCTATAAATATTTAAAATATAATTTCCATTAAACCCCTGGTCTTTAGCTTAATAATATAGCCACTAACACTTAGGTCTTGTAAACAAATTATATGAGTACCTATTTAAATTTGTATGATTTTTTTTATAGATATTTATGATTTGATAAAATATGGAACAGTTGAAGATTTAACTGGGTAATAATATTATTATCATAATTAACAAATATTATTAATACATATAAGTAACATTTTTTAGATTTATAAATTTAAATTTGATAGTTACTTCTTTTTAACTTTTAGATTTTTAAAAGATAACCCTAAAGAAGTTAATAAGTACAACGAATATGGTTGGACTCCATTACTTGTAGCCGCAGCAAATAACAAATACAATCAAATTGAAGTTTTATTAAAATTCGGAGCAGATCAAGATATGAGTGACAATTTTTTAAGTGTCTACCATGCCGCTAAAAAGCTAAATATACATCCCGAAGATGGTAATATAAATATGTATATTGTCATTTATTATATTATGATATTGTGTTTTGTTTAACATAATACATCCATAAAATAATCAACATTATTTTATATGGCCAATTGTAATTCATTGTTGCAAATTAATTTTAGTAGTATTTTATACTGATAAAAGCTAAAATAATATTGTTTCTCATACAATCTTAAATTAATTAATAAAAAAACTTTTAATCTATAGATATAAACAAATTATAATTAAGTTTATTTATGTGAATATATCACACAAACACTTAGCTGATTTTAATTTGGTTTTCATTTATGGTTCACTAAGTACTGATACATTTTCAGTTATTTCATATCCTAAAAATCCACCTCTATTGGGATACACAATGGACTCTTGAATATTGTTCTATTGTACAATTATTATTATGTAATTTGGTTATCAAGGACAAAAAGAACACCTTTATAAAATAAATAACTATGGGCATTCATTTTTTAATTATAATTTGTATATCTTAGACATTTGTACTAAATGTTAATAACACATTATTGCGTTTTTAATTAGGGAAAAAATAATTACCACACACTCATTAGCTGACAACCTGCATAAAAAAATATTTTTAATGACTTAGTATGGTTTAGCCATTTAGCATGTTAAGGTATTCAAAACCATAAGCGGGCTATAAATATATTGCTTATATTATATTATATACAAAAATATATATATATATTATTTGTTATCCTTTGTAATACAATAAACTACAATCTGTTAAATATATTATAACAATCACAGGATTTATTATAAATATTGTACTGTTTTACCATGACCCCTCTAGCCATTGCTAATATAAATCAATCATTAAAAAAACTTAAGTTCATCAATCATCAAAATCGAATATTTATTTATTTTAAAATGATTTAAAATATTTATTAATGTATACATTTTATTAATTACCTAATTAATAAATAAGATTTAAATTATTTTAGATTTATAATGAAAAAAATATAATATATGTATAGAAAATTATTTTTATTTTTTAGTTATTAAAAAGAGAGTGGATGATTTTTCAAAAGATTTTAATTTAAATGGTAAATTTCAAGGATTTACTGCTCTTCATTATGCAGCATTATTTAATAACATTGAAGCAATAAATATTCTAATAAAATATGGAGCTGATCCACATTTAAAATCTGTGACAGGCCATAAACCAATAGATTTAGTGACACATTCAAATACATACAATTTATTTCTGGACTATGAAAAAAATGTAAGTTATATACTAGTTTTTAAAATAATATTCAAAAATGAATTAAAATTAAATATATAAATAAATGAATGCATAGAATATAATGAAATGTGTATTGTATAAAAAGTAAAACATGATTTCGTGATTTTACCTGATGACGAATTTTTAATTCGAAATTGGTCGTATAATACACATTTCATAATACTCCAGGCACTTATTTATTTATTTACTAGTATTAACCATTTAATAATTTTGTTTTTACTTTATTATTTTATTACAAATTAAAATTGTTAATTATATAAAGTCATAAAGAAAAACAAGGTGTTACTGTTGATAGGTGTCTCATTTTTATAGATAGGAAGTTAGAAAGGTAGGATTATTTAAAACTGTTATAAAAAAAATCTATATTAATTTTAATATTTAAATTTAGAATGTAGTGAGGGATCCAATGGTTTTCCTTTGATGTGTATTTTTCTTTCTGACTGTGAACAACTTCTCTACCAGAAATCTTAATCCAATATATAAAGTATAGCAGTTTTTCTTTTATTTTTCACATACTTAGGACTGTCTATATATATATTTTTTTTGTAGTTATGGTGAAAAATGTTGTTTTTTTATTAGAATAAAGACTAAATTAGGTTCATAAAGTTGTTAATTATTTACAAAAGTTTTAAATATAAAATATTAACTATAATTGCAATTGAAATTTGTGTGCTAATCTTTGGAAATATTCATAGTTTGTTGTTCTATTTTTAAAATAGTTGCAAATAGTTTTCTGCTTTGTCTAAGTAGGTATACATGTGTCGCACTGTGGTAAAATCTGGCACTCTGGTAGAAAATTTCATGTTAACATAATAAAAACAATGATAATGGTAACAGAGTGTCATGCCGTAAAAATTTGCCGTTTTACCCATAATTTTCTTTCAGATTTTCCCAATTATTTTGAAAACCACTTGAAAAATCAAAAAATTACCTCCCTAAACACCAACAAGAGAAAAAAATAATTTTCAGAAAATGTGCTATAGTCCATATTTCAAAGTAAGTTTTCTGATAGAAAAGTTGTTCACAGACAGAAAAAAAAAGAATCGGGATGGGTGCGGCCGGGAGTGGGGAAAGTGAGATACATCAAGTTTTTTAATTTATACTTGTATCCAACGATTAATCTATGCTAACGAAAAACAATTCTGAGCGGAGTTCAGCTATATATGTTTTAAAAGACCGCTATATTTACAATTTGAAAATAATGCATTTCGTAGATTTTTCTGTTTTTTTTTTTCATTTTCATTTGTGTGATGGCATGGTGCACAGCGTTTTAATAATGCACTACTACTCTCTCCGACCCATACTTAAAAGTGAAATATCTCGTCAATGAATTGAAAAAATGTCAACACTAGATTTATTATAACTAATACACCATCTGTTTATGGAATTTTTAATGTAAGTTGCTAATTGAAAATCAAAAATAGGTAGTAGTTTTATCCCCAAAAATATGCGTGACAAAAAATAACATAAATGTAAAACTGTAGAGGTGCTTGTTTCTTTAGTATTCTATGAAACAGTTTCCAAAAAAATTTAATACTTTCCAAGATTCCATGCCTTATGATATTGTGTATATTATATTATATTTATTTTTATTTATCATGTCATTACAGTTTGAATTAATAAAAAAAAAACGAGAAGCAGAAGACAGAAAAAAATTTCCTTTAGAATTACGCCTCAAAGAGAAAATTGTTGGCCAAGAAAATGCTATTAAAATAGTCTCATCTGGTAGTATATATACTGTTTTGTATTACACAGTAACAAATAACAAATCATTATTTTGTGATCTTGTATACACAATTTAGCTATCAGACGTAAAGAAAATGGTTGGACAGATGAAGAACATCCATTAGTATTTTTATTCCTTGGTTCATCCGGCATTGGAAAAACAGAGTTGGCAAAACAAATAGCACACTATATGCATAAAAATAAAAATAATTTTATTAGACTGGATATGTCTGAGTACCAAGAAAAACATGAGGTTTATAAAAATACAGTTTATCTAAAATTAATAATTTAATATAAATAGTATTTATTTATTTATTTCATGAAATAGGTTGCTAAAATGATTGGCTCTCCACCGGGTTATGTTGGATATGATGATGGTGGATTACTTACCAAGCAATTATCTCGAAATCCAAATGCAGTAGTGTTGTTTGATGAAGTTGATAAAGCCCATAGAGATGTATTGACAATATTGCTACAATTATTTGATGAAGTAATATTAAATTATGTATTATTATCAATTTTTAGTTAGTAATAATATTATGTCACAATGCAACATAATATATTATATGTAACATTTCATAATGTATATATGCTTTTTTTAGATGAGAGATAATTCCTTTTTAAACCTACACATCACAGTACATCACTTGTTTTTAATACTGAAATAGAATGTCCTTGATAATATAATTTGAGAGGAATATCCCATAAATGTTACCATAACATATTGAGATTAATAATTTTAGATTCTGAGTGGAGCAAAGAATCTTATGGTTTTACAAAGATGTTTATTTTTTTTTTAACTGTGTGCAAATTTTCTACCAGAAGACTTGCTCAAATTTTTTAATATAGCACTTTTTCTAAATGGAAATTGGTGTGGGGAAGTACTTTGAGCAGGTCATTTTTTGATTTTCTCAGCAAATGTGAAAAACTGGGAAAAAAACATGGGAAAACCAGAGAAATTGGTACAAAATTAAAAAAATATTATCAAAGAAAATATATAAATCCAGTTAAATTATTTTACTATAATATGACATATATATTGTTGACAAAGCATCACTATCATCTGAACTCTGCTCATTTTTTGTAATTAATGATTTATCATTGCTCACAGGTATATATTAAACTATGTATAACAGTGACTGCACCTGTCCCCATTACCTTAGGATGTCTTTTTAAATTTATATCCATTAAACTTTTAAATTCCCAAAAAAAATTAAAGTGTTAACATGTTAACACTTAATAAGACATTATGTAAATTGTTCATGACTGTATTTATAATTTATTGCTCGTTAATATTTTTCAAATTTTTTTACCTATGTAGTTGCTTCTAGAAAACTGGAAAATGTCTGTGTTTTAATAATACATTAATTAAATCAATTGTATGCAGGGTCGTTTAACGGATGGCAAAGGAAAAACAATAGAATGCACAAATGCCATATTTGTTATGACATCCAATTTAGCCAGTGAAGAAATTGCTGAGCATGCTTTAGAATTAAGAAAAGAACAACGTGAAAATAAACTGTTAGATGATAGCCGTAAGAACATTTAAATCTGTTTAGAATTTTCATGTTTGTCACTTGAATAAATAAACTAATTAATTCACTGTTAAGGATTGTCTAATAAGAAATTAAAAGATAAACCAGAAGAAATGCTTATATCCAAGAAATTCAAAGATAACATTGTAAAACCCATATTAAAAAGACATTTCCGAAGAGATGAATTTTTGGGCCGTATAAATGAAATAGTATACTTTTTACCCTTTTCAGAAAAGGAATTGAAAACTATTGTCCATAGGGAGCTAAAACATTGGCAAGAGTTGGTATGTAAAACATTTCTATTGACTAATGGGGTATATACAATTTAAGTACAATTTAGTTATTTAGTAATTTATAGTTTGGTCTATTTTTAGGTATCTAATTTTTGAACCACAATGAATTTTTACTAGAACTGGTGGCTGTACCACATTTAAAAGTTTACATTTATTTAAAGTTTACTCAATAGTTAGGCTTTTTATTTTTTTCATCTATAGGTTTAAAAAAAATAAATATATTTCTTCAGGTATTAACAGGTTTACTGGCATTTAAAGCTATAAACCTAACCTAACCTTACATGTTTTATCTATATTCTTCACAAATTATAATCTTAAAAACAAAAGAAAAAATCCAGTTTACTACATTGTAATCATGTGCCTATTTTTGTAATTAAAGTGTTATTTACATTCAAATTTAATAATTGTGAACATTTAAATAATATATCTATTATTATATTTTATTTGTTGTGGTGCCATAACTAAAAAAAAATCATTTTTTAATGCAATTAAATACAGACTTGAATATCAGACTTGATTTCTCAATTTTTTCTTTTTTTCTAGGCCATGAAGAAACACAAGGTCATTTTAGAATGGGACAGTGGTGTGGAACATGTTATAATGGGCGCCTATGATGTGAGTTATGGAGCCAGATCAATTAAATATGAAGTTGAAAGGAGTATAGTGTCTCAAATAGCAAAAGCCCATGAAATTGGAGTAATAAAAGAAAACACTGTAATACGGGTAGTCTCAGATCTGACCAAAGGTGACTATGGCAGAGTCTTTCTAAAAATATTACACAACAATAAATTTTTAGGATTGGATGAATTCTGAACAATTGCCTGAACCAATTGGGTTGTTATAAATATTTATACTCCTACTGTAAAAATTCAAATTTAAATAAATTAGTTATTTATTATATAATTTTTATAACAGCTATAATATACATTTAATATATTATATTTCCACTACCTGAATTTTGTTTTTCCTAAATACAATCTAGAATGCTCAAGTCTGTTTGCTTACAATTAGTTCATCCCACTTAAACTTTTTTCACAATCATGTTTTTCACAGCTTCTAGAAATCTGGTATAGTCATGGAATTTGTACACAATTATAGAATTTTAGAAATTATTTAAAATTTGAAAAAGAGCATGGATAATATATTTTAAACATTATTTAAAATATTATAGATTAGTATTTCTCAAACTGTGTGATTCCGAAAAATGTATGTTTTTAGATTCTGAGCAGAGCGAGAAATGTATTGGTTTTAAAATGGTGTTTATTTATTTATTTATATCTGTGAACAACTCTTCTACTAGCAATCTCGCTACAATTTTTAAGTTTCCTCCTTTTTTGTATGCTGATACATTTAAAAAAATTAATGAAATTAAAATGACACACATACCACTCACAGCACAGTCACATTATGACTGAAAACATGTTTATTTATGTACAATTAAACAGTTTTGGAGACATATCACAGTAATATGCAACACACCGGTTGAGAATTACTGCTTTGGGGACAGGACTGTATTTATGATTTTGGGGCATATTGGCAACAATATTTTGGCACCTCCGGCTTTGCTTATGATTAATTTTTTAACTATTTAAATAATTATACTAATTATAGGGATTCGTGGTATCTAATTTAGTATTTAGATAAAAAACAAACCATTCAAAAATTTAAAAAGACAGACATACTTTGTAAGGCACTGTTGTAGATGGGAAGCTGGGAATGTAGGATACAGGCAGGAATTTAATGTATATCTGTAAGCAACTATAAATCATTGCTAACGAAAAACAATTCTGAGTGCAGTTCAGTTGATAGTGATAATTTGTCAATAAAACATAATTCATATTATGGTAAAATAATTAAATAGGCATTATATATTTTTTTTTATAAATTTTTTTAATATTGTGTTAATTAAACCATATTTTTCTATGATTTTTTCCAAGTTTACTAAAATATTTCATACATTTTTACGTTTTTCCTCCGTTTTTATTTACTTACATTTTATTGGAAAAAATATCAGGAAAATCAAAAATAACCATTTTAACAATGTTTTGTTATCATTCAAAGTAGATCAAAATATTAGGGATAGTTTTTTAAGTATCTACCATGTGAGACATCAATAAAAAAGCATATATATCGTTTATATGGTTAATATCAATACATACTATATTTTATACAATACATACTTATGCAATGTTTTGTATAAAATAATACATTTATAAAGTAAAATAGTTTAATTCTTGTTATTAAAAAATTAAGATTTTTTGTTTTGCTGTTTAGAATCAAAGATAAAACAAAAAAAAAATCATATGAATATATATGGAAGGATTAGTTTCTAAAAATTAGTATCCTTGTAATTTATTATTCCATTTTGAAAATATTTAAATATAAAACAAAATTGTTGAATAATTTCAATCATGGTAAGACAAAATTTTAATTAAAAATGTTTTATTATAAGCAGACCTAATCTACGAGTATACAGATCCATTACATAAACATTACAAAAATAAAATTTTAGAAACAAATTAAATAAATTATATTTTTTTCTTTCATTCATCATGAATTATCAGTAAATTAAATTATTTTCCCACTTCAAAAAATATCAAATCAATTTTATATAGTAATCTAAGTTCATTAGTCATAGTAAATTAAATATTTTTGATATTTTTCTTTTCCTTAACAAAAGTAATGAGTCGGGTCTGAAAATAATACAGCCTAAGGAAACCAGGAACATAATTATTTATTTAAATTTCAATTAGAATAATTCATAAATGTTCATTCTATATTGTTTACTACAATATGAAATTTAAGTAATTTTAACTAAATTAATCAGTAGCACAACTCCCTCCACCCCTTACTAAAAAAAAAATTATAATTTTTACAAACCTTAGTAAATAATTTGTATTGCCATAATTAAATAACAGTATTTCTTTTAAAAAATAGAAATAGACCCAGAATTATGTTGTGCCTTAAACTTTTAGATATAGCCTATATCAAAAAAGCTATAATATTAACTATGATTTTTTTTTTTAAACACTAATAGTAAAAATACTGCACATTTTTCACATTGTATAAAGATATGAATTTTTGAATTACATTTTTTTGTTTGAAACATATTTCTAAATTTCTAATAGATTTTCTAAACATCTAAATTTAAAATAAAATATGATGATGCATGAATTTGAATTATCTTGACTACATGGAAAAAATACAGTTAACACTTTACTTGCTAAAGTGGCCTATATATTGAGCCACTGAAATATAAAATAAAATAAATATTTTTTTCATTTAATAATCAAAGAAAACATAAACTATTTTGTAATATCTAAAATTAATGGATAAACGTTATGATATTTTTTGTTGTTATATCAACAAAATTTCTAAATAAAATACATGATGTAGGTATATAGAATTCAATTATTATATTTTATTTTTCACACAAATCAATTCAAAATAAGATAAAATAACATTATATATCTATTGGATGTATGGCTAATGTACTAATATAAAAATCAAGCACCAAGTAAAAATAATGATTTTAGAAGTATTTTAATCATTATAATTTGATATTTACTTTATTTTTAAGATATTTCACTCATAATTATGTAGTCTCAAAGTTCAATACTTATTTATATAATAATTTAGATGAAAATTTAAAAATTAACTTATTTAATAGCAAAATAGTGTTTTAAATTTACAATTATGAACATTCTTAATGCTCTTAAATTAACTTACATATTAAATGTTGAGTAATCACTAATACAATTTTAAGTATATATTTTAGTGTAAATTTTTCTAGAAAATTCTTAATTATAAATTATATAATGTAGCCCTAATATATAGTAGGATACAGAATATTTAAGTATGTAATATGTAGGTAATTAAATTTAGTAGATATAAAATGTCTTTTTCACATTTTGTTTTGTTTTTTTATTAATTGTATAATAATTTTTAAATATTAATTTTTATTTGTTTATTGTAATTTTACTATTAATATGTTTTATGATTCAATAAATATTTTCTCAAGTGTTTCTCAAATGTGATTAAAATATACCATCCTATTGGATTATATAATATAATTCTAAATTGATGCACATTAAATGTTTAAAAAATACTTATATACACTATAAATAGTGTCCCATGAAAATATACCCAATACAATATTTCTAGGGATAATAAAAATTAAAAAAAAAAAATTTATTAATTAAATTTTATGTTTTTGAATAAAAAGAAATATATAAAAGAAGTTAATATAATTTGTTTTTTTGAAAAATTTGAAGATTGCCATTTTATAGTTTATAATTATGAAAATTTTGATGTTCAAATTTTTATTTTCATTAAATTTGTGATATTTGGTAATTTTTTAAAGTATATAGAAAAAACCACTGTTCAGTCAATTAGCCATAGTAATAATTAATTAGCAAATGAGATCTGTCACAGTCTGTTGCGTAACTATAGGTAATTTGGAAAAATGATTAATATAATATACTGATTTTATTATTTTAGCTTACTAAGTATTAGTATTTATAATACTGTACTTTATTTTCATATTAAAATGAATGTATCTTTGTGGAACACTCTGTACATATTATCATAGTTATACAATTATCAGATGGCAATTTAAATTTAAGAAAAAAAAAAAACTTGACAACACCATAATTTGTGTACTTCTTATTGGAACTTGTATTCTGTATATTTTGAAAACAGTTACTATAACAAATATCAAGAAATTTACCAATAAAATGTATGACACTAACAATTTTTAATTAATCTAACATAATTATTATCCACACAACACAATCAGTATCACTATGTACTGCTAAACTACTAAATTTATTTTTGTTAATAAAATTAAAGATAAAACCAAATGTTTTAACAAAATATTATACATTGACATTTAGTGCATACGATAGATAACTGTATTAATTTTAATACTTGAATATAAATTAAAATTTAAAACTATATTGCACCAAATTAAGTGAAGTCTTTAAAAGGTTGGGTTTTAAGAAATATTGATTTTTTAAATGTAAATGTATACAATGGCAAAATAATAATAGTAATTAAAACAATATTAAATATAGTACAAATTATATTTTAAGAAAATATAAAAATAAGTCATGAGAATTACATTTAGTTTAGTATAAATGATATCATAGGAAAGTATAAAAATAATAGTTTGAGGAAAAAAAAAATTAAAAAATAGATAAATTATAAAAATAAAAAAAAAAATCTTAATATTTGATGATAATAGGAAAAATAATAAATTAACACTCTGACGATGATTTATCATCAAAATGTTCAGAGTTTGGTTCTTCAATACTGGTTTCAGATGAATTTGTTTCAATAGATGTTTCATGTGACAAGTTCAATGTTCGTTTAGTCAACCTCTCCAATTCTGCAGCAGTGTCTGATGTGTCTGTATGGTACTCAGTCCTATCAAAAGATAATGACCTTGAACCAGACAGTTCACCTGTAACACAAAATATTGAAGTTTCCATACATTATATTTTTACATAAGATATTCAGTGGTTTATATTAACTGGGCGTTTTTGGAACAGCAGAACTTGGACTAGATTTTTTGTGCAACAAAGAATTGAAAAAGTTGGCCAATACTCCTTCACCAGGATTTGCAGTGTTAACAGATTTTACAGGATCAATCTGTAACAAGCCAATAGATTGGATTAAGAAAATCTATCATTTTAATAAAGATTAAGAAATAAAAATATATAAAGTACATTACCTTTTTTGTTGGAGAACCTTGACCTGGATTGGTTAATGAGGAGCGTCTTTCGCCAGGCTTAGATACACCTGTCAGTGATCTCATTACAGAATCTTGTTTTGGAATACCAATTACTGATTGTTGATTTGCAGTTTGGTTTAATAATCCTAATTGTTTGTTTAAAAATATTTGTTCATCTTCTGCCTGAATTTCGATTTCTTTAGCAAAAGCCTAATACAAATATATTATTATAATAAATAATCCTGAATTTGATCCATGCTTATTTATATATTAATTAAGTTAGAAATTGTTTTCTTTAATGTGAATTGTACAATTTGTATTATTTTAATAATATGATTTGTTAGGTAAAATTATGGTAATTTTACTTTTCTAATTAATACACAAATTATATAAACTTGTTAAAAAAAAGAACTTTGATTGATACATGTAATTATTATGTATTTTGATAAAACTAAAAATTTAATTTAAAATTGTTTAAATATTTATTTTAGTATGTTAAGTTATATAATGTCCTACAGAATTATCCCAATGCTAATAAATCTGTCAATATTCATTTTTTTCCATTGGTTTTGTGTCAAGAGGACACAAATGTAATGAAAAATTAAATTTGCATTTTCATCCCTTAATTACAGTAAATAAAATATATTTAAATTTTTTCAATTTTTAAAATGTCTAAAATAAACTTTTTTCAAAATATATTATTCTTAACTTTTAAATATACCATACTTACATATTTGATCAATAGTTTCATAGTAAGAGCCAGTTTAATTTCTACAATATTATTGTAAAAACAATTTACAATAGAATAACATGTTACATGAATATCACAATCAGCATAGTAATTCCTTATGTTTTAACAAATATTAATTATTTTCAAAATCATTTACGATATATTAAAGACACTATAACTAAGAATAAGAAACTATTAATTGGATATGAATGTATGATACATTTAATTGTTTTAAACAATATATTTTACAAATAACTTTTTTCATTTTTTTATGGAATGAAAATACAAATTTAATTTTTCTCTACTTTTGTGTTCCCTTGACACAAAATTCAATTGAAAAAAAAAATGAATATTGATAGTTATAGTATTCACAGAACACTATAGGACACTTATACTATATTTATAACTCAAAGAATTGTTTTAAATAAAATAGGTAAATATTTTTAATTTTTAATAAAATTATTTTAGAGTTATTTATACTATGTTAAAAATTTTAAAGAATAAATATAAATTAATGTAAGTAAGTTTTAAATTATAATTTACATTCAACACAAACCTTTTTGGTTTTCTCGTTTATTATAACAGAATTATAATAATCATTTGGTTTAATGGTGTGCATGTTATCAGACAGTATATTAATCTTCTTCATGCTATCCCATCCAGCTGGTCTAAAACATATTACCAAATTATTACCAAAATATTAAGAATTTTTATAAAATATATAAGTAACACAAAGAATAATGTTGAAAAAATTGTATATATTTTTAGTATTTTGTTTTAAAACTAAAATTTAGTTATTAAAGATTTAGTTACATAAATAAACCTACATAAAGACTGCATCTTTTTCTACAATTAATGCTGGAGTTTTGAATGGAAAGTTATAAATCTTATGTGTAAGGAATTTATACAATAAATCACAGTTTTTGTCTTCTTTGGCAGATGTATAAAATAGTGATGCACCATATTGTAAACAAAATTTACGTAATGCTTGTTGTATGAAATCAAAATGTTCATCCTTGTAATTGTTCTCTTTTTCCAAAATACTTATATAATCAGTCTAAAATGAGAAATATACGATAATAATTATTCATTATGATTTAATACAGTTTTCTCATAAATTTAAATTAAAAATATCCTCAGTCTCCTTGTAAGTTTGTTTGATAAGTAAATATTTACCTAATTATTCATTTTATATGAAACTAAAATAAATAAATAAAAACATTAATTTTAGAAAAATTATTAAGATAAACTACTGACATAATATTATAATATAGACAAAACAAAGTTACCACACTACCTCACTAACCCTAATCTATACATGTAATCAATCTATCATAACATAAAACACTCATTATCTTTGAAAGTAATAACTTTTTCTGGAATTTATTTTCTAAAACATTAAAAAACAAGCTACTCTACAATTTTATATTTATGTTAATTTTTGTCACACTCATTTTTATGGGTAAAACCACTACCTACTTTTGATTTTCAAACAACCTATATTGAAAATTCTATAAGTATATGGAGTATTATTTAAAATAAATTTTAGTATTGATATTTTTGATTTCTGTCAATTCATTGATGAGATATTTCACTTTAAAATTTGAATTCGTGAAGAATAGTTGAGTATTATTTTTTAATAATGCTCCACTACTCTCCCCATACCTAAACTTAAAAGTGAAATATATCGTTAACGGCTTGACAGAGATCAAAAATGTCAACACTAAAATTTATTTTAAAAAATACTCCTTCTATTTATGGACTTTTAATATAGATTTTCATTTTAAAATTAAAAGTAGGTAGTGGTTTTATCCCCAAATACTTTCCGAGATAATAATCGTACCCACTTAAATGAGTTACCTTGTATTACCTACCGTAAATGAAATATTGTGAAACTATAACCTTGATAGAATATTTCTTATTGTTTTACATTTACTGTAATAATGTTGTAATTTTCATGGGTTTAAAAACTTAATATTTCTTCTTGTTTTTCAAAAAAAAATTAAAGTCGAGTACTTGGTGGCAGCATTTCTAGTCACATAGATAATCACACTCTGGGAAGTTTATATTTATTTATTTCATAATAACATAAAAAAAAAAAATTAATTAATAATATTCAGACAATACTGTGCAAGACTTTACTTCTTCACCCAATAAAAAACACACAATTAAATCTGTATTCTTTAAAAATGCAAAACATTCAAACTAGCATCATAGTTGCAACTGCTTAATGTAAATTGGATATCCAGTAACGAAGTGAAGCTTTTAGATTTCGCGTTAGCTAAAATATTTTGGGTTAAATCCAGGTGCAAAGCCATATTATTTTTAAAACTTAAAATAAATAGTTTTTTTCCTGAATAAAATCTCAGATTTATGGAATATTAATTATTGACAATGGTCAGATATAGCAGATACAACAGATTGATGTAAATCAAAAATGTCAACATTTAATTTAAATAATATATCATTTATTTATGGAATTTTTAATATAGGTTGCTATTTGAAAATCAAAAGTAGGTAGAGGTTTTACCCCCAAAAATAATATAAATATAAAATTGTAGAACAGCTTGTTTCTAGTTAATATTTTTCGATATAGTGGGTTTTATGATAAATTGATTACCTTGTATACTACCTCTATTTTATACTTGATTTTATTAAATATCTTATGTATTAACATTGTCTCTGTTTAAAGCTAAATGGTAAATTTTAATCTAAAGCATACTATTAAATCAATAAGTGGTCTAGGCAGTTAAACTTAATAAATGTAAAAAAAAAAAATTAAATTAAAATAAAATACATTTTTAAGGCACAAATGATTAGTTTTCTTTGAACAATATCCCTAAAATAAGCCACTATAATACTAAATTATTAACATACCATTGTTACAATGACAATTATGTCTAAGCCTAAATTCCTTGTAAGGACTCCATCTTCAAGAGATGGTTCCAAACATCCATTTTTATCAGCAACATTTTCTTCAATATATTTGTTCCAATTTTTAACACCTTAAATATCGAATATAAATACACAAGCTAAAACATATCTTACAATACATAATAATAATTTCTATTCCTGATTTACAGTGATCAGCATAAAAGCAGTTTAGCTTCCAAGTGATTTTTTGGAATTTTGTTTTTCAAATTGTGTATTTTTGCATGCTTAATTTGTTGGTACTTCAATAAAGTTGCTCAAACTTTATTTGGAAGTTATAGTCAAAAAACTTCAAAATGCTCGATTTTTCTAAAAATTGTATTTTTGAGTTTAAAATAATTAAAATTAATATTTTTTTAGAAATGGTAGTAATTATAAGCTCAACATTTAGGTGAAATCAAAATTTACCTATAGTACTTACTTTTTACATTATTGTTAATAAACCACATAAAATCTAATTATAATATTCCAATCATTTACATATTAAAGTAACTGAAAATTAATTTTTTGATTTTAATTTTCATTTGGTGTGTAATAACATAAAGAAGTTTTTGGTAAAATCAGAACTAATTTTTTTTTGATATTTATGAGCTATTTAAGGGAAAACACCAAGGGGTGCTTTCTTTGACAGTTATTGAAAAACTGCAGTCTTGGATACTAATTGCCAAACATAACACATTAAAATGCATTCATGGATGTCATCTCAAATTATGTTTGAAAGTTAATTGCATTGATGGATATGTATGGAGATATGGAGATTATTCCATGAATTCCATCGAAAAAAATAAATTTTAAAACTTTATTAAATATTTTGTTATTTATAACAATAATTTGACATTATAATTGCTGTATTCATTTCACAATAAACTTTCCCCAATCAGGTTTTTTTTTTAAAATTATTTTGGCTTCAGTAATAAAAAAAAATAGTATTAAATAAACTATATTTTTTTCAAAGTTAAATATGATGCTTGTTTCCAGAGAAAAGATATATTTTTCTACTATTTCTTCTAAACCTATAAATATAAGTTAGTACTGATTTCACCAAAAACTTTGTTATTACACAACAAATGAAAAGAAAAGTCCAAAAATCAATTTTCAGTTACTTTAATATTAAATTGATTGAAATAACATTATTCATTGGTTTTACATGGTTTATTAACAATAATATAAAAATTAAGTACAATAAGGGAATTCTAATTCCAGCAAAATGTTAAGTGTGTAATAAATACCATACCATTTCTAAAAAAAAAATTTCAAAAATATAAATTGTTGTTATTTTAAATTCAAAAATATGACTTTTAGAAAAATCGAGCATTTCGCAGTTTTTTTACCATAGCTTCCACATGAAGTTTAAACGACTTTTTGAAAATACCACCAAATTAAGCATACAAAAACACACATTTTGTAAGAAAAATTTCTAAAAATCGCTTGGGAGCTACACTGCATCCCTTCCCAGTGGTCACTTACATTTGAGTTTGTATTCCCGAAGTTCTTCAAGAGGAATTTCAAGATTGTCAATGTAGTCTTGCAACAATACTGACCAGCTTTCTAGTTGATCCATTATATTCCATGGTGTTTTCATAGAAACAACAAACATTACCAATGTGTTCTTAAAGTTTGATTTTGACAGAGCAAATTTCATTAGAAATGAGTATTTGGGGTTGCCATCTTGTACCCACACATTTAATTTTGTATGATCTAAACAATTTTATCATTGTTGTAAAAATATTTCTTTATTTCATAAAACATTTCAAGCTACATAATAAATAAAAAATGGATATTATATAGATATTAAAATACAATTTAGTTTATTTTCAAAGACTTAATTAAATTTAATTGATTTCAAATATTAACAAATTGTATCTACTTTTCCTTTTTTTTTTTTTTTTATATAAAATAGGAGTTAAAAATCATAAACTATATGTTTATTTATATACATTTTTTAAAACAAATCTGCTTTTAGACAGAATAGTTCTATAGGCTGAATAAATATGTATGTAGTATAAGGATTACACTTCTTAAAAATGTACTTTTAAACTATGCTATAATTTCTATTAACTAACCTTCTTTGTAATCATCGCGAATATCAATATATGCATATTCCAAGCCAATTCCCTTTGTTAGATCATCGATTCCCTGTAACTTTCCAACAAGAGTAGTTTTACCGCATTGATTATTTCCTGAAAACAACATTGATATGACACTAATAGAAGCATAAAGATCTCCTATAATTTACCTATTATAATCACAGCTTTGTCAGTCGGTAATCTGGTTCTTCCTTTTTCTTTTAATGAGATCAATATAGAATTCCTGTAACAAACATTTTTGTAATTTTGCAGAAACATACCATTAAGGTGTAATAGGGTCATAGTTTAATTTAGTTAGACTGTTAAATATTTGATAATATGTTTAAATTAATCTAGGTAATAATCATGTGTATAAATCTATAACAGTATTTAAACATACAACATCAAAATAATCACAATTGCATTTCATAATAAAAAATAATCAATAAATACTCACCATAAATTTACATCGTCTTCTTGCATTTTGATGGTATTATTTCTTTAAAGTACAAATACACAACAGTTAGCGACTCATAAATAATGAAGAGATCGAATTTTTAATGGTAAAATGTTAAATTAGTATCAAATACTGTAAATAATTAATTAAGTAGGTACGGCGGAATTAATAAACCGTTTTATTTACGGTTCCACAATTTTTATTTTTTTTATTGTTTATAATGTTTGTAAGAAGTTTTTATTCAAATCTGATAACGCTATTTTGATAATAAATACCAACCACCACGGGATATTATCAGTAGATCAGACAGACCAATAAGTAATAACCATGATAAATTAAATAGATATGACAACAAAAATTCAATGTTTATCGTGTTCATGCATATTTCTTCCCCCCGACTACACTTGTGATGTAGTTTTTCGGCTCATCCTATTGGTTGTATTATGTTGCACTGTAGGTAAGTAGGTACCGACTTATTTTAAGTTAAATTAGATAATAAAATTACCTAGGTTTTATTATTCATCAAGATAATAAAAAAAAAGAAACTATGTTTAAAGATTTTTTTTTCATAAAACAGTTTATTATGGTAAAAACAAATAATAAAGGAGGTCGATATGTAATATAAATTGACTACTAATATTCAGTAAACTAAAAATATACTTACTGCCTGTTGGAATTAGTGTCTTTTGCCATGATTTACTTTGCAAAATTATGACTTAAATTTAAATATAAACAGAAAACAAATATCATATGAATAGTTAGTTTTTTAATTCTAACTTTAGTGAAGAATGTATTGGTTTTACTAAAACGTTTATTTTATTTTTTTATACCGTGTACAAAATTTCTACCAGATATCTTGTTTCAAAGTTTCAAGTATAGCACCATTTCTGAAAGAGAATTTTTGAGGTGGTACTTTAAGGAGTTCATGTTTTGGTTTTTCCAATTAATGAGAAAACCGAAGGAATTCCAAGAAAATTTACTAAATGTAGGTATTAGTAAAAAAATATTAAAGTACTATTATTTTATGTATATTTTGCTATTTGGCACCTCCATAGCCTTGTAAACCACTTTTAACATTGCTTTTATAGCATAGTAAATATGTTCTTATAAATCATTTATACCTTTACCTACTATTAAAATATATTATATGTATCAAAGTATAAAAAATGCCATTTAATACTTCTATAAAATTAACAATATTAAAAATAATACTATTGCATTTTAGCTTGAAATTACATTGGTACACAAAAAATCCTATATTATTAAAACATTTAAAGATTTTATATTTTATATAAAAGCACTTAAACCTTTACCCAAATAAATTGTTTAAATTTAACCTATTATTAATGAATTTTACCAAAATTATAAAAAGATAGGTGCTTATTGCTTATACTCAAATTGTTATGGATTCAAAATATAAATATATGTTTCTAAATAAAGTATATACATAGAGTATGTAAGTGTATTAGATCAATTAAGGAATAAATAAATTGCTTATTATCCTTTTTTTTATTTAAATATATTCGCTATAATAAATTTATCGGGTTCAACCATAAACTAAATTGATTTATGAAGTTTAACAATAACCAATTTAATGAATTTTAAATACTTATAAAATAAATAAGTCATATTTGATAATAAACTAGATTTTGTATTATGGAAAAAGAAAAATGGATTAATTTAAAATGTAGCAATACCATTATTAAAGATAAGTACCTGCATTTATTTTAACTATATAAATGCATTATTTAAAATAAAAATCAGGATCATTAGAAGAATAAATCACTATATTTACGTAATAGATTATTATTAATGAATACAAAAAAATATAATCAGAATGACAAAAATAGTTAAATTCATTTAATATTCTAAATATAAGTAAAAGTTTATATATTATATTAAAACTAAGATTGGTTTTTTATTTCAAATACTGTTTAAATTTAATTTAACTGTCTGGCTTTACATATATTACTTAAAAGAGTTGAACATTCTTGTAGTCTTTCTAATTCGCCCACTGACATTTGAGTTTTGCTTACAATATTATTTAAACAATCAACATCTGTTTTAAGTTTATCCAACATTTTATCTAATGTCCGACGAAATGAACATACATGTTGAAATTTTCCATTACGAGATAATTGTTCAAAATATTGTATAAAATCATTATAATTGTAGACAGGTTTGATTTTCATTTCTAAATAGTCAGTTATTATAGTTGTAACTTCAGGTTTTTTGAAAAGCATATTCATCAAATTATTTTTATTTTTACAGACACTAGAAATATACACTATAGTTTCAACTGTCCATTGTTGTATTAATGGATGATTGTCAAATAAGTACTCAAGAAGAATTTCTAGAGTAAGATGTTCTTGAAATGTTGGCATGTACAGTAATATTGATCGGATCAATTTTAGTCTACAACGTTTAATTTCTGTAGTATCTTCATGAGTACGGACACTTAACATTTTAGTTGTCTATAATAAACAAACACATTATTGTCTTTAATAATAATAACAATATTTACATTGTATTTTAATCACATTAATAAAATAATTAAAAACTAAAATATTGTTGGTATACTTTTGGAATGGCAGCTTTAAGTAATGTTTTAGAACCAATACTGATTTCAACTAGCGCACATAAAAAATTTGGTGGATACTCATCTTTAACACAAGTCCATAAATGTATAATATCTTCGGTTAAGTGATCCATATTTGTTTGTTCTGGTAATATATTTATAATTTTTAGCTATAAAATCATTTATATAAATTAAAAATTAAAAATAATGCATTATTTGAACAATGGAATGAAATACAAGTAGTACAAGTTTAACATAAAAAAAAATATAATTGTTTAATAGGTACCAATTCTGATAAATGATTGTTTTTCAAAAGTGTTGGAACATCCAGTATTCCAATTGCAGATTTTAGACTTTGGATTTTTAATTGAGGACAGATGTTCACTAACTGATTTTTATTGGTTATCAGAGCAAAATGTCTCCGTAATAACATTTCAAGATATATGCACTGTGGACATTGAGTAAAACATGAAAAGTCATTTAATGCTTCATAAAGTCTAGCTAATTTTGAAAACTGTAAATTACATAAGTCAGGTGTCAAATGCCTAAAGAAAATAGAAATATATTTATGTTATTATTTAATTGTACAGAATTAATTAATAACTAAAAATAAACCTCATAATAATAATCCACAAATCGCTACTAAATATAGCTGGCCAATACTCAGTATTAAGAATATTTTGTATCAATATTTTTTCAACTTTTTCAAACAAAATATATTCAGATACCAGAATTACTGATGCTAAATGTATAAGTAAATTTTCGTATAAATCTCCATTGTCACAACATATTACTGAATCAGTATATCTTATCAATTGAAAAATAGTGTAAATAATCGCATAAGCTAATTGATTCCATGAAGTTTTAGATAAATGTTTTAAGAGCAACATTGCAATGTACAATGCAGATAACTTTTGACTTGATGAATTGTTATTAATTAATTTTTGACAGCTTGATAGAAATACCTAAATGATAAAAAAATTATAATCTAATTTTTTTTTAATGATTTAACTGAATTTTAAATTACCTTCACAAATTTTTCATCAGATATCAACACCAAATTATCAACATATTGCAATAAACGATCTTTTATGATAACGGAATCTTGTGTATTGGACAACCAAAAGCTAAAAGTATAATAAATGTAACAATATTATCAAATAAATGAAAATGATTTTCATTCATTATAATATTGGATATTTTGTATTCATAGTATTTATAGCATACCTATTCAAAAATAAAATAAACTCCACTAGTATATTATGGGATTTTAATATATGACCATGTGAGCAAAGTTTAACCAAAACACTCATCATGTAGGTGGATAATTTTAGTGATGCTTCATCGCTATAATTAAAAGAAGAAACAATTTTTTTCAATTCAGTGCACAGAAATTGAATTGGTTCATCATTAATAATATTTTCTTTCAATTCTGCTGAGTATTTCTGCGAGATAGTAATATAAACTTTCCAATTAGTAGCCATAATTTTATTACTTGCAGTATATACTACTTCACCAGCATACCAAATGTGATGTAAAACTATATGCAAACATTTCTTATTGTTAGTAAATATTAATTGTTGGTATAAGTCTATACCAGTGGTTTTCAAACTTTTATTAAATACACCACATTGTGCTTTTCAAAATATGTTCACAGCACGCTGTGATCTTTTTTTTTGATATTTCGCTAAGTACAAGGATCATCCACATAACTAGTAAGAGATAAACCTATTTTTAAGTAATCTAGTTCAGTAATACTGACAAATTTTACTATATTTTGGTTTTTTTTTTTTTTTTATGGTTGACTTACTGAAGTATTGTCAACATAACGAGTTACAAATTTATCCATATTAATAATTATTACTATAAGTAAATTAATATCACAAATGTATTTCTAAAAAATACTTGTATTCTGTTAAATAGAATCAACAGATATATAGAATGACGTGACAAACAAGTAACAACACTACAAATAGGGCATATACATACAGTTGGCTACAATGAATATACTGACTGGGGACTAATAGAATTACTTATAAATTGTATTGATCAATAATTATCTAAGATAACTTGTCTTAATCACTTTATTCTTACCAACTGTCGATTTATTAATACATAAATATAAAAAATGTATAACGATTGAACTCATTGAATTAATTAGATTAATTTGCATATCACAATTCAATACAATTAGTTATTTATGAAAATATATTTCAGAAGACCATGTCATACCTAGTGAATGCTTGCGGCACACTAGAGTGCCGCAGCACTCAGCTTGAAAACCACTAGTCTATACTAAGTACATCAATTTTTTTTTTTAAACACTTTTATTTTAAAAAATACTCGCAACACTGATTCTGAAAATGTTTGAACTTTTTTAAAGGGAAACCATTATTAAAAAAAGTTATAGCTATTTGAAGTTCTTCATTTTATATTATATTAAGAGATGTGCCCCTTAAAAAGGCAATTTTTTCTTTTTACTGATGATTTTGCATAACAAATCTTGGTTATTTTTTATTCAAAATCAGACATTAGCTAGCGAATTGAGATCATGCAGTTTGCCAAAAGTTTGGACTCACAAAGTAAATTTTAGGTTTATATTTAGGATACTATCCTCTTAGTAGCAGTATCAGATTGAAAATTCTAGGGTAGGTAATTTAGGGAGCTCCTTCCTCTCCTTATAAAGGGGTTTAAATAGGATAGTTTTAATTTTGTTTTTGTGCTTTAACTTCTTTGATAATGATGTCCACAAAAATATTTAAATATTTTCGAAATCAGCATTGAAAAACATGTAAATTCCAAAAAAAGTTGTAAGGTATACTTGTTTCAATTTTCCTTACATTTCAGCAATAAACTAACATCTTCTTTCAATGTTACATTAAACTCAATTTTTTCTAAATAATTTAAAATTAATTTTTGTAATTCTGATGTCGTTTTGAATAACTCAGTGAGCAATTGTTTTATGTTAATAATAAATTCTCCATAGATAAGATTACTTTCTGAACAATGTTTAAAAGCCATTATTACACCTTTTTCATATGATACAAGGCTATTTACACCTATAGTAGAAGACGATTCTTTTTCCATAACATGTTCCAAAATATATTTACCATTGTTCAAAATATCAATACAATTCTAAAAAAAATAAAAATTTTAAAAAATTTAAACTCAAATCATGTATTTTACCTATTTTTTTTTTTTTGTGGATATTAAAATGTATATAAGAACCTGTAATAACTTTTGTATTGGCAATTTCTTACTTTCTTTATAATTTGAATCATCAATGATTTGTTTTATATTGTCCAATTTCTAAAAGAATCAATAAATGGAAAAAGTCAGTTAATATAATAAACACTATTACTTGTACAAATATAATATTAATTATTATAGTATTACATTGTTCAGATCTGTATAACAAAAATTACTAAAATAAACTTCTTTAGTAATGTCGTCCATAATTTTATTTTAGATTGAAATATATTAAAATAAAATATTCAATATATATTCAAATAAAATAATTGAAATGTATGAATATTTTAGAATATACTAAATTTCAAAATCTTCAAATATTGTTGGGGTATATGACAATAAAATTATATATTTTATTTAGAATTGATTAACGTAAAATAACGATAGTTACAAACTTAAAATAGCACAACAAATTAACAATAAATTCGAGATGTACTTATAACCGGTGAACATTTCCGATTTCCGACAATAATTATATCTGATAACTATAAGGGAAATTTTGTATGATAAGTACATAGAGTAGTACCACAGAGTATTACTCTATGAGTAGTACCCATATCATATACTAGAAATACGTTGGTACAAACCGGTGTACCGATCCGATACATTTTATACCGGTTTATTAACATATGTCGGTACACGACACAAATGCGTATACCTAAAAATCAGCTGGCGGCTTATGACGGATGATACTGTAATAATAGTGATGAGGTAGAAATTAAATTCAAATTTTGAATTTTTTTTTACTTTTAGGCTGAGAACATACTTCAGAGCGGTGAGTGGTAAAGTGATAAGCGATTTCTCCTCACCTCTCACCGCTCAGCGACAAAGTGGCCGTACTATATTGTGTTTAATTTTCCGTGATAACTGAAATATAATAAAATATACAACACTATCTAGGTTAAACCGTCAAACTACAACTGTTCAAAACACGAGTAGACACAAGGCCACATTAAAATAAATACAACTTTTTTTGTAATTATTGAATTGGATTGTGATTATAAATAATGCTGATAAGGGTTTGACGCTTAGCGCCACAGATATCTATATTATACTAATATAGATAATATAGATATTTGTGCTCAACGCTAATCAATAAAAATCAAAATGGTTTGACGCTCATCATGAGCGGTGGACGTTAACGCTCACCGCTCACAAATGCAGTATGACCACTTTTATACCAAATGATATGTTTAATTCGTCAACAAACATGACGCTCACTACTCTGAAGTATGTCCCCAGCCTTATAGTTTTATTATTAAATTTGCTATTTATTACTTAGATATCCAAAGTATTCAAAATATTTTTTTAATTTAATCATTACCTTTTTTTTTATTAATATGGGCAAAGTAAGTTGTTTTTATTGCCAATCAACGGCAACTAAAATTCCAGGCTTAACATTTCACACGTAAGTTATAAATCCATGACCATTGTTATATAGAATGAATACTTGGCTGTTAATAAGTACTATTTTGTAAATGAAAATTACATTTTAAGGTTACCTGCTGATAAAAATTTACATAATGCTTGGCTAAAAGCTTGTGGCTATTCCGAAAACGACTATTCAAAAGATAGGAAAATATGTTCTCTCCACTTTGAAGATGATTGTTATAGGATCACTAAATCAAGGAAATTATTAAAAATTGGCGCAGTTCCTACAAAATTTAAGAAAGTTGCAAAAAATGTATATGTAAAGAGGTCTAAGTAAGACTATAATAATTTTTTTATGTGTTTTTATTTTTAGTAATTTAATTTTCTTGAAACAGAAAACAAAAGGTTGAACACAATCAATGCATACCCGATGATAAAAATGTTATAGAATCTACCAAAAGTAAGAATAATTATTATTATATTTGAATGCAATTGAAAATGTGTATACTGTTTTTTAGTACTTGAAATAACTGATAGTGAACCATCTTGCTCACACAATGACATAAGTGAAAATATTAACCAGTATATTATAGATAGTACTCATTGAACTTAAAAATATCTGGAACGTTTACCATGCAATATTGCCCAAACGAGCATGTTAAAAATAGATGGTGAATATTTTAGGTATATCTAATGTATAATTTTATTTTATATTGCCATGTATTTAGTAATAATTAATTGTATTTACTACTTATGGTTCTAGAATCATAATTACTGAACTACGGGATATTTATAATCTAAATATATATATTATATTATCCTACTATAATATTATAAATATGAAAGTTTGTGAGGAAATATGGATGTTTGTTGCTTTTTCATACAAAAACGACAGGACCAATTGAGCTGAAACTATAGGATTATTGTTCATGTATCAGAATAACATATAGGCTATTTTCTATCACGGAATTCAACCCCTAAAAGATGGCAGATACGGGGATTTTGGTATTTTGTGGTATATTTTTTGTTGATTGGTTACCTTGAGAACAGTCAATATTATCTGGGATGAGGGATATGAGATTTTTTCACTTTATCCAAACTGTTAATTCAGCACCCCAAAACCAAAATGTAAAAAAAATAAACAACTTAAAAAATATTTAATTATTTACTTATTTATTAATTTAAGAAATGTATCAGAATCAGAATCAGAAAGAAATAAAAAATATTGATATATTTAATTTATTTTATAATACAACACGAGCTCATTTTGACCATAATGTGAACAAATTTTTTTCATTGTATATCTTATAGTCTTTTTCAATTCTTGACCAGACACCAATTTCAGTAACACATTTTTTTTTCTATCTTTAGCTTGTACATTAAATTTATACTACTTTAAACAGGTTCTAATATATCTTAAACAAACATTTTTGAGTATTATATATACTATAAAAAAAACATTTTATTAAATATGCTAATAATATTACTTAAAAATTAAAAAAACTTGGTCTATTTAGTATTAAAATTATATATAATATGTATTTTTTTTTAATTTGGAATATCTTATTTAAATATTATTAATAAAAAATAAAGTAAATAAATGTGTGGCCTGGAGTATTATGATCAGTGTATTATAAAATTGGTTTCGAATTAAAAAATTAAATGAAGGAATACATAGAAAAAAAAAATTGTACAGATTGGTCATTTTACATGGAAATAATTTATTTGAATAGATGAGATTATTTAAAATAGGTTATTATTAGACATAGATATGTTAAGAAATATAAATTATTTGATTACTATTTACTATCTAAAATGTATTGGTACAAGATATTATTTTTAAATCGGTTTGTACATTTAAAATATTAAATTTATTTTGCTTTATTTCATTGTATAAATGTGATTCTTCTAAAACTGAATTAATTTAAATGTTAAAAGTCTGTATTAATATTAAATCTTATATTATGGTTATTTTCTAAAACATGTTTAATAAAATTTGAATTAGGAGTGGCCTTTTTAAATTTTATTTCAGAAATGTGTTCTTTATATCTTATTTTAAAATTTCTGTTCATCTTACCTATATATACAATTTATCACAGTTATATTTAAGTTTATATATACTAGAACTTTTTAAAAAAGGGATTTTTTGTGAAATTTTTAGTTTTAAAATGTATATGTTTGATTAAATTATTACTAGTATTAAAAGTGATTTTTACATTATTTGTATTGTTCAGAATTTTAAAGAATTCTTTAGACATATTATTTTGATATTTCATACTTCAATAGTTGACAATATTATTTGGTGAGTTGTGTATTATTTTTTCTTTAATATGTTTATGAACTTTTTTTAATATTCTTTAAATTAAAATAATTCTATGGGCTGTTTTAAATTCCTCTAAATGCCCTTTTAACTAACATTTACATGCAAAATTATGAAACCAATAATATTATTAACGACAAAATATAATCTATATATAAAAGTATATTATAGACATGTTGATGGCATATTTATTTTATTTAGATGTTCATATAAACGAGCAGAAAATTTAATTAACTACTTAAACAAAATGAATAAAAACATTCAATTTATACTCGAAATACAAATTAATAATAAACTAAATTTCTCAGATCTTTCAGTTTTCATAATAGACAATAAATTTGAATTTTGTATTCACAGAAAACCTACACTAACTGATTCTATAATACCACATGATTCAAATCATCCTTAATTCAATATTCTGTAAACTTGAACGTACTTCATTAAATAAACATAATTATCAACACCCAGCTCAATATTATTTATAATATAGCCCATAGAAGTTATTTCAATTTTAAAATTCCACTTACAACTGCTCTGTCATGTTCTTTTTTACTAAAATGTAGACTGCATCAAAATGAATTACTACTAGGTTTGAAATTTGTTCATCTAACAGAATGTATCCATTTTTTTAGTCTTTCATTACCATTAATTAGAAACCTTAGACCATAAAAATATAAAGTAAAATTATTTATATAGGTACCTATAACATAAATAAATACAATAATGAAATAATCAACCACAGTTAACATTTATATTAACTTGTGAAAAATTAATTAATTTTTTACAACACTAGTGTAATTAAAGGCACCACAAAAATTACTATACATTTTAAAACAAACAATTCTTAAAATAGCTGAAATTGATAGTCTCTAAGCATTGAAAAATTAATAGGATATGATGTAATATGTATAAAGATAGTGATAGAAATACCTAAAATATTCACTATCTCTAACAGGCCCGCTCGGTTTTATTTACATATGGGCGGTGAGCGTACCATTTATCTTATAGTAGTACCATAAACATGGAGATAAGAGATGTTATCTTTAATCTTTATGATCATAAATTGATCGATTAAAATACATATTATACTTTGATAGCTTATTCCATGATGGAAAGGTTAGGTTGCGTAAAGGACTACTTAGATTTTCTCGTTTTTTCCACGGTTTTCCAAAAACCATAGTTTAATGGAACTACATTAAGTGTTCCGATTTTAGAACAACGAATTAATTCGTAAGTCATTTGTAAAATACCTAGTTAAATTAAGTGGAAAAAAATAATAATGTGGGTAGACACGTAAGGTTATTTTGAAAACAAAAACGGCGAATTGAATTTCAATTTAAAATCCGTATAGCGTACCTATGTTGAGACACCATTTTTTTCTAGAGTGCCCCTCCCTAATTGATGTTTGTGTGTCTTCCTACCTTACTCTAATGGCGGATCTAATGGATGATTTCAGTAATCAGTAGTAGAATTTTAGTTGTTAGTTTAATCAGTTTTGTCATGATTTTATTTTCTATTGTTTCTAGTATTTCAGTGATTTAACGTTAGTTTCTGTTGATTTCAGATTGTAGTGTCTACATTCAAAATACTAGCCAGACTTTGAAGGACGAAATAATGGATTCCGAGGAATATAATCCTTACGATTTTGTGGCAATTTACAAAAGTAAGTATCTACCTACTACCTTTTTCATATTACGATTATACACGTTACGACTATAAACACTGAGACACGCGCACACCAAGAGGGCGGCAAATTACGTGACGCAGGACAATATTTTGTATTCCACATATTTGAACTTACGAGCGTTAATCGAGTTTAGTGGCGTAGTGATAGAATAGCATACTAGAAATTACTATTGGACAAGTTAGGGACTTTCGAATGACATTTTTTTTTTTTATTTATATTTGTTGGCCTTTATACAATATTAGAAGTTTTATTTACGCCACTGGTTGAGTATTGGCAGAATAAAGCAATTCAGTACATTCGTAAACTTGCTTCACAGTGTTTGTAATATAGTTTACTTTGAATGTATCAAGTAGTTTTAATTACAATTTATTATAATTCCTATGATTTTTTTTCTATATTACGATGAAAGAAATATTAATTGAAGATGTTTGTCCACATAACGTATTATGCAATACTAGCTACATCACTGTTGATTATATGAAATCAAAATTACAAATTGATAAATGAGACACAATTTCTGATGATCTCATCTACTTAATTCATTTTAAAGTAATTTAATTTAACAGTAAAAATTGTCCATTTCTTCATTTAAATCAGTCTCAGAACTTAGGTTTAGTTGGCAAAGTTAGTTAATTTCATCATTGTGTTCTATGACTAATTGCATTCAAAGATGATGAATAACTGTATTGCAATGTGCACTCATATGAATTTCACAGTTTTTAACCTAATTTAATCCATGCTGTGTTAGACCAAATCAATGTGCGCCAGACCTAATAGCTATGTTGTTTTATAAAAAAAAAAATTACTTTTTTTTTGAGAAATACTCTACTTGCATGACCAAATGTTATAGATATAGGCATCAAATTGATGAAATAGTGTAAAAAAAACTGTCGTAGGATAATAAGGACAGATGCAGCCACAGTTGTTGATGGAAAGTTGTGTAGGTAGGATACAGAAGAGAATTTAATGTATATCTGTAAGCAGCGATAAACCATTGCTAACGAAAATTTGATTCTGAGTAGAGTTTAGTTGATAGTGATGCTTTGTCAACAATATATATGATAAAATAATTAAATAAGCATTATATATTTACATATACATTTTATTATATATATTTAATAGTTGTTTAATATTAAACCGATTTTCCCAGTTCACCCCAAGAAAATTTCATTTCAAAAAAAGGTTTACATTGTATACATTAGAGTAAGCTTTCTAGTAAAAAAAATTAAACATCTTTGTAAAACCAAACATTTTTTGTTATACTCAGAATCTAAAAGTATACACGTTTTGTTAAAACAAACAGCAATAATTAAATTTCAGAGATGTATTTACATGTTTAGTATCCAAAGGCAATGTTTTTTACCTTTATTTCATAAGCAGATATCTTTATGTTGGAATTTCAAACTGCCCACTTTTTATTTTGTATTGTACACTTTGGGATCTAAAACATATTATTGGATATAAAAAGGCACTTCTACGAGTGCTATTAACTTTTGTCAATATTCATTTTTTTTTTTTTCAATCGGGTTTTGTTTCAGCGGGACACAAATGTATGTAAAAATTAAATTAATACTTTCATCTCTTGGTCACTGAAAATAAATAACTTAATTATCAGTTTTTAAAATTTTAAAGATAGCCATTGTATAAAATGTATTGCTTTGTAAATTTGAATGGATTATTCATGTCCAATTAATAGTTTCTTAGTGGCTTTAATGTATATAAAATATAAAACAATTAAAATTCAATAGAAAATAAGGAATTACTGATTGTGATTCCTTATTGCATTATGTGAATTTATATGTATTTATGCTATAAAAATATGTATGGTCCTATGAGTTCCCAACGAAACAAATTATGATTTAAAAAATGAAATTAGTAACAAAAGTTAAAAAATAAATTTTTTTGTTTACAATTTATGACATGCATTTTTAAATTTTCAAATTCAAAAGATTGTAGATATGATTGTAAAACTGCCCTTTACTGATATTACCACATACAAATAATAATACATTCTCATGCTAAACTACATTGGGCTATAGTTTACTCATAGTATTATTAAAAATCTTTCAATAGCTTAGTGGTGGCATTTATATAGTTGTTCAAAATTTAACAAAAAAGGCTTAGATTTAGTGTCATTTAGTTTTCTAATAATATTTGCAATACCATATACATTGATTGTTTCATCAACTGACATCCATATGGGTTCATCATCAATTGAGTTTCATAGTAGATTGATTGAATATACATTTTTTTTAATGTTTTGTTAATTAATCAGAAATAAATTGTGCAGTATATTTTTCAAAAATGATTTTAAATTATAAATTTCAAATTTTGTTAGCGGATTATCAGTATCAATAAAAACTCGCCATAAATCAAAGTTGAATGTATAAAAATTTGAGGAAGACAGATGAAAAAAAAAAATAAAAATTTTGTTTGAATTTCAGCTTTTATCTTTATTTTTATTGTGCTTATTAGTTTTTAAATGTTGTGTTACATAAAACCATTGTTCAATTGCTATGGATTTTTCATAAACAAAATATAGTATTCAATTTTACTGTCACTTTGTAAATGTTCATCCGGAAATTCAGAAATATACTTTACAGCTTTGCCAGTGTTAGATAATCTTACTTTAAGCATGATATTACAGAAAAATTATTAAAAGAAGTCTATAAATTATTGATTTTATACTAAATTTAATAATATGTAAAATAAACACAAATTACAAACATGCTCAAAGCACTGCAGTATTACTGCTTGCTGCTTGTCGCAGTGTTTGTTATCACATTTATAAGAATATTTTAGAAATAGTTACAATGATACATTGATAAGATATCTGGTAGTATAGTAAAATTACTTGTCTTTAAACCACTGAATAACTTAGTGTAATTTATGGTCATTAGTAAATTACTTCATTAAGCTGATAGATAGCTGGTAATAGAATAACTGCCTGAGTTTTAATTAATTAAATATATTATCAATTTAGTAACTGAAGATATTTAGGTTTAGATTGAAGGAGAGTTGGTAATTTGAGAATAAATGAATATTTTCAAAAATATTTTAACACTTGATCGAAAAACATTTGGGATGTTGTTTGAGTCTTTCACACTACAAAATAGGTGAAATAATTATAGTGGTTAGTAGAGTTCAGGAGTTATTGCATTTAAAATTCACAAAAAAGCACTTAAAAATATTTAAAACTCATTGAAAAAAAGCACTTCAAGCAAATATGATAGACCAAATGGTAGATGCGTTTAGATGTCCCTTATCTAACGACTAAATTATTAAATATAATTTTCTAACACAGCACAAATTATTATCAACAATTTATTTTATTTAAATGAAATGGTAGGTATTAAGAAAAAAAAAAATATTTATTAGTTACGCCATTAGGGAAAAGACATTAAACCCTTCTACCATTCAGTCTAATAATATTTGGTTAGAGTATTTTTTTGTGAGTTTTAATACAATAAATCCCAAACTCTAGTTATTAGAAATACATATCAAGATTAATTAAAACTATTTTAAAATTGTATACTTTTCATAAATTATTATTTTTAAATCATATGACGACTAATTGAACATATTTCTTTTTATAAATGTGTTTAATTCATACAATTTTTAGGACTGGAAAAAGAAAGAAATGAGAAGAAAAAAATTGCATTATTGAATAAAGATTCAAAGTTAAATAATTCGTCAGATTGTAATGAGCAATCAAGTTCAACTGGACAATGGTTTGTTAATAAATAATAGTACTATTCTAAAGTTTTAAGCGTGTCATATTGATATTCTAAACATAACTATTTTATAATTGTTAATAATTTGTATAGTGTAAAGATTGAGGATTCTTCAGAAACTGATTTCAGTTCTCCTTCTAAAAATACTAGATCGGCTACAAAGATTAAATTAAATGCTTTGGAGCTACAGACAGCAAAGTAAGTTTTATTTAAAATTATTCAACATGCATTCATTGTTTATTATTGATAAATTCCAGAAGATCGGCTACAATGGTAAAATCGGATGTTGTGGCGCCACAGACAGCAAAGTAAGTTTTATTTAAAACTATTCAACATGTATTCATTATTTATTATTATTCATAAATTCCAGAAGATCGGCTACAATGGTAAAATCGGATGTTGTGGTGTTACCGAAAGCAGAGTAAGTTTTATTTAAAACTATTCAACATGTATTCGTTATTTATTATTATTCATAAATTCCAGAAGATCGACAACAATGGTAAAATCATTTATTTTTGAGTCATCGAGAGCAGAGTAAGTTTTATTTAAAACTATTCAACATGTATTCATTATTTATTATTATTCATAAATTCCCATAGTTATAATTCATCGGTAAAATCATATATTTTGGAGTCACCGACACAAGAGTAAGTTTTATTTAAAACTATTCAACATGTATTCATTGTTTATTAATATTCATAAATTTCAGAACTTTGTCTGTAACAGTAAACTCAAATATGTTTGTTGTGAAGGCACTGCCTACAAAGTAAGTTTTATTTAAAACTATTCAACATGTATTCATTGTTTATTATTATTCATAAATTCCAGAAGACCGACTACAGCGGTAAAATCAAATGTTGTGGCGCCACAGACAGCAAAGTAAGTTTTATTTAAAACTATTCAACATGTATCCATTGTTTATTATTCATAAATTCCAGAAGAAGACGTTATCAACCATCAACTGATAATTGTAGAGTAATTGGACCAGTAATATGCATTGGAGACTTTGATGATGGTTATAATATGCCACCACCATTATCCTCTCCAATGCCTCCATTGCCTCCAATTTTTGATGATGAGGTAGATGCTCTTATTGCTGTAAGTATTTAGTTATTTATAATTTAATATTATTAAAATAAATGGATTTTTTTATTAATATAATTTCTTGTGAATTATAAAATTATAATTTGTCTAACTTTTTATAAAAACTAATTATGGCAACTATATTTGCCAAGTTGATAAACAATATCAACTTCAGTATTTCAAACTTGGATGGAAAAAATATATTTAGAAATGCTGGTTTCATAAACATTTAGGAGACATGATACTAAATTATATTTTTGTGATTAATTCATTATTAAAATTTAATTCATTCTTTTTTAAAACATAACATCATTTTCGTTTGATTTGATTAGAGACACAAAAATAATACATATGATAATGGAGTTTATGAAGATGATGTTGAAACACTTAATCGTGTTGTAAATGTCAAAGTCTTTTGGTGTAAAAAGCGTACATATAAATTTCCTATTAGAATGGTATGAAAATATTTTAAAGCTCTTACAGATATTAAATGTATTGTATATAATTTAAAAAATTCAGTTTCAGTCAATTGAAAGCATTTATGAACACTTCGCAAAATTGGAAGATGTAGATAGATCATACATAAAGTTGCAATTACGCAACAAGACTCTATCAGAGACAGATACGCCAAAATCCTTCAAATATAAAATCGTCGATTTCATTGGTAATATTTATTATTTTACTTTATATTTTATTGTGTAAGCAGTTTTTGAAGCTATTATATATTTTATAGGTAAAGCCTATACAATAAATAATACTCAGGTTTTTTTTAAAAATTATTTTCTATGATAATATGTAAAAACTGTACATTGTTTAACTAATTACATTTGTAAACACACCAGTCCTCCATCTCCTGATACTCAACTCTTGGCCTTGTCAAGCCAGTCTCATAAATAGCTCCATGAAATAGGAAAATCGCTGAATAAAAAGTTATATTAAAACTTGACTTAAGTACTCAAATAATATAGATAATGCTCTTCAACATTTTACAAACACAATTCAATCAACTACATGGAGTTCTACTATTAAAAACCCTCCTAGAGCCCAAAACTCTTTCCAATTCACATTTGCTTACTTTTCTAACCTCATCATGACATGGTTGATAACACATTCGAAGAGTATGTTGAACACTTTTTAACCTCCTTTATGTCTATTGAACTTTAATATTATTTAAAATAATTTCCACCCAAAAAGGCTCTGGGTTGGACCTAATTAAAGCCAAAATAGCTACCCAACTTACCAAAAAAGTAATTATATAACTTTCTCATATGTTAAATTCTATCTTAAGGCTTTATTATTTTCCTTTTCAATGGAAAATATCTGTTATAATCTTAATTTTATAACTAGGAAAGCCTCCTAACATCCCTCTTTCTTATCGCCCAATATTTTTTCTGCCTCTTTGGGAAACTTTGTGAGAAATTAGTTTTATTAAACATATATCCCCCTTTATAAAGGATGTACTAATTGTCTCACACGCCCAGTTCGGCTTCTGTAAGAGAAATTCAGCTATCCATCAAATACACTGGTTGACAGCCTCAATAATCTACTCTCTGGAAAATAAAAGAATACTGCTCAGCTGTTTGACAAATTTTGGCATCCTGGCCTTTTGTACAAGTTAAAAAAAATCAAACACAATTCTTGGCAATCCCCCCCCCCTCACAGGTTAAACAGAAAATGGTGTTTGGACTTAATGAATGATAAATACAACTATGATGGTTATGAAGACACCATAATTTTATAAAAATTATTTAAAAGTGTAAAATATACCAATAATAATTAATTATGCCAATTTAAATATATGAGGGCATACCCAAAAGAAACCGAACTGATGTTGTGTGGGACAGAGTTTTAGTAGTACCGATTTTTTTTTCCCGGTAGGGGCGTATAAATATACTTCTCAACATTCAATATGGCAACAGCCATCATCGTGGAAGGTTGTGTTACGTTGGTGTGATATTTTTTTAAAAGTAATTTTTCGTACTTGTCGTTTTTGTAATGGCTGATTTGCGTGAACAGCGCGCGGTCTTCAAGTTTTGCTTCCTGCTCGGGAAAACAGGCACAGAAACCCTTGAGATGTTGAAAACAGCTTACAAAGGTGATGATTTAGGGAAAACTCAAGTATTTAAGTGGTTTTCCCGTTTCGAAAGTGGTGAAATGTCGATAGACGACCAAGCTTGCTCCTTCGACATCGCGAACCAACAAAAATGTAAAAAAAATTCACAATATTATCCTGGAAGATCAACGGCAAACCATCGAAGAAGTAGTGGAGAGATCTGGTGTGACATNACAGAGAATTTTAAGTGAAGATTTGGGGATGAAACGGGTGGCTGCAAAATTTGTTCCTCGACTGCTAACTGAGCAGCGAAAACAAGGCCGCGTGGAATCATGCTCTTCTTCGAAAGAAGAATTCCAAAATGACCCAAACTTCTTTTCCAAGGTCATTACAGGTGACAAATCATGGTACTATGGATATGATCCTGAAACCAAGCAACAATCGAGCCAATGGAAGACTCCAGCATCGCCTCGCCCTAAAAAGCTCGTCAAGTGAGGTCAAACATTAAGACAATGCTCATTTGTTTTTTTGATGTGAGAGGAGTCGTCCATTCGGAGTTTGTTCCACCTGGTCAGACAGTTAACCAGGCATTTTACCTAGGGGTGTTAAAAAGATTATACAACAGTTTGAGGTGAAAAATACCCGATTTGTGGCAGTCAGGAGACTGGTTTTTTTCATCACGACAATGCTCCTGCTCACACAGCCCTTTCTGTATGGCGGTTTTTGACCAAAAATGATATGACCACTGTGTCCCATCCATCCTATTCACCCGACCTGTCTCCCTGCGACTTCTTTTTATTCCTCAGAATGAAAAGGAACATGAAAGGAAAGCGTTTTGCAGACATTGATGAATTTATTAAAAAATGACAGAGGCGTTGGCAGGCATCTCAAAAAATGAGTTTAAAAAGTGCTTCGAAAATTGGAACAAAAGATTGGACAAGTGCATTAACTCCAACGGAGAGTACTTTGAAGGAGATTAAATGTTTTTTGTAAAAAAATTAAATAAATAACTTTGTACAAAAATAGTTCGGTTTTTTTTTGGGTATGCCCTCGTATATCATTAGAAATATTACTAAATACTATTTGAAAAACATTTAGAACATTAATTACATCCTAAAAAGTTGATTCAGAGAAAAAAGAAATTGTCTGGCTAGAATTTAATTTGGTTCCATTGTGCTGTGCTAAGATTATTTTATTTTAAATGTTTACAGCTTATGTTTTCTACATAAAATATTGCTCTAAAAGAAGAATGACAAAAGACTTTTTTTTTATTGAGTTTGTTTTTAATCTTGTTGATTACCAAGCAAATAGTTTTTATTAACTTTCTTTGTAATTTTATTAATAATCGAGTAAAATTGAAAAATTCATAGAAAAAAGAGCAAACTGTACTTAAATAAATCTTTTATTATTTTATATATTGTTTGTTTTTTAATGACTTGAAGTTTAAACAGAAAATGTATATTTACTTTCTCTAGATATAAACTTTTCAAAATATTTGAGACATTTTATTTTGCAAGTTTTTATGTTGTTTTTATTTGTTAGGTTTTATGTATAAACTCTTATTCTCAACAGAAATGCTTGAAAATTTGATAGAAGGTTCATTATGAGGGTGTGGTTATGTTGGGTACAAGTATAAATTAAATAACCTATTAATTAATGTTTATTAATGTCACCTTCCCCACTACACGCCTCCAACAGTGGCTGCACTTCTCCCCAGTATCAGCATTTTTTTTTTATAGATATTTTTATTATTGCATGATATTTAGTATAAGTAAATTACACATCAATAATAAAAATGAAAGAATAGGTCCTGAATAATTAATTTAATTAATTTAAACAAAGTGCAATTGAGAACTAAAAAAAATGCAATTTTCTTATTGTAAAAGTAAGATTTATATATAAGCCTCCTTTAGGGGTTAATTCAGGGGGAGTATATGCACCTAATTAGTCTATAGATCTACCCAAATATAAGAAGAGAAAATTCCATAATATTTATAGACATTTTATTATTTAAAAATTATAATATTTTTATTTTCTAGATGGTGAAATTGAATATTATAAAAGCCCATATGATCAACCAGAAGTCCCTGAAGTTAAAGAAGAAGAAGAAGAAGAAGAAGAAGAAGTGAAGTTTTGTATTAAGCAAAAAGATGTGAAACGTCCATTTTTTATAAGTATTAACAAAACTGACAAAATGATAATTTTATACATTAAAATATCTGAGAAGTTAGGTATAGATGTTAATAACTTTACATTGATATTTGATGGAGAAAAAATAAAACAATCTGATAACATGGAAAGTTTAGAACTTGAAGGGGATGAATGTTTTGATCTCTACCAAAAACCAGCATGATTCATTTTTTTAAATAACTTTGCATTATTTAGGGGAGCATTGAGAAAGTTTTTAATATAAATATAATAAAAAATAATATTACTTAAATCATTACCTATATGGTTTCTTGCTTTTTTTTTTTTACTTTCAATATAAATAATTTACTATTATAAAGTAAATAAAATAATCTCAGAATCAATAGATGTTTTTTTTTTTTTTCAAATTAGTTTTAATTATATGAAGTATTTTTAATTAAAATTTTGTAGTACCTAATTTTGTTCATGCAATTATTATATTCTTCCAAACCACAGATCTTATTTGTAATATATTTACATTATTAAAACATTTATTGCTTTAATTTGTTGATACAAAACTATGTTCGCTTTCATAAATTAGTTTTATTGCATTAATGCAATTTTTCTACTTACTAAGGTTTTAAGAATTTGACTTAGTTTATAAAATGTACCTGTACTGTAGTTTTTAATTTTATATAGTATAATATATTACATATAATTACAGTGCATATTATTATTATTATTACATACAAATATGATATTAAACACAATAAATGTAATTAGTAGTTTAAATTATGGAATGTACAAGCCAATTGATATATATATATCAAATAATCAGAGGCACAATTAAACAACCAACTTTGGTGGTACTAAAATTATGGACTCATTACAGAGTGTCTTAACAATTCCCTTAACATGACACCTATAAGCAACTACATGTATTTCATTTACAATTTTTTTTTATAAAAATGTATCATAACTTTTTAACTTTATTTTTATACACACATTGTCATCTGTAGATAATCGGTATTTTGTTCTGCTTAATAATTATGAAATATGTGGATAAAATATTTAGTCTGTACTATTAAATAATGCATATTAGATATTTTTGGGTGTGATAAACACTGTCCAGTTGTGCATTCCAAACACAAAATGTTCAAGTTATCTAAAGTTTTTCTTTTGAGTAATTGAGATTTCCCTAAAGGAACATCATTTATTTTGACTTATCAAAGTTCCACTATACAAAATATGCTATACCTATAAATACTAAATAGGTACTTAAGTATTAAAGTTTTACAATAAAATTAAGAACTTGGATTGTATATTTATTTTGTGATTATTTGGGAGATACATACAGTAAAATATTATGTTTATGTATTTATGAGTATTAACCATTTAATAATTTTGTTTTTACTTAATTGTGGAAATAAGTAAATAACTGTAAAAGAATTTAATTAATTTGACTTTCTTGTAACTGATGATCATTGGTGTGCAACATCATTATTCTGGGGCAGCCTCCTCTAGCAAAATTCATGTGGATAGGTTGAGTGACTAATCTAAGAGGGCTGTAGACCCATTCCTTTTCCCCTGAAATTTCAAGAAATATTCAAATATTGTATTAGATTTTAGCATCTATTTAGGATCTATTGGTTTTACTATGTGTATATTTTTTTTCTGTCTCTAAATAACTTTTAAACCAGAAATCTTGCTTTAACCTTTTATATTGAATTTTAGATTTACATGGTATATAATAAAGCCGTGTAATTAAGCCATTTTTGAGTTTCAATAGTTTTCTATAATTTTCTTTATAATTGAACAAAACTGGGAAATTATCACAATAAAATACAATTTAGAGCAGCCCAGGTCTGAGGAATTGATCTAGTCAGTAAATTAGTGCATAGATTTATGTTATATTATTTTACAATAAATACCTACGATAAGAATTGTATACCAATATTATGGTAATAAAAAGAGTTTCATAAGTCGAGTCTGTGGATTATCTGTTCCAGGATATTCATGTATTAAGGCTTCTGATGCTATTGGTCAAATTTACACAGTGCACTATAAAATACTGAATGTTTTCATCTCTGTTTACTACTTCATCACATTAAAAGACTCGTATAATTTTAGATTCTGAATGTAGCGAGGAATGTATTGGTTTTACAATGATATTTTTTTTTTTTCTAAGAACAAATTTTCTACCAGCAATTTCGTTCCGATTTACAATGATAACACTTTTTGAAACGTAATCCGACTAGGCTGGTATTTTAAGAAGGTAATTTTTTGATTTTCCTAATAAATGGGGAAAACAAGAAAATAGGTACAATATTAAACAAATATTATGAAAGAAAATATATAATGTATATGTAATTATTTTATTAAAATAATATTTATAATCAGAGCTAACATTATGAATTAAGCTAAACCATAATGTTATATCTAACCTTGGTATATTCTGTGGTAACTGTAAACACCGTATGAATTATTTTCTTATCGGTCAGTTATAAACACAACGCAATGGACGTAATAATGTATTATACATCTGTGTAGTATCATGTGTTATTGTGGTACATGCATAAAAGCATACTCACAATATTCGTTTACGACTGACACAAAAATCCCGGCCACCATCGAATACAAATTGCCTAAATTTTAGTCCTTAATAAATATCTACATGCAGTTTGATTACGAACGATTGTGAAGTCAGAATTGAGTGGACTGATCAGGGCCGCAACTTGGTTTATATTGGTGAGTATGCAAGCAAATATTATAGAGCCTATGTATCTATGTACTAATAGGTCTTTAAAAAAATGTCGCTTGCAGTTTATACCTACATATATACATTATAATGTAGTCAATAATATTCACTGTATTGTACACAGATAAGTGAGAAGCAAAGTGGGCTGCGGCCCCTAAAACTGTTTATTTTCTTTCCCTTCCCACTTAAAATGCAATAAACCATCAGCCATCACAACAAATGTTCAAATGCCAAGTAAGTAATTTTATAATGTATAAATATATTTTTAACTTTGTACACAATTCACTTACCAACCTATACATTTTGTTTTTAATTCAATTGGTATATCGATGTTCATTCCATAATTTATCGATGTAAAATTTTAAACATATAAAATAAATAACATAAGATTTTAAATTAGGTAGAGATACCTATACCTATTAGAATAATACTATTGTTAGAGTAAAAATGTATATAAAAATAGTTTGTTCTAGTACTATGCAGGTATAAATTATAATATATAAATAATTACTACATAGGTGTTCAAGTATTTTGATTTAAAAATCATTTGTGATCAATAATTATTTTACATACACGCACCGCGCAAACCAATCGCCGGTTGCCCGCTCACCCGTAAAATCGCATCAGGATATAGGATCATATAAGTCATATAGGATCATATAGGACGTGGCGCAAGTATTGTAATTTATTATAAATTATATTATAATTATTATAATATAGTTATTACCATCCGCATTCAGCAACCTCTCGTAGTCGTACCATTAATAAAATTGTCAGTTGACAAAATGTATGAAACAGATCAGTGTATTGTTCCAAGGCACACATCTAGTAGGTAATGAAATAATAAATGCTTATGGTAAAAATATGTGTACAGTTTGTTGATCACAAATAAAAGTTGAAACAAAAAATATTGTAGTCTTTAACTTGTTTGCTTCTTTAACCCAGGTAGCTACTCTAGTTATTACAACAAACATAATTGCATTCATGCTAACTATTAATAATTATATTTAATTGAATGCATTATTATATTATTATTTCGTCATAACAAATTGTAGAAATTTATGAAAATGGAAAATCTCGCAGGTTAGGGTGCTGCCTCTCCCGTGCGCACGTTTATACGTATCCCTTCATTCCTCATCTGTTATCGAATAATTAATATTTAGTAGCCAGTATTTAAAAAATAATTTAAATTAATTTTTAATTCGATTAATTACGAAAAATGTATACAGATATGTATAGGTTAAGTTAAGTACTTCAGTTCTACTGTCTAATACTAATAGCACAGGTACTAACGATTGGATAAAAATTAATGAAGAAATTGTTAAAATTGGAAATTTTGACCGTTTCTCCAGCCCTCTCAGTTAAAAGAAAAAACCCTGTTAGGTATATATTAACGATAATTTTTGTTTTATTATCCAATACTAACGATTGGGCCAAGAAAAATGTCATATTTTAATATTAGTTTTTCCCAGATATTATGAAAACCGCTTGAAAAATCAAAAAATTACCTTCCTTAAGTACCATGTTTATAATATTTTCTTTCACATAATAAGCTACATTTGATTCATCGGAGCAAGATTTCTGGTAGGAAATTCTGTAAAACAAATCGAGGGGTATTTCGCAATTAAAATAGTCGGAGCAAGCAATGGCTTGGGACTTAAGGTTCACCCAAAATGCCTTTGGTTTTTTTCCTTGATTAGGTAAAAGGGGGGAAAATGAAAAAAAATGTCAATAGGAATGTATAACTATTAGAGTACGAGAAACATATTAAAGTTTAACAATATATAGTTATTTAACATAACATATATCTGTAGAATATCAGAATTTAAAAGACTAATTTCAAAACTATGTTAGTCCTCTCAATTCTTACTTCCAGTTTTTAAATCAGCAATATACATTATACATATGTTTAAAAAATTTAAAAATTAGATTTCGTCAAAATTTGATATTATAAAATTCTTTTATAAAAAAAAATACTAATTAAACTCAAATTTTTTTTTACCACTAAAAGATTTTTAATGTTCTTCCTATTAAATTTTCAATTATTCTTGTTTAGTCTAACAATTTTATCACACATAGTATACTTATCAATAAAAAATTACGAATAAAACTAGCAAAATTAAAATGTCTATAAATAGCTCAAAAATGGCTTAAATATTTTGAACGGCCTCGGCCAATGAACATTTTACCATGTCTAGAAAAGACATACATTAGTTTTCTGTCCAAGTTTAAAGTTTCTATAAATATTTTTAACTGAATTACAACAAATAATAAAGGCATTATTTTCGTAAATTTCCCGTTTTTCTGCACTTTATCGGTTTTATTGGGAAAACTGTCGGGAAAATCAAAAAATGACTTCCTTATAGTACTACCTCAAGAAAATTTCCTTTCATAAAAGGATCTACAACGTATACATCGGAGCAGTGGCGGCTCGTGGGTAAAATAATTGGTGTTGCACATTTAAACAATTGTATACAATAAGTACAGTCGATCCAGAAATCAGGAACTCAAACAAATATTTGATTGAAATATGAATATATTTGTATTTTTTTTTTATATAGGAAGTTCTTAGATAGAAATCTTTAATATATTAGGGAATTGATATGCTTGTTTTTGTTACATTACATTAAATAATATTGTTTAGTAATTGAACGTAAACTGGGTCGGTCATTATTTTCTATATGGTATTTTTGGAGATAATGCCGCCCGCCAGACAAATTTAATATTATCCAAAAGAAATAATCAGTTTCCAATGCATTCTCCGGCAGTAGCGGCAGCGGCAAATATTAATTTGGGCACCTACACTCCACCAGGCATCAACGCAGCGTTTGCGCACAAAGTTTAATGATAGTGTCAGTAGTGGGATCAAAACGGTCAAATGCGCATGAGTAACCGGTGCGAAAATTGTATTTGCCCGTCTATACTCCGTG